CTGACGGGTCTATCCTCTGCTGCTCCCTTGAAACGCTCTTCCTCGGCAACAGCTGAGTCTTCATCTGAAAGTTCGCAACGAAAAGAAGTTTCTCCCATGCCCAAAAGCATGGATTCAGATGGGCAAACTGTAGAAACAGCAGTCTAAATCAAGAGAGAAATTGTATTTGTGCAGAGATAGGCATTTACGAGCTGTTTTATCCATGCGTATTTCCTTTTCCACTGAAAGGGCAATTACAAAGCTCTGTGTTGTGGTGCTCTCTGAAAAAAACAGAAAACATGATCAAACCCTCTTGCTCACCTTGGATGGTTTTTTTTTTTCCACATTGGTGACCAATCATATCAAACTAGGAAGATTATTATGTGCTAAACAGTTTATAAATTAATATCTTTTGTGTCTACATAGGCATTTGACATGCCTAGACGGAATGTTTTCCTGATTGTGACATTAAAAAAAACTTCAAATATATCAAAATGAATTAACTTGAGTAAAAATTTACAAATATTTTATACTTGTTCATGCTGTTCATCGGCAGTAGAATCTGGGCCTTATTCCAACCCTGCAATGGCTACCATATGTATATAAATATATATAGATATATATATATGCACATATATATATATTTGTGTACATAAATATTTGTGCATGTATATATATGTTTCACAGCACTGTGCAGCCTACTAGCTTCTAATCTCTACAACGATTAGTTGATTAGTTCAAAGCCAAACTAATGCAATAAGAAACCTGCCACAACCACTCAAGTACAAACTAAGTAAAAAATGGCATTTATTTCTGCATTAAAATGTACAGAACTTTCTCTCTCTGTTAATATATTAAGCATTTCATTAGTTATCATGTTATATGAACAGTTCAATCCGAAAGGAAACATTACTTGTACAATTTTATTAATATTTCCCTTTGTGCAAGTCCTTATAACAACGAACCTATGATTTATCATCAGCTCTGACTAGAAGTGGTCATCACACTGAATATGCATTTTCCATTTTTTTCAACACCATTAATCGGTTGTGACAGGTTTTTATTATGCATATTAAGTAACAACTGTGCCCTCCACACTTAACTTGGTTGGAGAAAGTATTCTATAATTTTAGTGCCTGGTGAATTCAGCAACTTTAACTGTTAGAAGGCAAGTTATTGTTCCTGGAGAGGACAACTACAATCACCTTCTTATTGTTAGTAGGTGAACCTGCCCAGCTGCTGGACCTTCACCCCTGCTCGGTGTCCTTCATGTGAAGGCTGTGCCGCAAGGGTTTGTGCCTTGCTACGGGGCTGACTGAGTCTCTTCTGTTTCTGTCACAGACTGGCTCTTCAAGCTAACCAACCAAATATTTCTCACAAGAGCAAAAATTCTCGTGTACCCGAACTATTGTTAGAAGATACTGTTTAAGGAACAGTTGTTATTGAGATTATTTATATGATTCCATTTGAAATAATTCTAGTTGTTGGTTTATCATTTCAATGGACTCAAATTTTTAGCATTCGGATCAAAATGAATTTTCCCGTAATCTACAGGGTTGCCAGATACCTCAAACTACACAAAATATATAGAAAGGTACGGCTATTCATTGTAGTTTACAATATGGTTCTTTCATACATCATGTAACTTTTTCCACTGTGTGATATGAAAGCAGATTCATTGTTATCTTGAGCAAATTTTATATTTACAAAATTTCAATACTTGTTGATGTTAAATGGTGGATTTCCTTTTACTGTTTTAGTCATGTTTCTCCTCTGGCGACCCTAAATATAGAGAAATAAAATAAATGAGCTATTCATTTTTAGGGGTTCTTGAATCAAATAGAATAAGGATTAGTTTTAACCGAAGTACAAATAGAAAATTTTGAATTAATTTGTGTTTTTAGACAGCACTTAAATGTGCTTTCCCATCAGAAACTTAAATTAATTTAATGACTTGTAGTTTTAGATGACACATTCTGAAGTGTAGTCACATATAATTAAAATTAGTAAAATTAAAATCACCATTAACTACTTTTTATATTTAAATCATAGAACAATTTTAAATAGAATGGCAGTATCTCTAGATGTGATAGCAGCCATTTCTATTGTGGTGCAAGTTTGAGTTCCAGTTGAATCATTATAAATAAACTTTTCAAATATTTTTGTTTACAATTGCAATACTTATATTTTTCAGAAGCTAACTATTTGTAGAACAGATAAATATATAAACTATGTTGGTAATTTTTTTTTTAAAACTATCTCATTCGTAATTTATAATTACATATGAAGGTCTCTGACACATTTCCTTTATTAAATTAAAGTTAATAAAACATATTTGTTAAAGTAAATGTTTTAATAAATGATATCTGCATTTATTATTGTTTTTTAAAATGGTTTATACTTAAATCTATAATTAAAAAAAGATTTTTAATCCAGAAAAGTGAAATCCAGTGAATTAACATTCAAAACAGTTTGACAAAAACTGTTATAGGTATTTGTTTTGATAATTCAAATATTCATTACAAAATGAAAATATTATGAAGTATCTGTATAGATATATAAACTATTTTATTATAAAATTTTGTTGTTCTCAATAATTTCTATTCCACTCTTTAGTATAAATTTATACCATACACTTGTATGCTGAATTACTTTTAACTGCTCATTGAATTCAGATTCACAAAATAATCTGTTGTAATAATATTTGATGGTGAATTAAGCTAATTTTAGCATGTAGATTTAAATATGAAACTTGTTTTTATAAAAATTACTTGAAAATATTTGGTTAAAAATGCATTTTTTTTTAAACCTTTTATTTATATACTAACAAATGTAAAATATTAAAAACAAAATTTTATACGAAATTTTGTTGCTATTTATATACAAATCAAATTATCCAAACTTACCTTTATAATGAAACACGCACGTTAAATTTGTATTATGATGTTTCCGGTTTGAAGAATTAATTGTAATCTCTTATTTTTGAAAGAGTATGTATATACCACATATTTTAATATATCATTCATTCCTGCATATTTTTTTCAGGCATTCAGCATTTATAGAAATGGAAAAGCATATTTTTTGTATGTGAATAATTCTTCAAAATAAGAATTTTATATTTAATCTCTTCTCTGTGCACAGGCTCACATAAAAGAAATAGAGATATTAAACGATACTCAGGAAATAGAGATATTAAGTGATGCTCAGTTGTTTGAAGGGGAGAGAGTATATGTATTCTTCAAAAAACTGAATTAAAGAATAAGATAGAGCAACAAGAGCTGAGAAGCTAACAGCAAATTTGCTATAAGTATAAATTTGCCTTTGTAAAGTGTAAAATTTTTATTAAAAATTAGCATTTTTGTGCATAATAAACATTTCATGGATAAATGCTGAATGCTCATAAAAATTAAGCTGAGTTTTAGCTGTAAGCATTTTACTCTATAAAGCCAAAGAATTATTCTATGCAAACATGTTTAATATTTTTATTTACGTTATCTCAATGTATATGTTTATATCACAAATTTCTCTCAAAAATGCATGACATATTTATTTATTCCTAAAATTTGACTTAATGTTTTTAATTCCTAAAATTTGACTTATTAATGTTATTAATGACTTAATATTATTGAAAATGCAAATAAACTTACACTAATGAAATCTTAAAGGTGATTAATACAAATGGAATTATTTTCTATTAATAATCTTATTTAATTTATATCACTATCTATATTTTATGATAGTTAAAAAACACCTGAATTCAACATTTACTGTGTGACTTTCCCTATGGATTATAGCAATGAAAAATATATGAAATAATTTATCACAGCATTTTGTCTGCTGTATCTTCTTTCGAGTAGAAAATTCAGGAAATTGTATGGTCGATACAGAAAGGCATATTTTTCTTATATTTTTGGGGTCTAGCTCATGAAAGGTTTTTGAATTCATGTTAAATCTGATAAAGGAATAAAAACTATAGATAATGAAATATGTTAAAAAATAATGTGTTATATATGTTTCAGAAAACATTCTGCATTTAATTCTTTTTATTTTGGAACTTATTTCTATCTATATTGCCCCTCCTTTATTTACTTTAGTCTTCAGTAAAACTGAATTGCAGTTCTTCTGTTTTCCTAAGAAATACTGAATAATATATATATACATCCAGAGAAAAAGTAAATGAGATGCCATTTGTTCTACAGATATTTGTTTTATTAAATTTTTGAAAAATAATTCCAAGCATTTGTGTTCTGTTTTCTTATTCAGTGACCATACATACACACACAAAAAAAAAAAAAAAAAAAAAAAAAAATCTTAGCAATAAAATAATTGCTTTATTTATCTATTTTTTAAATTATCTTAAATTACATTCATCTTAAGGAGTTGAATTCATTAGATTTATTTTTTTTCCCTAAACAAATACTTTACTTAAGCATTTAAAAATATTTTTTCATCAGTTTATAGAAATGAATTAAAGTAATATAAAATGCATTTAATAAACACACAAAATCTGAAGTTAGAAAAATTTATCACTGTAAGAGTTTTTGTTATGAGAGCTATTCAAAAACAAAGTATATTACTACATAGTTAATAATACTATAAATATGTTCAAAAACTTGGCAGTTAATATATTAGAATTTAACTTCAAAATCAACATTATAAACAAACATAGTAATTACAGACAAGCTGTATTAACTTTATGCATTTACAAATATGCAAGTTTATATAATGCATTGAAATGTATTCATGTCCTATAAAATCACAAATTTCAGATGATTTCTAATCTGGTTATACCAAAGTAAAACTGACAATTACTTTCCCTGCAGACAAATTTTGACATTACAAAAAATAAATGAAAATATATATTTGTACAACTACAGAATACACTTATTTTAGCAAACTTTATATGTTGATTACATAGTTTAGGGTTTGTGCTCCTGGATATCAATGTGAATTAAGCATTATCCATATGATGTTAACAGTGCAGATAAAGCAAATTTATGTACCACCAAAAACATACAAGACACAGTTTCAATTACTGTTTATTCAAAATTTTATGATAGAAAGGCATATACAGTTTTTGAATGCAAATTAAAAATATCTTCTTTTGATAATTTGTCTAAAGGTTTCTTCTTGTCTGGACTTAAAAATAATTTAGGTTTTTTTCCATACACTTCAAACACCACTTGAACCTTAAAATAAAACAAAAGAGATATAATTTAACAGATATGCTTATTTATGATCATACAAAGTACAGTGCCGGAACAGAGAACTTACTTGTCTTGATAATGCTTCACTAGATAAACACCAACGGCCCTTAGGGTTTTCCAAAAGAACCGTACCACAGTTTCGAGATAGAGGAGATTTTTCATCCACACCACATAGCTCTACATTAATGTATCTAGAAAATACCAGATTTGATTCATGTTAAAAGGCAAGCAATAAAAGAAATAATAAAGGAAAGCAATAAAATCCTGTATATTATAAATACAGATCTGGCATATGATAGCACATCATTATCAACTGTTGGTATATAGATTCTTCTATCATTAGTATTAAAAAAGTATGTTTTTTATTGGCATGAATAAGTGATTCATTTAAAATGGTATTCTATCTGCACTTATGAATAATATTTTGCAACAAGTGTTATTATATATAATGAGGTAAATGATAAACATTTCTAATACTACATAAGAGACCTGGGCAAACGTATTTAGCCAAGGACCACACCAGGGATTTAAAAAACAAAATAAATATATAAATAAAGTGGCCTCAAGATAAATTACCATTTTTAGATATTTACTAGTTTCATAATAATTTTTACATAAAAATAAATATATAACAAATAAAATGAGACAATGCTAGAAATATGTACAAATCACAATGCAGGTATTAAAAATAATCAATATTTTATATCTTAAATTTGTCTGAATTTAAAGTATTGTAAAATCTACAGATTTCTTTACAACTACAATTCATGTCGCAGATCTCAAATTATAGCTAACTGAATCTACTATCAATATCTCAGCAATCTATTTTCATTTGAACAAAACTGTAAATTCTGAAATAGTTCACAAGTTGATAAATTCAATTGCATTTTATGTAAGCATCAACAGACCCCCCCTCTCAAAAAAATTTTTTTACAGAAATATGATTACTGAAAGGTGATGAAATACTGTATTAATATACACCCCCTTCCCCCAAAAAAGGAATGGTTCTTTATTTTCTGTTCTTCTAGGCCGATTCAAATAAGAGGGGGGGGGGGGAAAAAAAAAAGCATCTTGTTTTGTTGTTTTCCTGTGACCGAACAAAAGTGCGCCATGACTTTACGGACGCACTTTACATAGTAAGGGATTTGTTTTATTTTATGGTTTTAATTTGAATCTATAGGAGGTACAAATAAGTCTCTGATATTTGAAAAAAATGGTCCCACTAGTTACGGTTAAAATTGTCCAATGTAAAACGTCATATCGAAGAAAAATCTGCAGCTGAGGTGCATGGACTGCTTGTAAAAGCATATAGTTAGGCTGCCTTAACCCTTTGCAGCACACCTAAAAATTTCCTTCTGTACGCGCAGAAAAATTGAATGAAAAAGGATTTAGAGATTACTATAGGTTACTCTAAACCTTCTTTATTTATAATAGATGGCAGCTCAACACAAACGATATATTTTAGCCACGTTTAGATTTTAAGACCCTCATTTTTCAAAGAAATCTTCCAGATTTTTTTAGGGAAAAGGAATTGTTTGAAAAGAAATTTTTGTTATTTTTTTGGCTGTATGCTAATGTCCTTAGTAGTATTAGTTTTAAATTTTTACCTTGAAATCTTGCCTAAAATGGAACAGCGAACCTGAGGTGTTCCCAGAGTGGGCTCACCAATAAACTAGGACTACTGAGAGCCTGTATTCTTTGTTTCTCCACATCTCATTGGTCAGTTCATTGACAACAGAAAGGTGGCTCCACATCTGTGTTTCATTTCCTGTTCTTCTCCTTCTTTTCTCTCTTTCTCTTTGGGGGGGGGATGTTTGGTTATCAACTAACAAATTGTTGGGGTGATTTTTCTGAAGGTCAAGGGTAATTTTATCAGTTAGCTGTTTGGTTTTTCACTAAAGCAGTTCTCTTTTTCTCTTTCTCTTTCATTTAAAGTTTTGCTAGTGCTAAGTTTAATAGTTTTGAGTTGTAGACGCTTATTTAATTTTATTTTAGTGTTTATAATTTCTAATTGTAGATATAATAATATTAGTTTATTTTTTCGGATTTTTTAATTATTTTCCAAAAGCATCCGAGAGGGCTAATGATTTCTCAAGCATTGAAAGTGCTACACAAATTGCTTTCAGATAGTGAATCTGATATGGATCTCGGTACATGTGCAAAACATGCAATACTGAGTTGTGCTTTTTTCAAAGGTCGTGTTACTTTCTTCAAAAAGTGTCACCATGAAAAAGACTAAGTGTAAATATCATATACCCAAGTCACTTTTCCCCCCCATTCATAAGCATGCAATCAAAAAAGAGCTTTTTAGGGGGAGTGTAGAGTAGCAAGTTTCCCCGTGGCACACCCTGGATAATGCTAAATCACCCTGAGTAATTCAGAATCTAGTGTTTTTTAATCGTAGGCAAAATCTCTTACTCTTTTAAATGTTTCCCAGCAATGCTTGTTTCAGCACTCTTTTCGAAGCTTTATTCAATCAGTGTGCCCGCCTCAGTGCTATCTTTACAAAATTTTACTTGTGTACTCCTCTAGGCCTAATTAGACTGCCTACCCTTTTTTTTTTTTTTTTTTTAAATCGAAATTCCAACTTTAAAAGGTAGCGTGCTGGAAAGGGTTAAGCGAGAGAAATTGTTGTGAGTGGTTTCAAAAGTTTAAGAACGCTGAATTTGAAGACAAAGAACGAAGTGGAAGGATGAAAGTGTATGAAGCATTATTGGATGAACATTCAATGCCAAACACAAGTAGAACTTGCACTTAATTAGAAATGCCTCAACAAACAATATTACATCATTTACAATCATGAGAATGAAGCAAAAGCAAGGAAATAGGGTTCCATATGAACTGAACCCAAGAAATGTTGAATGCTGATTTTTTACATGTGAAATGCTGCTTGCCAGGCATAAACGTAAGAGGTTTTTGCATCTTATAGTCATTGGTCATGCAAAATAGATCCACTATAATATCCCAAAGAAGAAATCATGGGGACCATCTGGCCATGTTTCAACATCAGCAGCCATGCTGAACATTCATGGAAAAAAATCATATATATATATATATATCAACTTGGTGTATATTATGTGACACTCAAACCAAATGAAACCATTACTGGGGCTCTTTACCAAATGAAACTATCAGAATGAGCAAAGCACTCAAAGAAAAATGCATCTACTACTACTCCAGATGTGACAAAGTTATTCTCCTGCATGATAAAGCTCATCCACGTGTTGTGGTGCCAGTCAAAACCTACTCAGAAAGACTCAAATGAATATCTGCTGTATTCACTAGATGTTACTCATTCTTATTATTACTTGTTTTGATTGATAATGCACGGCCTATCTGAGAAGCACTTCACATCATATGGAAGTGAGTTGATTTTTGGATAGCCTGAAAAGTTGAAGCATTCTTCCGACAGGGTATCGATAAAAGATGGAAAAAAAGTAGTGGCTAGTGATGGTCAATACTTTCAAAAAAACATAATGTTCTGTTCTTTCGCAATAAAAAGCCAACTTTTCATCTGTCTTATAAGATGACTCTGGATTTTGGAGGCTTTTTTTTATGACTCAGCTATCATTTTTCTGCAGAAATATACAAGTATTGAAAACCTTTTAGGCTTTTTCAAATAACTTGATATCAACTTGACTCAAATAACTTTATACATTTACACTTATTCAAATGATTTAAATTGGGAGTTCTATTTAAGGTACTTTTTTTCTGTTTTCCTGGTGAAGGCGATAAAGTCGCCAATAATGGTACAACCGATGCCAAACGGAATATCCTCTCTGGTAACCTTTTACTCCTTATTTTCAAAACAAGTCGCCATTTCTTATCAGATTGATTGTTTCTTTCAACATGGGCATACAATTACATAGAATTTTTACCAGATAGTTCAATTTTATGCCCTAAGGCCATTTGCAGGCGGTAATTAACTCAATTAGCATGCAATCACAATGCTCACCCGATGGTGAAAATATAGAAAAGGCAAAGTCAAGGGTTAAATTCATCAATTCTAATGAGAATGCACTAGCGAAGTAAAGCACTGCGGTTTTACATAATTTTGGAGTAAGCTATTCGTACTAATTGAAATAAATCTTGCATTTAAACTTGTACTCCAAATTAAGATTTAACTTGAAATTAATGTAGATAATTACTGAGAAAATTAGATTTTTGTAGCGTAGTTTACGTGAGATGAGATCACTTGGAATCACGTGATATGAACCGGCGAATCAGGATGTTGAACCATGAAAGCATAGTAAATTCTTAAATTAATGTCTTTTTACAAATTTATTGGCTTCTTTACAAAATTTTAAACGACATTAAAATGTTTATGCCTTCAAAATAAAAGAACTAACATTTGTCAACATTTTTTATGTGTTTACTCTGTGTTGTCGCCAATAAAGTCTGCTTTGCGGAGATTTGCGCCGGCGAAATGGAAAAGTACCCTATTTAATATCTTTATATCTTATATATATTTAATATCTTATTCAAATAATTAAAATGGAGATTTCCAAAACTAATGAAATTTCCTCAGATAACCTCCTCCTGACTAAAAATAATTTCTCTCATTTATTTCTAATTGCGCAAACCATCAAAATATATAATTAGATCTTTAATATTTATATATAAAATCTATACACACAATAGTTTTACAGTAGAAAATATAAATCATAAAATAATTTGACACAGCTATGTATATCAATACATATTAAAATATTAATGTAGAAATTTGTGTTTATGACATAAAACATATTAAATTAATACAGACTAAAATCAAACCCAAAATTTCAGATATTTCTAGGGAAATATGATTTAAAATAAATGATAAAAACAATTAACATTTCAGATGAAAAAAAAAAATGAAATTGCCATTTATATGCATGTGCACATGAATATAAATATTTTTACAACTTAATAAAACGATGGACACTTATATCCACCATTCACAATCTAAAAAATCAAGCAACAGACAGTTTTGTTATCACATTTTCTGATGGACATACACATTTTAAATGAATAATCACATTCTAGAGACATTTTCACTTACCTACAAAACGGTTCACTAAAATCCCCATCATTATTCTCATGTGTTCTTTTTAAAGTCTTGTTTTCACTTTTGGTCTGGAAAGTTCTTTGACTTTTATTGCTTGGTTCAATAGGCCCATTCATGACAGGCAATTCCTCTAATTTATCTTTATTACATAAAATTACTATTTCCAGTTGAGCACCTTTAACCTTCAAAATAAAATGGAAGAATTAAATCTGCAGTACAAAAGAGAAAATTTACATTAAATAGTACTTTTTAATTAGCTGATTATCAGTTTCTCAGTTTGATAACAATTTTCGTCATAGAAATTTCTGGAAAAACAATCACTTGAGCAAAATAGTTTCAGGCTTAAAAAGAAATGATTTATAATTCCTATTCAAGAATGAAAATGATAAGGATAATTATATAAAATAATATGAAAAAAATAATATAATAAGAAAATAAGAATATTTCAACTATCCAAGTCAAATATTTCTATCGTCGTGCCTGTATAAATATTATTACAGCAAATAGCACTGAATGAACAAAATCCGAGTCTATACGTTTTATCCTTACAATTTAAAATCTATGCTATATATGCTCAAGTTGTTTAAAAAACTATGGATTTTACAGAACACAGAATACTTTGCAATAACAAAAAAGAAATGGAAGCACAAATTGAAATTATAATATATTCTTAAAATTTCCCTTTGAGGATTTACCATTGAAAAGAATAATGAGATGATTAATTAAAAAAATTTCTGCTCCAACAACAAAATGAAATATGTGCATTGTTATTTAAAAATTCTTATTAGATTTGGATTATTAACAGAAAGGAAAAACAGAAATGTCAGACCTATACACTTACTTTCCAAAAACAATTTAACAAAACTAAAATATAGTGGAACCTCACTTAACAAGCATAATTTGTTTCCAAATTTTACTTGTAATATGAAATACTCATTAAGAGAATTTTCTCCAGAAGAATCAAGAATCAATGTAAAACAGGATAATGTGTTCCATTCTGAAAAAATTCTCAAAAGATTTATTTAGTAATAATGTAATTTATTATATATAATATATTAAAACAACTTTTTTACAAGAAAGTTGTCTAAAGACATATGCCTATGCTTCAAAATTTGCCAAAAATGAGACAGCATTATTGTCAAATAAATTTGTAGTGTGCATATCTACTGTTTCATTAAGGTGCTTCTCATGTATGATGCAACAGGTTCCCATGTTTTCAGCACCTGCCTTATTTCATTGGTAGGCTGTTATCCCCTCCTGCCCTGATGAATTTCCTGAAGTTCTTGCTGTGACACAAAATGCAGCTCCATAAGCTCTTCAGTGGTCAGCTCCTTGCCAAGTTCTTCCACTAGCTTATTGATGTCATTGCTATATCCACCTCTAGCCCCATGATATTCGTCAGAGACACAATCTCTTTTATCATTGGCTCTACAAGCACTTGCCAAGAGTCATGTTTCACTATGCCGTTCAGCCAAAGCTTCCAGCCGAGATGGAGGCAGGATCATGCATGTGACATCATGATGTCGCTACATCACTCGTCTGTGAAACACTGCTTGTTAAGAGCCATTTTATTTCATTCATTATGGGAGGTGCTCGTTAAACTGTACAGTTTAATAACAAATGAAATTCTTTAGTTAATCCTGTACTCAAAATCTAAGAAAAATTAATTGCAGAATAAGTAGAGTTTAAAACAATGCAAAATTTATAGCATTACAGATAAATTATATTTCATCAAATATAATTTTTTCCCAAAGTATAGAACAGCAAAGCAAAAACTAGTTCTCAGCACATTCAATATATGAAAATATGTTATACAATACAGTAAGACCCCGCTTAACGCTGTTTCATTTAGCGCTGTTTCGGTTTAGCGCTCTTTTATTTCAACCCGGGGATTCCACGAAATCGCTCGCAGCATACGGGGATTCCCCGAAATATTATGCAGCAATAGGTTTCAAATACATATCCGAAAGAGTGTACTTGTATTTCTTGTTTGGTGCGGTATTTTGAAGGGGTAAATGTGGAAGATGTCGAAGAAATAATTCAAGAAGCAGCGGCTAGTCTTTCTAATGATGAGCTCAAGGAATTAACTGAACAAGAAGAAAACAAAAATGTTGACAGCAGTGATTCAGAAGAAGAGCAAAAAGAACTTTCGATGGCGTTTGTAAAAAGGAGTTTGTCTACCATAACTGAAATAATGGATCAATTCATTGAAAATGATCCGAATTTCGACAGGAGCTCAAAAAGTAAGGCGTGGTGTTAGAGATGCTCTATCCGTTTATGAAGAACTTTTAAGAGAACAACGCAAAAGAAAAAGGCAAACAACATTAGATGTTTTTGTCACAAAAAGGCAGAAACACTGAAAAACGCGGAAGGCTAACTAAATATGACTGAATTAGAATTTTATTTGTTTTTTTTAAGAATATTCGTTTTGTTATTTATATTTTGTTTTTATTTTTGCAAGAAATAATAATGTGGTATTAATTTGGGCTTTAAGAAATAAATGTTTGGTTTTATTTTTATTAAAAAGAATACTTTTTAAATTTAATACCTAACCAATTTCCTAGCGATCTTCCCCTAACCTCAATATTTACATGTAAAGATAGCCTCGTTTAGCACTGTTTCGCATTACGCTCTACTTTGATGGAACGTATCCCCCGTGTTAAGCGGGGTCTTACTGTATATGAAAATATGAATAAATACTGTAAAACAAACTTCAATACATGAATTACCATAGACATGAATTACCACAGATAAGATATACAAAAGTAAAAAAAGTACTAACTTCCATTGTTTCTTGAATTATCACATTGGCTTTTGATTCATGTGGCAGAAATCCCAACGGAACCTTTAAAGTACTCATTATAAATTCATGGAAGTTTCTGATAACATTATTGAGATGATCACTAGGTGGCTTAACTGCTACATAAACAGATATTGGATCAGATGGCACTAAGTGAGCCTAGAAAATACATGAGAAATAATACAGATTAAAAGCAAAAACTGAAATTTAAACACACAACTCAAACAAATGAATAAAGTAATTTTTTTGGCATTTTCTTAATTTTTCCTGTGAAAGTTATGGTACTTCTCTACACATTACAAAAACTAATTAGTTTTTACAAAAGATATTAGATAAAATTCACTAAGACAAAAGGAAAAGTACTCAATTCATAATTATATTTATTATACAACAGTAAATGCAAAATAAAATGTAAAACCCTTCCATGTTGACCACCTCAAAATTAAACCAGCAATTCTTGGAATATAAACAAACATGATTTATGATAATTATAATATTCTCTAACAAGACAACTCCTAATACAATTGAGACTATCAAACACATCTTAATTCAGTAAAAATCTGAAATATTTTTAAGTACTTAAAAATTAAGAAATGGTCTTATATTTTTTAAAGATAAATTTTATCTTTATCTCAACACGACTGCATTAATTTTATAGATTTATTTCTTATAGTTTTCATTTTCAAGTATTTAAACTAATTTTTCCTTTTTTTCCTTATGCAGACTAATATTATAGATTAATTGTAACAGCTACTATTATAAAAAAAAGATTATGATTTCAAGATTCTTTACAGGGACTTTTATTTAACAGATTGCTTAATACCCACTACAGCACTTGACATTCCAAAATTCAAACATGCATGGTTCTAAAAAATGAAAACAGGGATGCTGTGTGCCAGTGTTTTAGAAGTTTTTTCAAACTATAGTAATAATAAATAATTTATTAAAAACCAGATGTTGCAAATATATTCACATATCTAAGCTGAAAATGGAGCAGTACACAAATTGAGTATCTTTCATGACAGGGGCTGTAAAGGAGAAAAGGACAGAAAAATTTTTTATAAGCTGTCAATTCTGTTAAAAAAGTTTAAATAATCTCAGAGTTTAGGAAGTAATAAAAAGATTCATTCAGTCATGAAATTTAAATGTTTGATGAAGGAAGTGATTAGTCAAAGAAAAAACTCAAGTAGGTAAATTTCATTGAAAAATAGCGAGCATTTTTCAAATTCCTAATCAAAATTTATAATGTACGTTTCTTATACATTTTTCTCTCTGTCCTTTTTTTTTTTTTTTTTTTTTTGGGGGGGGGGGGGTATTTTACCTATAAGATATGGTTTCCAGATTTTAAAATATTACTCATTTATACTATTTAAGAAAACTATACATATTTTTACATGTATTTAAATTATTTTCTAAGATTTTATTTGTTTATTTTGCTACATTTTTGTTTATGAGTAAGTTGTAACTTTACAACATTTTTTATAAACTGACTGATATATTGTACTTTTATTTTAGTATTTTTCTTAGCATTTCAAAGCTTTTAACAGGATAAATTAATTATGACAATAATCACTACCACTGATGGTTGGCTCCTCTAAAATGATCACACATAAAAAATTTTTTAAAAAAATTTGTTGAGACCTACTTCAGAACTGTGATGTGGGTACATTCATTTATCAACATATACTCTGTATTAAAAATGTTACTATTTTCATTTAACATATTTCTTAGAAAACTTTAAAAATAAAAATAACAATATTGTCTTATATGATTAGCAGAAACATGAAATACCAACTGCTCTTTTTAGTCATTATACATTAATCATATACTTTTTTCTTAGCTAATATAAGCAACATGTTTAACTAAACATTCTTTTAAACACACTAGGAATTAAAATGAATTATTTTACAGGATGTTTGACTTATAGGAGGATCTCTACTATTTACAGTGGATCTAATGTTGGCAATATGGTTGCAAACATGAAATTATGCTACTAGAGAAAAGTATGCTACACTGTAAATAGCTGTGATGTGCCTCATTCTTGGGAGCCATAACATAGTCACTATAGTAACCAGTGTCATTGTTTCATATTAAGTTTATTAAAAAAAAACTTACTTCACAGCAATTCTTGTTTAAGATATAAGCACATACAAAATTCAGTAACAAAAGTTTTTTGTCAGACCATGTTGGATTATAACCTCATTCGATGTCGCATGCAGCATCCTTAAATTAATCGATACAGAAAATGATGAAAAATTTTTAGATAGGTGTGTTAATGAATATTCTAATACTATGCTTACATTTTAATTCTTTATGTAGTCATGAATAATCCCATCTCATTTCCAATGCATACACAATTGTGAGCTCAGCTCATATTAATGATTTCTCCCAGTTGAGGCACATATAAACTCTACTTACAAAACAAAATTTTCCCAAACTGTGTGTACAGGGTAAAATCCTCAATTTATGGTCCTGGAAATAATCCGGTATTCATAGGAGTAAAAGTTTTAAAAAAATGATTTAATTTTAGTAAATATGAATATGAAGTACAGCATAATTTACTGTAATAAAAAAGAGAATTTTCTTTTTCATCCCAGTATTTCATTAACAAACTGTTGCTTTTAAGTTGTAATTTTAATACATGTTTACTGACAAACTGATTTCAAAAGAAAAACAAATTTTAATAAATGACTATAAAAGCAACTCATCATTTATAATCATTTATAAGGCTTCAGAGATGAGGTCCCTAGCCCTAGTGCTAAAGAAAATATAATTATTTTTCTGTTTTCTTAAATTTTCTACAGGATACACACTGTTTGGTTTTGTAGGAATTATTTAAGCAAATTACATTAAAAGTTTATTATAAAATATGATTTATATATATTAAGATGTGTTCAGTAAATTCAATTAATACACCATACCCACATAATGTTAAAAAGCATTTGATCATGTATCAAATACTAAACAAGTACCTTTTTCCTCAACTTCTGAATGCGATTAATTACTTCCCTTGCAACACCCTCATCTACCATTTCCTGATCAGGAGTAATATCCAGAAGTACAAGGACCTAGAACAATACATGAATATGTTTTTGAAACTTATAAATATGAAAGTTAACACTTATATATCTAGACAAATTTTATCAACAGATGTACACCAACAAACAAAAAAAAAAAAAAAAAAAAAAAAAAAAAAAAAAGAAAGAAAGAAAGAAAGAAAGAAAAAAGAAGGAAAGAGAAAGAGAGAGCTCTACATCTCCTGTTTTACTTGGCCGACTGACAGAATTCAACTTGAGATGTTTCATATTTCGAAAGCGTGACATATGATATGTATAGAGTTGTTCTAACATGTGAATTCTAACACAAACTCACACTTTTTCTGAAATTGTATGTTAGATTTTCATTGATTCTATGCCTCAAATTATGCCAAAGTGCCAAATTTCGTAAAAATTGCAGCAGTATAATTTTCAAAATTAGCAGCCAAAATTTTAATGCCACGATGTTAATTGAAAATTTCTCACATATTTAATAATACCGACTTTCAAATTAAAGTTACTTAATTTTTTCTTACATTAAGTCAAAAATTAGGTTTAATCCAAATAAAATCATACTTTTTTTATTTATTCCAAAAACTTGTATTTACAAATAATTTTTATAAATTTTTTAAAAACATTTTTGCCATCATCTTAGAGTGGAGGTATTTCTAACCATACCTGCCAAACAAGTTTTTATTACAAATTTCTGAAGATGTGTGAATTTATATGGTGGTGCAGTTTGAAATTTGGCATATTTGTTATAAATGATAATAACTGCAGATGTGGTTTACATACTTTGTTACAATTTTCAATGAGTTATAACAGTTAAGTGTGAAACTTAAATTTCCAAATAGACTTTCACTGAGGATTACTCAAGTGGAATTTATTTACTATCATTTTTATTAATAATACCTAATAAATATCTATTTAAGAATATATGAAAAGCTATTTTTAAATTTAAAAATAATAATATAAAAAATAAACTTTTTATTAATATTATTTATACATATATAGTTCTTTTTTCCCTTTATAAGAGAAAATTTTTACCTTTGCCATTTTATCATCAAAAAAAAAAAAAAAAAAAAAATTTTTATTTGCAGATTTCAAAATTATGCATCATATAAGTATTTACTATAAGATGTCAAGTGTACATACAAAATGTGTATAAGTCACAATATGTGAGTATGTCAAGTAACACACTAAAAATATTATAAATAAAACATGCTGTCTTCTACTACAGAAATGTTTAACAAAGGCAAAATTTACTATAATATAAGATTTTTATCTTCTTTTCTGCATGTTAGAAAAGAAATAAATAAAAATTATTCTGAAGATGATTTATGTCCAAAGATATTTCGTGGTATTAACTGCATAGTAAATTCCTTAACGAACTGTTGTTTACATTTGAAAGAGCCACTAATATTACCATCAAAGGCCTTTCTTTTTTTCAAAGCAAAATATATTTTTAAGTACACATAGGATTTAGAAAGAGTACATTTTTAAAAGTCAAATTGTGATTTGTCAAGATCTGATTTCTTATCATTAGTAGCATAATAAATGATGACTATTGTTACATTTATTTTCACATAACCATTACTTCATCTACATTAGAATACATTAAAACTTTTCTTCTAAAATTTAAAAAATTCAAAAAGTTATCCTTTTCTGAGGACATATTCCTAACTTTATATATTAATGAAAGTTTAGCACCTGCATTTCTACTTTTTTCCATCAACTCTACCAAAAAGACAAATTAAGTGAGATTAATTTAGCAATTGACAATCTGAGTTCAGAGATAAAGTACTGATAACTAAACCATTGGTGCTTATTTGCCACATTCCTCCTAACAGGATAACTAAACTGGTTTTCAGCAAGTTTCTGGTTTTCTTAGTTTAGAAATCTGCTTTAGGAATCGCACATAAATTAGGTTTGTTAGCCAAATATGGCAATGCATTTGGAGGCTATCTGCCTTAGAGAAGGAATTCATTCATAGGTAATTTTTCTAAGGAAATTTAGCTTGTATTCATACTGCAGATGGGAAAAATATGGAAAACCGTGCAACCAGTTCATTGGATTGGGCTCCAGAACAACTACCAGCAGTCTTTAACTGCTCAGCCACTAGTGTGATTGCCTAAGTTAGGAACTAGGTTTTGATTTGCATATATCCAAACTATTATTATATTCTCAGGCACAAGCAGAGTTTTGTTAACACTTTAGTTTTTATATTAACAAGTCATAGTGAAGAACGTTTTACATTTGCTATTATTGTATACACTTAATGTTCTAGGAATCTAAGCTAAACACAGTACAATGTGCAAGATTATAGTTCAAAGTAAGAATAATTTAATAATGATATCTTAATTTCACACATTTATTATATTACTTGCTCATTAATGCACAGGGCTTCTGTTCACAATATGTGGAAGTATCAGAAAGTCTTTTCTGAATCAGAACATAAACTAAGTAAATTTTCTCATACAAATTTTAACAATTTTTTAGTTGTTAAAAGTACAATGCTTTTATATTAATATCAAACAAAAATCAACATTTTTGTTAAACACTAATGCAAAAATGTTGCATAACGTTCTTGTTAACGAGGAACTTGAGTTTTCTTAACTTAAGTTCTTATTTTGTTCATATATACTAACAACCTATGTATGTACTTGTCTTCAAACTATTTTAAAATTTAACTTTAGAATTCAAAAAAAATATTTTACATTCTCATAGAAAAATTCAATTTAAGAAATAATTGTGAAAATTTATTTTGACAGTAAAAATTGATACAGGGAAAAAAAAAAAAAAAAAATGGAACTTAAGATTACAAAGATGATAGTTTAGACTTAAATTTCTAAAATTACTATAAGACAAAATGAAAAACAGAATACAATAATTTTACTTCTCCAACAGAATGTGCTTCATATTTTTGAGACAGTTCTTTAGCTCTTTCACCACTGAAGCTGTGCATCAAGCGTATATCACCTTCAACTAAATCATATCCACACACAGATATTGTTCCCTTCTGGATAAATTCGTGAAGCTGAGAATCACTTAGTTCCTTGAAAAACAATTTTTGAATTAGCAGATTATGCCAACTTAATTTAAATCCCACTGTTTCAACATACAGTATTACTTGACAATCAAAATACAATAAAAATTAAACATAACACAGGATATTTTTCAAATTTAACATAAGTTTAAAACAAATAAATAAATTCTTCCATAGCCTGAATTACTTTTACAGCCTGAGCAACAGCTTTGGAAGCAGAACGCAATTTGAGTCCTAGAGTTTTAACATCTGGTTCAGCTCTTAATTTAACACCATATTTCTTCTTATCAGTAGTCACTGTGAGGCAGTTACATTTGCATTCAGTTACTGTTAAGCATTTGCATTTGATGTTAAGCTCCTAATGAAGAAAATAAAATGTATTAGATTTTCTTTATTGGTATGTAAGGAACATTATTTTTTTAAAAAAGTATAATGCCACATTACTTACCCTTATCATATTTCAGTGCAAAAGCAATATCTGTTGATGTCATTGATTTAATAAATTTAAAAACAGATTTCAATTAAACATAAAACACTTTCAAATCCAAGGCTATGAAAATATTCATCAAACTATAATAAAAAAATTATGCACTGTAAACACGAGTTCATATACGACTGCAATCCAAAATAATAAAAAGCTCAAAGTATAAAAATAAAATTGAAATTACAGGATTTGTGATCTAATAACAAATCTTAAAAATAAAATTACCGTATATACTCAAGTATAAGTAAAAAATTTTAAGGGGGAAAAAAATCAAACTTCAAAGTAGGGGCTCAATAATAAAAAAAAATAAAATAAAATAAAAAAGAGAGAGAGAGATCCACTGTGGCGCTGTCGATCGATAACGTGAGAGTGGACTTAATTATTTAATATATCGTTCATATAGAAAAAATACAAAATTGTTTATTTATTCTTCCTATTTTTATTAGTTTTTCTCATTTCATTTCAGCATCTGGCATCACAGATCAATTCAATCTGTACAATATCTGTGAGGCGCTCGTTAGTTTGAATATAACCATATCGAATCAGTAACTCAAACTATACTAAATAAGTCATTAATTACATTTTATTTATCTTGATCAAACGTGTACTCTTTTACTTTTCCTGCTTTTCATAATGTCTGATTTATCCAAATCTACGAAAAACGGCTCTTTTCAGAACCACACGCTCCCTGCAATGAGTTGTGTGATACAAAAGAAAATGTCTTACACTGCGAAATTCAAGCTGAAAGTAGCATCATTTGCAGAAAATACGAACAACTGTGTTGCATCATGTAAGTTCGGCGTGAATGGATGAAAATTTATTTTTAAGAAAACCCCTAAATGCTTATGGATCAGTATCTTTTTCAGAACTGGAAAAGTGCTACGTGACTGAATCCTAGACAACAGACACCAAGGTTATGTCATAACCCGAACTGTGATACATTTGCGAGCCATGGATCCTGCAACATGGATCAGCATCTTTCTGAGAACAGGAAAAAATGCTAAGTGACTGAATTATAGATAACAGATGGCAAGGTATCATAACCTGAGCTGCAATACATTTGCGAGCCATGAAACTTGCAAAAAATGAAATATTTGCTCCTGTAAATAACTTTTCGTTCATCACAACACTGGTGCATAAGATTCATGAATTCTGGAGTAGGTCTATGCCATCATACCAAAATTTCACAGAAATGGACAAGCCATTTTGAACAGAAAATAATAAACTTCCAAAAATGTGATTAAAAAAGAAAAATAACTGATTTTGAAATGTCCCAAATAGGAAACATGGATGAAACCCTTATGACTTTTGATCTCCCTGGAAATTTCACTGTAAGTAAACATTTCATTGCAAGGGTGGAAAAACAGTTCATGTAAAAATGGCTGCTCACGAGAAAACTTGTTTCGCAGGGTAGGGTAGTTCTTACCTGTTTAGCAAATAGTAATACATTGCCTTCCATGATTATTTTCAAATGAAAAACATTGTCAAAAAAGACAGCATATCTGTCAGGTGTTTTTGTTCACACCCAGAAAAATAGTTGGATGAAGGACATACTAACAATTGACTGGTTTCAAAACATATAGAGCAGAAAACCAGGTGCACTTTTAGGAAAACCTTCCCTTTTGATTTGGGATTTGTTCTGACCACGTCATTCAGAAGTGGTAAAAAAGCAAACAGAAAGTTCAAAAAGAGCACATTCTGTGATCCCAGGAGGACTGACATCCATTTTACAACTACTGGATATCAGCAAAAATAAGTATCAGGTAAGAGCAAGTATCAGGTGGAATGCATACAATCCGATTTGCCTAATAAAACCAAAGATGGCATTATTAGAAAGCTGGACATAACTTAATTGCACAGTGCATGAAAGATGCTTGGGACATGATTTCAACTAAAATGATAATTAAATCATTCAAAAAGCGCTGCATTTCCAGTAACTTGGATGGCATAGAAGATGATGTAATCTATCCAAGTAACAATAATGGCACTAGCTGTGATGAATCGAGTGATGAAATATATAACGATTCACCAATGACTGAAAAAGAATTTCAGGATTTATTTGACAATTCTGACACTGAATCAGAATTTGAAGGTTTCAAATAAAATTATTTGAAAATTTTGTATATATTTTGAAGTTTTATCATGTGCTAAAATGGAAGCAAGCAAAAATTCACTAAATCATGAACAAATGCACGCTGTTTTATCAGTGGCAGTGGCGCCGCTCATAAACCAAGTTTGTTTTTCGGAAAAATTTTCTCAAAAGTGTGGGGGTGGGGTGATTATACACAGTATATATGGTACTTATCATATGAATGAAGAAAAACCAAAAGTGGGATAGGTAATTAATTATATTTTGTAGAAAATCGACATGAGATCACTTTACTAAACAATAGTAAGAAATATAACATGATAATCTGCCTAAAAGTCATCTGTAATATTTGCTCAGCTCAACCTGTGCACTGGATGCAGTGACATATTATGATCAATGTGTAATCAAAACAAGAGCAGCCAGATTATATTAAACAATAGTTAAATTCTTCAAAATCTCACACCTCAGTATTTATCTAAATCCAAAAAATTAAGAAAATAACAGCTTTAAAAAAGCATATATAACCTCAATGATAAATTTCTGCAATGATTTAACATCATCAAGATATTCTTGATCTTCATGAATGACCACTAACTCTGGGAGAGGGTACTAAAAAAAAATAGAAAATTTACCCAGATTAAAATCAGAATTAGAAACACAGAAATAGAAAAGATTAATTTCAGTACAAAAAATAAAATTACTTTCATTGGAAGGGTATTTCTTTCTCGAATGAGACGGCCAATATCTATAACTTCTTGCATCCTTGCTACTTTTCTTTCAACAACTGTATTTATCAGCTGCTGCCTATAAATGTAAAATAAATATATTTTTTTTTAATTTCAAAATTTCAGTTTCTCTCTTAAAAAATAGTTTAATCTCAAAATAAACATTCAAGATTACATAGCATTTCAGAATGAAAACCAAAATTTTAACTCTGCTACATTTCACGAATCTCGTAGGATTCCAGCTGCTCATGAAAAAACACACAGGTGTTTAATGAGAATCAAAGTTTGGATATTATATAGGATTCAAAGTACTCTAGCTGATTCTCTTTTTGCTGAATGCTCATCAAGGCCTTGAAAAGTATTTTTGCACAATATCTTCTTGGTAATGAAAGCTTTCACTAACATGATGAATCCTCACTTACACTATGATTTTAAAAAAATGATTTAATGATTTGTTCTCTAATCCATTTCCTCCTTATTTTGTTCAGATTTCTAATTCATTTAGCAACAGAACTTCTTTAAATGCTATCTTCTGTTTCATAGCCATACACTTTTTAAAATTCATTTTGCTTCCTTTTTTATCAGAAGATTCATACTTGCAATTATCTGCCTAAAAGTATCATTACTTATTATTTGACTAAACCAACTAAATTCTATGTTTATTAGCAACTTCAAGAACCCCCTTTTTTGTTTGTCTGGTTCTTTTAAATAATACAAATTCACAGAAACTCTTTAAAGTAATCCAATTCCACAGATCCTTTTAGATCAGTACAGATACTTTTAGAATACTTTTCTATTCTTTGCAAAAGCTATACTGATCAATAGTATGTCTATCTACTTTATCTTTTATTCTCACTTCCTCTCTTTGAAGTTACAACTGAAGAAATATAACACCATCTTCGGTGCCTTTTTTGTGATTTTCTCTTCTTGTTTCAAAATTGCTAATATTTAAGAGTATATTTTACATCATCTAATCTGTCATAAAAATTCAAACTGTCCATCCAACTGTCTTCAAAATTTTATTCTGCATCTCTACCCATTTGAAAATTATATTTATAACATCTTCAAAAACTGTTGCACTGCAAAGTCAGGAAAATATTTTGTGCATACTCAAAATTCCTGCATGTAGCTTAAAATTCTAGATTGTGGGGGGTCTCCTTTACCATAAAAGCATAACAATAAAAATATTAAACATTAAATCTATTTAATCTTAAATGAAAGCAGATGAAAACAATAAATTATACTGAAAAACTCCTGCAAATCAGAAAGCTGCAAAATTACAGCCAATAAATAAATAAATAAATATATATAAAATTTAAAGAAAAATAAATATTTTTATTTTCATGTATTTTGGCATTATAATGATTATGGAGGGAAAAAAAACTTAAATATTTATACAAATTTTGCAGGTGCATAAAATAAGTATTATTCCCCATTTGGATTTAAATGCAGTATTTGAATAAAGTAAAGAAAGTCTTTGTATGATTACTTTCTTTGTTCTTTGAAGTTTCAAATACAAAATTAGCTTCTAATTTAACTGGAACAAAACACAATTTTATTACTTAATTCCCTTTGTGTGATTTTTCAAAACACTAGCTTTGTTTCTGTTCCCAATTTCAGGTAATACACAGATAATCCATATCACAAAATATAATACAAAGAGAAAATACAATGAACTATCAATAACAAGCATTTCATCAAGATTTTTAATGCTTAAATTAATGCAACTATGGCTTCAAAATTATAAAAATAATACAGTTAAAAGGAAGTGATAAAATCAAAGTAAAATTATTTAGATTAATGAAATTCAACATATTTATGCCAAGTTTTTACTTACTTCGGCTCAGGAACATATAAATAATGAATACTGTCATGATTACTATTTTCTTCTTGTTTGACTAACACTTTTCTCAGATTCTGATATACCAATTCAGTAAAGAAAGGACTAAAGGGAGCCTAGAAATAAACATTATATATAAAAATTCTGTTGCGATTTCAGTTTAAAATTCTATTTCATGCAAACATAAACTTTCATAATTCCTTTTTATATCATTAACATGAGAGTTTCATCAAAATAAATAAGCTAATGTTGAAAATTTACATCAGAAGGTAATATTCAATACACAGAATTCTATACTAACTTCACATATTCTTTATTCTGGCTAGCCATTAGCTAAAGATACTAAAATACTATTTTAAAAATGTGTACAATGTTAGTACATTACAATTCAATCAACAAACGAAATATATCAAAACTTTTCCTAATCAGCAGATGGGAAGAAATAGAGAAAAGTATGTTAAAACTAACAGACAATTAATAGTTAAAAAATACACAAAATCTTTCTCACTTCATTAACACCAATGAAAAACATGCTTTTTGCCACATAGGAAAATATACAGATGTCTAATTACAGCTTTTGAATAGGATGAAATTAAATAATTCTAAAGTACTATTTCTATGCATTTTAATTCTACTGTCAGAAAAGATAAATGAAGTAATTCAAGCACATGTAAATACAATATCATTGATAAAAAAAATTAATAAAATTCATATGCAATCTCAAAATACATTTACATGAAATATTTCAATATAATCCTTTTTCAGAATTAAGCTTGCTTAAGAGCAAAGATGAAAAAACATTTTAATGATTCAGAAAAATATATGCAAATAGTTAAAATTGTAATAAAAATGACAATAATATCCTTGGCAGCATTTTAAATCATGGAATTTTTCTAAATAAATTTTTCAATTTATATACGAGGGCCATCCAGGAAGTAGATTACGTTTCCGTCTGTGTCCGCTAGGGGCGGGGCTAGCGCGGCCATCTTGGGGTCAGAGCGTTGCGCAGCTCAGTCTGCATCTAGCCGTGCTAGTGAGAGGTTCGTGCTGTGCTCCGTTCAGATACTGTGACGGTTTGAAATGTCTGCGTTAATTGAAAATCCTGCGAGGTGCGCTCAGTAATAAGGTTTCTGACTGCAAAAAACTGTAAACCGATAGAAATCTATCGGCAGCTTCGTGAAGTGTATGGGGACAAACATTATCACTGAAGGTGGAGTGCGTCAGTGGGTCATAAGATTTCAAAATGGCCGAACCAATGTTCACGACGAAGATCGAAGTGGGAGACCCAGCATAGTGACCGCCGAACTTCTCGAAAAAGTCGATGCTAAAGTCCGTGAAAATCGAAATTTCACAATAACGGAACTTTCTTTGAGTTTTCCACAAATTTCGCGAAGTTTTTTGCACGAAATCATCAGCGAAAAGCTTGGTTACCACAAGTTTTGTGCAAGATGGAAGGCAAGAAGAGGTAACGAAGTGGTTGAAGGCGCAGGCGGCCGAATTTTTCGACGAAGGAATTTCCAAGCTCGTACATCGCTACGATAAATGCCTTAATTTGTATGGTGACTATGTAGAAAAGTAGTATTTGAGTGTGGCTTTCATCTGTATATAATAAAATTTGTTTCCTTTGTTTATTTTTTTATTCCAAAACGTAATCTACTTTCTGGATAGCCCTCGTATATATATAGAGAGAGAGAGATAAATTTAGAAATGATTTCCATAAGCCATAGAAAATTCACAATAACTTTCCTCTTTCTAACTAGCAACACAGGAATAAAACTTATTCAAATATATTGTGAAAACCTTACCATTACTCTTATCATAGTGTAAAGAACTGAAAATAGAGTTTCCAAGGCATTTTGACAATCAGTTTGTCCTCCTTCACCCTAAAAAATAATAAAGAACATTCATGCAGATTTTTTTTTTAAGATGACATTATAAATCATATGAAATTTTAAAAACAGAAAATATAATGGAGAAGAGCCTAAGCTTCAAAAAATGGCACTTTTTAAAGGATGTATTCCATAATATAAAAAATATATAACACAAAAAAACACAGTAATGCCAGAAAATCTACTGTATTTTAATTAATAATAATATAATAAAAATAATAGACTTCAGATTACTATGGGAGAATTTTTTCATTAACAAGGGAAAAATAATAAATAAACAGGGGCACTAAAATAGATGAATTACTGCCAATTTCGCAACATCTTTAAAAAGTATATTTTAAACTGTAAACACAACAATGCTTCTTAACATATTTAATATTCTTAATATATCTTAATAACATCAATATTTATCAATAAATTATTTGTCATTTGAGCAACAGTTTCATTGTTTTTTATAACAGCCACAGCAGTCATTTATGCTCCAAATCTTTGAACATAAAATAAACAAAAATATAGTTTGAGTAATGACAAGCACCTCTAATAAAAATATGGTGATTACAGGCTTATAAATTTATAAAAGTTTTACATTTAAACATTAAAAATATGAACCCCTGGACTAATATCAACAGCCCTTTTATTTATGAATTTCTAATGTGGCAATGAAAGTTCATATATTATTTTCTCAAATTTTAATTACTAAAAGACAGCAGCTTAAAAATTTAATGGAAATTCTACAAATTTCTAGCCTTCTGAACACAAGTGCTATTTCTTTAAGTCCTGTCATACTAGGACAAAGAACAACTCTAAATAGTCATATTTTATAAGATCAGCAAAATTATGACCTATACTTACCTTTAACCGCTTTCTATTCATTCTCACATACCAATTTGTTAGGTGATCTACAAACTTCACTAGTCTAGGTACAACTGTATACAGCCTATAAGCTAAAGATCCAGTATTATTGAACATCAGGATAAAAACATTTACACATAAATGAAATACTGTATTGCTCAAATATAAGACTTTAAGACTAAAAAACCCCTTTTTGAAAAGCATATCAGACTTATGTGTGTAGCTGCAGAAAAATTATCATTAAAGGCATAAAGTAAAAAATTTAGAACTAATATTTCACAAAGACCAGAAATTGAAACATTTTTAAAATTCCTTTTTGCATTTATATCATTATTTGAAATTTATTAATTATGAATTTCAATTTCTGGTCTTATATTATATAAACATTAGTTCTAAATTTCTTATCTTTTATTATACACATACTGTATATAGGGTGTTATAAATGAATGGTGCATTTTTAAATATTAATAATACACCGAAATATTAATAATACCTCTACCATGGTAAAAACCTACATTGTAAAACATTAGCTGCTGTCCAAGTTTCTCATGAGCTACCTACTGTTTGCTTTTCATGCTTAAATGCCACAACAGCAAAAGTGTCCAAATCTGTGATTTCAGTGCGGCATGAATTTTGCACGTTTTCTGTGCAGTGTCCCGCAAGGAAGTGCACAGCCCATTTATCTTCAAACAAGAAACTGTAATCACTTGTGCTTTCTAGACATCTTGAAAACATAGTTGCTACCCTAGCTTAACACAAGATGACCACATTTTATAACTGGACAGTGCACCCATTTTCACAGGAATGTACTACAGCTTCTTAATCATGTTCTTAACCAATGTTGGATTGGGCATGCTGCAACAGCACAGAACAATCTTCTACCTTGGCCTACCTGTTCGCCGTATTTTATACCATGCGATTTCTTTCTTTCGGGATATGGAATTTTTTTGTTAGATATATATGTAACAATAGCATGAAAAAGACGGAGCACTGTTATGTAATAATAGCATGGAAAAAATGGAACACTGTTTATGCATAATACCCAGATAGGATAAATCGACGATCCATATTGAAGAGGAAGAATTCTGATTATGTAGCATGTTAATATCTTGAGTTCGTAATATTAAGAAACTTCACAATCACGACAGTTTGAATTCCATTTTTATTCCCAGCTGACATTTGTGGCCCAATCACTTGGCAACTAGTCACTCTAGTCAGACTATTGACAGAATATTTACACTTATGATATATGGCAATAGCAAGCACAGCGAAATTATGTCTAAGCAGTGAAGAAGTTTGAGCTAAAGTGCATAGTTATCCGATATGAAAGCACACAAAGAGAAAGGTTTTGGTATGAGTTAAAAGTTTCAGTTTCTAATTATTACATCATCAGCGCTGCACAGGCCATGCAAAATGGAATGATCTAAAATGACACAATCCAGAGACATTATTACGATTTTTAAAACAGAGAGGAAGAATTAAAGGGTTACGATTAGCTTAAATTATAATTTTGATTCACATATTTTTTTTACCTTACACACACACACACACATATATATATATATATATTTAAAACTATTTAGTTACAATAGTTTTCCAAGGAGGATGGATTCAACTGAATCTGATCTACCTCCTCTTGATAATGTTGGATCAGAATTTGATTGTATTCCTTTTATTTATATTTTTATGTATTTTTGTTGTTTTAAATTATGTTTCTGGTTTTAAAACACTGAGTTGATGGGTTATTTTACATTTTTTATTGGAAGATGCTGGTTTTGAATTCCATTTCTTTCATGTATTTGCAGTTATGGATCCAAATTTCTTACTATTTTATCTATAATTGATTCATTTTTCAGCAGTATATTGTACGGAAATAATTTTGGGATATTTTCATTAAAAAATTTTTTATGTTACTGTATCTATCTATCTTTCTATATATATGTATAATAGGCAAAAAGGAAGAAATTTGGTACCAAATCCACAAAGACATAAAAGATTATCTCTGTTTCTCATAAAATGGAAAGATAATTTCTTGCTTTTCAATAACTTTACTAAGAATGTAAATATTATTTACCTACAAATAAATTCATCTCACTTATGTAACCTCTATTTGTTTCCTAAAGAATACAAATTTCTTAAAAACCTTTCAGATATTGATTTCAAAAAATGTTGACACATTTTTAGATGTATTGATGATATCATTATGTTCAACAATAATAATCCTATTGGGAATAGCAACATCTATTCCAACTGTCTAAAACTTAACAGGACTAATAAAAATCAATTAATTATTGATTATCTGGATCTTAGCTTAGAAATAAATTTGATAAAAAAAAAAGAGAATTCAGTTTTTCTACAATTAAACTTCTTAATTGGAACATCAATATCTCTAAAAAAATTATAACTAATACAATCTTTAATTAAATTACCAGAATCAAAAAAGTTTGCACAGTAATTGAGTAACAAAAACAAGAAATATATTTGCTTACTAAAATTTTACATGAAGACAAATCATGTGCATACTGAATAAATTTTCCGAGGAACTTTTTACTCTTAATCCTTAAGTTCAAGCATATTTAAACAAAAGTCTCACCCACTATTAAATTTATTATTTTTAATAAGAAGCCAATTTTGTTCAACATGAAAAATACACAAATCAAGAAATTCAGGATATACATTAAAACATATACACTTATCTGCCAGTTGCATCTTTATTTAAACACTGTCCTACTTTATCAAAATATTTATTGTCATTGTTAGCACTTACAGGAAACGATATATTACTTTGGACTGAAATAAGAGTGTTTAGTTGAATGAATAAAACAGATGACAAAAACAGATTTTCCATGTCTACAACAGAAATGGAGTAGAAATCTATCCATAATTACAGTATCAACTATACATTGATAAACAGCGATGAAAATGCCAATTTATAGTCGGTCAACACTGATGATAGAAAGCAAACTAATAGTTAACTACCTACTATTAAATATAAAGTTAAATACAGTTTAGCACATATTTATTAGAACACTGGGTAGTGTTCTGTTATTGGGACTGGATTCAGAAACATATGGACATGTGTTTGTATGTTATGTGCATATATGTATACACACACATACAATCGTACTTACATACATACATGCATGCATGCATGCATGAACACATACATTACATTTCTGAACCTGTCCTGATAACAGAACAGTACCGAACACTGAGTACATGCAAAGAAATGATTAGTGAATTGATTATTGCAAAGGATGAACATATCAAGTCTATAGGATGAAAAGGGAAAAAATAAGAAAATCCTTTATTAAAAATTGAGACTCTTACACTTTTACAGTTATTACTACTTGAAAAAGCTATATTTCTTACTACCACAGCTTTACATAGCATCTTATATTCACTTACAAAGATAAAATATATGGACATCTTAATTTTTTAATAAACATTATAATTTTCAATATTAACCCTTTGTTGCATCATGTCCACTCTAGTAGACAAAAGTTTAAGTTTGTTTATTCTTCTGTAAATGCCTTAACAGATTTCATTCCTGTGTTTAATCATCCTGTATTATCAGAACTTTCAACTGTCGATCATAGATGGCTGTATAGCATCACTAAGTAAAGCTATTTGAAAAAATGATTGCTACTTCTATTTCCATGTTAGTACAATTTCTCATGCCAATGCCAATGATTTAAAAATTTCGGAGTGCCTATGGTTCAAAACCATGTACCTCCACATCAGAATTACTAAAAGTGAACAGAAATAGGAAAAATTTGCATAAGTAATTTACTTGATGCTCAATAGAGGGAGCCACAGGCTCTAGAAAGATTAGGGATAGAATGAGAAATTTAAAACTTAAACATCATTAATTTTTATAAGTTTTTAGGTTTTTATAATTTTTTTGTACTTTTATATTTTATACTTTTTTGGTTTTTATAAATTTTTATACACGATACAAAACACTAAAGCAAAAAGCAGATAGGAAAGAGTTTAAGATTAATAGGCTCATTGGCATGTGGCGCGTGTTGGTAGTGCAAATAAAATATGGGAACGCGGTGAAAATATTCATAGGCAGATTAAAATCTGCGGGAGATGTGATTCTAAGCGAACAGATTGATAACTTTGCTTGAAGATCTTTCTAGATGATGGATGGTGAAGAATAAGCAATTATATGGCAGCTCAGCGAGGAGACGTCCTTCCTTCATGGCGCAGGAGCTGGTAATGATGTTGAGAGGGCGCGTCTTGCCCTTTCGGATGCCGGGTAGATGCCGAACTCTCGGCCAATCATGGCTCTCGGTCTCTTCTGTGAGCTGCGAATAGAAGGGTCGTAGGCAGGCATCTGTTGAAGTGCTTGGTTATCAATCTGTTCAATTTTGAGGAATAAATTTTGACTAAGTTTTTTGATAAGATAATCCACAGGTTTAATGTTAAGGTCCGAATGAATCACATCTGTACGGACGTACCAAGCTGCATTAAGGGCCATACGTAGGGTCTTACTTTGAAAAGATTGAAGTTTCTTCACATGAGTTTTAGCAGCAGTACCCCAGATTGTACATGCATACATGAAGACAGGTCTTATAATTGATGTATAGAGAAGAATTTTGTTTTTAATTGACAGATGGCTCTTGCGAGCTAATAAAGGGTAAAGTTGCACCTTTTGCTTTATTGAGAGTATTTTCAATGCGAAGGTGCCAGCGTTAATTTTGAATCAAGTACAACTCCTAGGTACTTGTAAGAATTTGACCAGAGAACATAGTCATCGAAAAACTTTAAATTAATGGAAGGGTACGGGAGGGGGCTATGTTTGAAGATCATAGCAGCACATTTTGCAACATTAATTTTAATTTTCCAAGTGATGAGCCAGTGCTCAAGGCTGGAGAGATATCTCTGAATGATGTGAACCAAGTTTTCAAGGTGTCTGCTTTGAGCTAGGATGGCCGTATCATCTGCATAAAGTGCAAGAGTGATACTATGTGATTTTGGTATGTCATTGATGAAAATGTTGAACAAAGTTGGGCCCAAAAGTGACCCTTGCGGGACGCCGCCGAGTATAGGACGAGGCGCCGAAACGAAGGAATTAATTCGTACAGAAAAAGATCTATAACTGAGGTACGAGTTAATTATGTGAATTAAATGGCCGAAATGTCAAGTCATATGAGCTTGATAATAATTCCTATGTGCCAAATCCTATCAAATGCTTTGGCTATGTCAAGAAATAAAGCGCCAGTAAGCATTTTGTTACGAAACCCTTCATGAATGAACTCCACTGTCCTCAGCAGCTGGTGCGTAGTGCAGTGTTTTACTTGAAATCCAAACTGTTCATCAATTAGAACGTTGTGATTTTGGAGAAAATCATTCAGGCGTTTAAGTAACACAAATTCGTAGATCTTTGATAACGATGATAGGAGGCTGATAGGTCTATAATTTTGAGGATTTGAAAGGCTTTGGCCTGGTTTTGGAATAGGCACAATGAGTGCTTGTTTCCAGCTTTGAGGAAAATAGCAATGCTGTATCATATAATTTATAAGCATTACTAGGAAAAATAGATAACTGGTGGGTAAATTTTTAATCATACGATTAGAAATAGAGTCCATACCAGGTGCTTTTTGGGGTTTGAGCTTGGTAATGTATTCACTTACCTCGCTCGTGGATGTGTATTGCACGTCTCTCGCAAATGGAGAGAATAAGAAGTGTTCAACATCTTGTGGGAAAGAATTTGCATTGTTCGCAAAAATTCCTTCATTATGTGGTGTAAATTGTGTTTGAAGAGAATCCGCGGTTAGTTCGGATTTCTCAGCGTCTGTGTGAGCCACCACTGCATCCGTTGCTAAGGACGGAATGTGAGATTTGTGTTTGCGTAGGCGGGCAGATGCACGCCAAAGACTGTTATCATTGGTCGTTAAGGACTGAATGTAATTTGTGTATTGTGATTGGTAGAATTGGTCACATGATGCCTTGATCTCATTTTGGAGAGTACGGAATTGAATTTTTAATCCAGGATTTCTATTTCTTTGCCAAAGTGTCCGTACTTTATTCTTTTCTTTAATTTTGAGTTTAATCTCTTGAGGTAATTTACGAAAATTGGGTCTGAGGGTGGATTTTGATACTTCCTTATAAGTATCTGTTAAGATGTTCGTTAACTGATCAACTGCTGTGTCTATATCACAATTTCTCATGGTAAACATTACATAATATTGCTTACATTTTCTTATACTGCCATGTTTTATTCATAATTAATAATTTTAGACATTTTATTTTAAATGTCAGTTTGAGAAAATTGTGCAGTGGATAGATAAAGATCTACCGAAAAGAGTGAATTGAATACCAAATGTACTGCTTATCGAGCTAAAACACCACTGGAAATGTTTATGTTTGGCAAGGAATTTCTAGAACATTTGACATTTGAATCCAATAGGTACAGGTTGCAAAATTGTAGCAAAATGAATTCAATCACAATCGACAAAATGAAGGTATTTTGGGGAATCTGTATGTACATGTCAGTTGTAGATTTACCATTTAGAATATGGTAATGATCACTGCAAAAAGGCAGGAAATGATTTCAAATGCAATGACCGTAAATCGTTGGGAAGAGGTTTGTATGCATGTAACGCATATGCATGCTGCCCACTGTATTGAACAAACTGTAGCAATTATTTAAAACGAAATTTGAATACAATTAATTTTCTTTCATTATTATTACTAAGGTTATTTTAAGTAGAAAAAATGCAAACATTTTCATTTAACTTCTCTAAATTATTTGTATGCAACAAAAGGTTAAAAAAAGGGGGGGAGTTCTGTGAAACATAATCCTTTATGCCTGCTATAAATTGTTACTTATCATAAAATTTATAATTTTTTTATTTAATTGCATTCTTGATTTAAATGCAGTCAGAGATAATAATGCAAAATATAGTAAAAAAAATACAATTTTCTTCCAATAGCTATAGTGGAGATTAAATTAAATAAATCTATCAATAATTCTTATATTTGCATAAAAATAATCATTTTAAAAATCATATAAACAATAAATTCTGAAAAGCCAATATCATATTCATATTGCTCAACACTGAAATTGCAACATCAAAACTGAAAAGCTTCAAACATTTGAAATTCACAGGATCAACAAACATGATAGTAATATGCAAATGATCAGAAATTAGAAACAAAATATACAAATAAGCTTGCTTTATTCAGTATGGAATATGACTGTTATGAGTGGAAATACATGCACTTTTCATGATGCTATCAATGCATTCATTCAATTCTGCTGCCAGTGTGTTCCTGAATCATCATCTGAAGAATGTTCTGTGATGTTACAAGCATTTAAGTGCATGAAGCTGCAACTGGCTCTTCCTTTTGAAGTAAATAAGCAATGATGTGTTCAACAGGAGACAATATTGGAAGTGCTGCAGGTTGCAGCATGTCATGCACGTTATTCATAGTAGCAATAGCTAACATGCAGCCTACCTTTATCATGCTGGAAAAATGCTCCTTCGAGCCTGAACCACTGGCTACACAACCAATGAACACAATATTCAGCTCTCAGTATACAAGCAAGAAAGACAAGAGATGTCCATTTACTATACATTATGTTGCTCTAACAGGATTATTCCATAAACAGGGTTGGTATTATATTCTCTCAAGAAAGCTTGCTGATGTCATTGGTCTTCTGGTTTCCAAACAAATCTCTGATCATCACTGCTTCTACCAAAATTCATTCGTCTTATTCTAGTCTCTATTTCTCCTTGAACATATACCATGACAGCCTTGATAGTGATGACTTGAGGTCAATGAAACACCTGTCATTGGCCATCTATTTCACAGACGATATTATGCTAGGGCCTCCTGATGGTTTATGCAGACACTACTTGGCCTCTTGAGCTTAATATCTGATAGCCAGATATTAAGTTCACTTATGATAGAGGAAGATCACCATAAACCAATTTTCTTATCTAACATGCCCAAGGAGAAATTTTGCTCTGGCCATCACCGGCTTTTACCTGAGAAAATCACTTTTTTGCAACTACTAGATAAACAATACAGAACATTACTGACATGTAAGCCTAAATCACAGCAATTTGCTGCAGTGAAAAACAATATCAGAGTTAAAGGATTCTGTCCCTCAATATTTAAGATAGATGATGGGAAGCACATTAACAAACATAAAGCATTTAACTATCTAACTATGATACTTACTACAAGTTCTGAAGCCTTTACTGCATTTGATTAAGTTTTTTGTACAAATAAACTGCTCTCACGTGTTGCTAATCATAGTTATATGTTTAAAAATCTGGTCATTTACATGTTTTTAGCTGCACGTATAATTTTACACTCCTGTGTAACCGTATGGCTTTTCCTTCTTGATGCACGATTTCAATACTGAACAGCATATTTATTGCAGATATTATATATAATATAAATGTAATTTACTCAAACTAAGAGGTAAGCAATTTCAGGGTAAAGTTGATATGGCAATCCAACTAATCAAAATTAAAACTTTAACCTATAACAGAAATAAATTATTAATTACTCAGCAAAACATTTTTAGTTCCATTCTTTCTTGCTATTAAAAAATTAGATAATAATTTACTAATTAAAAAGCATGCACAGAAATTTTTAATATAGTACAATAGTTACATTATAGTATTTCAAGAGCAGTTTGTGTTGTAAATAAACCTTCCTGAATAACACAATTTAAAAGCTGGAGATTTCAGAATTATAAACTCTTTAGTCTTAAAAGACATTCAAAATTCTTTACATAAAAGCTCAAATATGAATAACTCACCTTTCATTTCCTTTGTAACAAATGCTACAAGACTCTGTGTGAAGGACAGTATCCAACAGTCCATAATGTTCTCAGATTTCAATTTTTCATGCACTTGTTCAGAATAGGAAAATTTAGTATCATAAGCCTAAATAACATAAGATTTAAAATGTTGATTTAATAATAAAATAAATGCATCAGCTATTTTTTAAAAAATGATGCTATTATACAGCACATTTAATTAAAAAACTAAAAGCAACAGAATTAACCCTATCAAGATAATAGAACACCTACACAATGATTCATAAACAAATATTTTTTTTTTTTTAATATTTTACATTATTCTAGGAGTATTTTCTCATACTGTGTCTGAATAGTATGCACATTAGCATAGTAATACTATAAATATACACAATGTCATACCAAAAATAATGTAAAAATCAGTTTAACTTTTTTTATTAACCGACATATGCCATCTATACTTCACATATTATTAGAAATGACTCTTCCTCTACACAAGCATATAGTAACAATTTCCTTCATTGTAAGCAAAAAAAATACAAACATATCATCATTCAATTCCTGGTAGAAGGGAAAAAAATCTACTCAACATCCACAAAAGGATGGTAGATGATACCAATGACAACCAATGTGCACAAACTTCTAAAAGAAGTTTAAAAAAGAAAAGTGGAAACCAGCACTGAAACCATGTTGTTGGAGACTATTAAATGCAACTAGAGGTACCAAACTTCAATGGATGACTGATTGTCATGATCTTAGAGATGTCTAAGGAATCACTCTTCATTATAAGGTCTAGAATGTCAGCCAGCTAACAGCATAAAAATTCATGGTGATTGTTTTTTGGGATGACAAGGGATCATTCTACTGACATTTTGAAATATAATTGCACTGTGACCAGCAAGTAGTGTGTTCAAAAAGTCAAAAACTCATTAATAAGAAGAAAGTAAACACGAACCCTGAATGTGATCCATATTCACTATTACTGAAAGTCCTCACATGTTTGATAGTGACTGATAAAATCTGCAGATCGGGCTGTTCAGCGGTCTCATCCCTATCGCAGTGCAACCAGATCTTACACCTTGAAATACTACTTTTTTTTTAATCCATTAAAGTACAGCCTCTGGGGACAATGATTTGCTGATATAAATGAAAGGAAAATGGCAGTTAAAAAAAAGTACAAAAATTAACATTTGAATTTTTTCAAAGAGGATTCATGTAAGTTAGATTCAACAACAGAGCAAACCTGTTGGTTTATAAGAGGAAATTTTGTAAAATGTTACTTCAATATACAAGCAGTTACTGCAACAATATGTTAAGACAGTCTGGTATTAATCAATAAAAGTGAGGCTAACTTCTGCATTATTTTTCAGTATGATCTTTGCATTAGATAATTATTAATATTACAAGCATTACATTAATCTTCTTCAGCAGCTTCATAGACTTTTAGAGAATTTTAAAAGGAAGAAAATTTTAATTCAATTGCTAACCACAAAAACAAAAACAAAAAAAACAAAAAAAAAAATTTAATTAACTGAAAAAACTCAATAGGTTCCATGCTTAAAATTTAAAAAGCCCAGTATTAAATGTTCTGCAAGGATATATATTCATAATTAATAATTAGCAAGACAAACTTTAGAAGAAACATTGTTCATATTTCTAGGCAAAATGAAAATAGCAAAATATATTTACAGGTATATATGTGTGTTTATTTCAATTACTTTTGATATTAATTTCTATTTAAACTATAATGAGTAGATTTTTCCATTAAAATACAATTCTTTTAATGTACTTACTTTTTCATACATATGAATATTTTGTACCAAAAATCGATAGGAATTATACCAGGGAAGGAAAACATCTTTGAGAACATCTCTAACACCTTCTTCTTTAAATCGCAAACACTCTGCTCTTACGACAGGGGAATTTATTAAATACAACCTATAAAATGAACAAATGATTCAAATAAGTATTTGGACAAAAACATTTTGAACAGAATGCTATTAAATACTATTGCTTACAAGTAAAATGGACTCTGCCCCCCTAAAGCTTTTCTTCAAATCAAACTATAGATCAATATGGTATATTGATTATAAAGAAACACTATTTCCTTTCATTATTGATTAATGAAATTTTCAAAAATATCCTTAAAGATAGATAATTTTTGTTAGTGCTATTTTTCAAATAATTTATAACCAAATGAATAGCACATGTAAATAACAATCATTTAGAAGACAGTACTTCATTAGGATAACAAAATTGATCAATTCCTTTATTTCATGTCATAAACAACACTAAAAATCGCATTAAAAATAAGTTTTAAATGTATATAAAATGCTTAATCAGATGAAAAACTCTAAAGCTCTTATTCAATAAATATTCTTTATAAAAAATAAAGTAACTGTAATATCAGAACTTTATAAAAGTTCAGATATTACAGTTACTTTAAAGGAATACAAATGATTACACAACCTTTCAAATCTAAACAGAGGTGGAAAAACTTTTTTTTTTTAGAATTTTCTGTTTTTTTAACTATGTTTTTAGAATTTCATATTACCACAGGAAATTATAAGAAATAAAAATCAGTAACTCTCAGTCTGAAACATACTTTACATGCAAGATTCCCACCTAATTTTTTTCATGTGTCAGTATTCAGTAAGTGAACCAATTTCAGCCATTCAAATTGAATATTACAGTTACTTTAAAGAAATGGATATTTTAGATCACGAGGCTCAATTCATCAACTATGAACTATCCATTGCCACAGTATTACATATTTATATAGGGAGAGAAGTAACTCATGAAAAGGTTGAGAAGCTTTGCTCTAGATCATTATATGAAACATAAAAAATGCTTAAATTTAAAACAATTAAACAATATAATAATTATTTAATATAATCAGCATTTTGAAAGGAAACTGTGATGCAACTTTATTAAGTTTCCCCTGCAGCTACAACCACTTCCGCAATATTCAAAATGCATCTAGTCCACGTCAGTATTAGCCAAGTAAGTTTCTCACACTTTACTAACAGTTTCTTAGCAGCAAGATTAATCTAAAGCTCAGTTTTTCAGTTCAGGGGACAGTGTTTACTAGGCAGACTAACTGTCATCAGAAATGATAATACATTTAGTAAGTTCGTCATAATTTCCCTATGAAAAATATAATTTTTACATTTATTATAAGGGCCTAAGTCAAAGAAATATTATCAAAGGCAAATAAATGACAGTCATAAACAAACACAGAATAGTAATTAAAATTTTAGCCATGGATTTTATTGAATTTTATTTGATCTCGATTTTCAAATTTAAAATATACAGGTTACATGTTATCTCAAACAATGGTATATAGAATTCTGAACAGAAGAAACTTACCTAAGAGAATCAGCACCATACTTATTAACAACATCCATTGGATCAGGGTAATTTTTCTTTCTTTTACTCATCTTCTGGCCATCACTTAAAAAAGAAAAAGGAAAAAGTTAACTTCATTTGTTAATAAATTACACATTTTGAAAATACAATACTCAGAGATCATTTGTAGTATGCCTTGTAAAATATATTGTAAAATATATAGTATTCTTTTATTAAATTATGCTACTGATCCACATTGATTTTTTTAGTAAAATTCTAAATCAATAAAATTTAATCCTAAATTTTTTTAACATCCTTTTTATCTAAAAATAATTACTTTTTTTCTTCCTTTCTTCAGTAATTATTTACATTACTTTGATTCGCGTATTTACTCTGCAAACTGCATTTGATGCAAATTGAATTAAACAAGGTATCAAACCACTATTTGTTTGATTAAGTTTAACTAATCTGTAACTAAATTTAGGTTGTAGAAATAATTACTTCCAGTAATGATTATCCATTTTTTATTCTTCATGTATACCATTTATATAATACAATAGGAAATAATATAATGATATGATACGAAATAACATATTAATATGCTAGGAACTAAATGAGTATATAACCTGCATACCACTTGTAAAAATAAATAATGTTTCAAGTTAACAGAACCTAACCTATCTAAGCTTGTCACTAGGGAATTACAAATATTGGTTATAGCTTCCCTCAATCCCAAGACATGGTAAACTAACAACCATTAACAAAAAAACAATATATGCCACTTATTTATGTTAAAGGCACTGCTAATTCTGGTAAGATCCTCTATGAAAACCATGACACCAATGCAGAAAAAATTATCGGTCAAGTCATGGGAGGCAGACTAAAAATCTTTCCTCCTGATGCTACAATGCACCATTTAATATAGAAACTCATAACAGAAATTAACATTCAAGCTCAGACCATTCAACACCCTGATGATAAGCTTCTAAAAATTGTCCCTAGATGCCTTCCAAGTAATAAAGTTAACAGCGAAATTATTGAGGAATTGAATGAACTTGGTTTCTATCCTAAACATATGATACAATTAATGACAAGACATAAAAGAAAAATCACTGCCTCTCTTCTTATTTTATCTTCTGAAAATGGAGGAAAATAAACAAATCTTCAATTTGGCCACCCTAGGATACTTCAGCATCAAAGTGGAATCCCTTCTGAGATGACCTGGTCACGCACAATGCTACAGAAGACTCAAATTTCATCACAGTTCTCTCTACTGCAACAGCACCAAAATGCATTCACCACAGAAAAAGAACACTTAACTAAGAATTGTGAATTGCCTCACACAGACCACCTAAATATGCCCTTGTTCCAGCCCACACCCAGCTAGTTTTTCAAGTTGTCCACAGAATCTTAGGAATTGTTCAGCTTTTGAATCTTTCGTTCCTGCCTAAATTGAATCCATGGACTTGCACCTCCTAACTTGGGACAGCTAAAATTGAAAAAGTATACTATAATGGCAGAAATTCTTGAAGATCTTAGCAGGTATTTTCCACCTTCATCAAAGGAACTCTACAAAAAATCCAATAAATCCTGTTCTGGAATGCAAACAGCCTGTTAGGCAAGAAGAACGAGCTGATCAACTGTGTTGAGGATCTTGAATCTGATATCATTATAATATAAGAAACGCATATGAAAATATCTTCAAGTATACTTCCTGTCTAATTAACAAGCTTACCAAATGAATAGCCAGATTGGACAAGGAGATGGCAACCTTATGTACACGAAAAAACAAATATTTCATTACATGCACAATATACAAACTATCTTGTTCAACACCCAAAGCTAGTTTATTCAAGACTGTAAATGAATTTGGTCAAATATGTCTAAGTTTAAACAACTATTTAACTATTTTCAGACATGTATGTATATTAGAAATTGTGAAAACTAAGATGAACATTTTGATAATTATTACTGGATTGATTTGTTAGAATATTGAAGTTAATGAAGCTATGGAAACAAATTCAAAGTACCTCTTATACTGATGCTTCAATTGTTTTATTTTAGATCAAGAATAAGGATCACTGGAGAACATTGAAGGAAATAAGAAGTTTAATGTCAAAGAAGCAACGGGAAGCAAATTCTTGAAAGCAACAATCTGGCTGACTACCATTCTAGAGGTGCTTCCACTGATGTTTTCCTCAGATCTAGATGGTGGAAAAGTCGACTATGGCTTAAGCAGTCTCAAGAAAATTGTTTACTCTACTTATGTGAATTGCTCACTTTATTTCATTACTTGGGTGGACTGCCTGTCTTTTTTTAGGTAGGTTGTCTGCTTTATTTGTGGCTTGCCTGCTGCCCGTTTCGTTTAATTACTGTATTTGATGGCATGTAAGATGCACTTTTTTTCCCTAAATTTGGTCTCAAAAAAGTTACCTGCATCTTATACGTGAAGGTAATTGCATTCAATAATTGTTTACTTGGCTTTTACGAAATGTAAGAACTAAAAGAAACCACGTTATTTAAACTTTTTTTCCTTGTGTGCGGCCATCTAAATAAGGGTGCGTCTTATATGCCAGTGCGTGCTGTCTAAATATGGTACTTATATTGGATTGGCCATTTGGTTTAGGTTACTCAAATGTTTTAGAGTCAAGATAATTGTGTTAAATTTGCAAACGTGAAAACAGCTACAAAAAAAAAAAAAAAAAATTATATTGATGCTAGTAAAGGCATTAACTTTAAGGTTTCTGAAACAGCTACAAAAAAAAATTCATATTGATGCTAGTGAAGGCATTAACTTTAAGGTTTCTGATAAGAGAGTTAAAATTAAATGCGGTGAGACAGCTGTAAAACATTCCCATTATGAGCAGTATTTTTTGCATAATTGTACTAAATATATCTTTGCTTAGTCTTTTTGTTAAGTATACTGTATTTTAACTTATGTTCCACCCACCATAAAGCAAAAGGTGGGAAGAGATGTCACAAGCAATTAAACAGTAGTGTAAATGTAATTTTCCTTTAAGTTATTTTTCATAGGTTGGCAATACAGTGATTTTTAGTTTATGTTTAGAATATTAAAAAAGAAAAGCAGAAATGCACCACATTTTCACACTGAGGTGCATCGCCTGCATTTATTTGATTATTTATTCCTTATTTTACTTCCCTCCCCCACAACACATAGCACTACCTATCAGCTTCTGAGGATTATTGATACAATAACAGAAACACATGAATATTAGATCTTCACCGGTGCGGTCTTTCTCGACTAGTTTTCAACTAGGTGTGGGACCACCTAGTTGAAAAGGACCAGGGACGTATGTTTAAACTCATTCAGCTAAACCTTTTAGATTTTATCATCCATGTCACTGCTTCCTTCATTAGCAATATATGTTATACGCAGCTAACTATGGAGAGTACATTCTCAACTATTTGCTGTATCCACGCTGTAATTCCTTTAGGAAGTGTACTAAGCCCTCATCCTCTTCAACATCTATTCCTATAACATCCCTTCCAACCCCAGAATCCAGCTCACACTGTTTGCAGAAGACGTGGTCATACTGACCCAAACAGTGAATTTCAAATACATCTGGAACCTCCTTCAAAACTGTCTTGTCACTCTTGAAAATCGGTACACGAAATGACACATTGCTATCAACACACAAAAATCTGCTACCATCATCTTCTATAATAAGAATCCAAAAAGATTCTTGGTAATCTCCTACACTTTGATCAACCTATAGGCTAGAACAACACTATCATTTACTTTAATATTAATCTTGACAGCAAATTAATTTTCAAAAGTCACTTAAAAAAGTTCTGAGAAATACAATTACACTAAATGCAACATGTTGCCGCTTCTTGGGCGACACAGCAAACTCTCCTTGAAAGACAAAAGCAAACTCTCTTTGAAAAACGAAGTCATTTCCTACACATCTATTCTCCAGCCTACTCTTCTATATGCATTCTCAATCTGGGATCATATGACAAAAAACAACTTCACCAGCTGTAAATATTACAAAACAAAACTCTTCACATGATCATAAATGCTCCATGATATACACTCCTCAAAAGTGAAATTGCAACGCCAAGAAAGAATGCGCATAGGGTTATGAAATTGCAGGAGTGAGAGTTGTGAGGTGGATATGCTAATGATAAAAAAAGTTGTACATGCATTGGATCATGTGGTACGCATATGCGGGCTATAAAGGTCAGTCACTTTCCCTTCTCATAAACAGCACCTGAGGGTTATGGAAAATTGAAGACTTTAGAAGAAACATAAAAAATGCCTCTGAGACATCGGCGAGCTCGATTGGCTTAATACCATCAGTTAAGGACCGGGGAATGTGACGGTATTTTCGAACTCCGTGAACTTGGTTTGTCGCTGCGCACAATAGCCACTTGTGTTGTGCACAAGGTGAATACCATGTAAAGTTGCATCACACGGTGGATTCCAGGAAGAAGTATTGCTCACAAAGAGGAAGTGTTGTTCATATGTGCACATCAGAGCGCACAGATCGACATATTCGGCGGTCAACTATTGGAGACCCTTTCTCCACGTCACGTGACATCCTGAGCCGGTTGGATCAAGGAGCAGGTGGATCTGTGTCCACCCAAAATATGCACAATAGACTGCATGAAGTAGACTTACGTTCAAGGGTACCAGCCATAGGGGTACCATCGACTGCTGAACAAATGACTAAACGTTTGGTGTGGTGTCAGCGTCATAGAGTGTGGACCATCGAATGGCACCAGGCTTTGTTCACGGATGAATCTCGTTTCTGTCTGTGGAAGAATGACGCCGACCTGGAGAATGCTACGAAACAAGCCCATTTCGCAGAGCATCACACCAGTCTCGCATCGCGCATTATGGCTTGGGGTGGTATAATGTTTGATCACAAGAGGCTTCTGGTACACATTAACGGCAGTTTGATAGTGGACCGCTATGTCACGCAAGTTGTTCAGCCCTAGTTGCAAGGCGCATCCAATACGGTATTCCAGCAAGAGAATGCCAAGTCGCATGTCTCTTAACAGCCTGACCAGACTTGACATCCTACCCTGCATGGCAGCCTCTCCAGATCTGAATTCCATCAAACACCTGTGGATTGGACGTGACATTAACCTAGGACCACAGCCGCAAATCCTGGATGATCTGCGTGCATCAGTGGATGTGGCTTATCAAAAGCTGCCTCAAGATAATATCAATGAACTCATTGACAGCATGCTTCACTGGATTGCAGCCTGTATTGCTGCCCGAGGTGGGCACATTAGATACTGAATAAATTGGTTTATAATAATTTTATGTGTATGTTTTTTAATCATTTGCATATCTATCTCACAACTCTCGATCCTGCAATCTGCATGAGGCTACGAATATTCTTTCTTGGTGTTGCAATTTCACTTTTGAGGAGTGTATTAGAAACTCCATGATTAACCTCAAAATCCAATACATCGATGATTATATTGGAAATAATGACATTAAGTTCCCTTGTCTACAAAATATTATAAAATCCTATAATTTCCATTCAAAAGCACAGTCTCTTCCCTTTGGAAAAACATTTTACCCAGCTGATGTCTTAATTATTTAAACCTTCAAACTTTTCATCTTAATTTTTATTTTTTTCACTTTGACACTGCCTTTGCCAGATTATCATATACTTCAAAATAAATCTCATCTTGGGCCTTGTACAACCAACTCAACAGTTTGAACTGAGGTGCATTTCTACTCATCACCCCCTAAAATATACTTTATCATACAGAACACAAGAAGTTTATCATTTATTAGTCTATTTATTAAATGGTTCAAGTAGTCCAGTGAAACTGTTGTGAGAACAAATATCTAAACGTACTGCTTGAGAAAGTGAGATAATTTTTTTTCACCCCAGCTCAAAACTAATATACAGTTCTTTGTAATGAATATTTCTTAAACTATTGTTAAAATACATATAAATCAAAACACTAGTTTACTGGTTAATGGACATCAATGTACTTCAAATGTGATTGGATCTTGAATCAATTTTCACATTCTCAAAAATTACCTAGTAGGAGAATTATCTATTACCCTCTAACTGGCCTGTGATTTGGCTTCAAAATCCAAAATCTATCAAAACTGCCATAAGAAAAAGACACTTTCTTAATTATGCCCCAAAATGCTTCTGGTACTTTATACTTGAATTTATTCACTTTTAAATACATTGCCTTAATTTCTTGGGCATATTCCAAGATGCGTGCATGTATACTCACTAAAAGGCTTTATAAAAAATATTTTAGGATATATATACATACAGCCTGGTCCACTGGATAGTAAAATAACTTTGTTACTACAGTAGTTTTTTAGTTTACACAGCAAAACCCTAAATGAAATGCTGTGAAAGTACAAAAAATGCCAAGAATTCTATGCTGAGAAACACTGACATACTGTACAGTTAAGTGCCTAGTTTAAAAAATAGTTGATCCTAGTCATTAAAACACTTTAATTCTTTCTCTTAATTTACATTATATGCCTGATTATAGTCTAAACATAATAAAAAATGTTTTATAGTTATAATGCATTCAAAATAATAGTATTGCTACAAATAATAATAATTACAATTGTATTAAAATAATACAATAAAATATTCAATAATAAATATTAAAAAGTAAAAGGTTTTCAGAAACTCATCTGCAGTTTTTAAAAAAAAAAGTAAAAAATTAAAAAGTTTCATATAATAAAGGTCAAGCTGGCAGATTTAAGAAGCCAGAAAATATGTTCAAAATGTGACATAATTGCATTTATAAGAAAGCACAAACCTTTTGTCCAACTAAAATTACCAGAAAATGGCTTACCAATAGACAATTTCGATAAAAAAAAAAAAAAAAAAAAAAAACTGAATTTGGATATCTACTATGCTTAGCATAAAATACAAAGTAGATTTCAAAGTATTAAAGAAAAGATGACTTACCTGGCTAATACTAATCCATTTACAATTAAGTTTTTAAAAGGAGCTTTACCATATAATGCTGTTGAAATGACTAACAAAGTGTAAAACCTTTAAGAACAGAATACGGCTATAAATAACATATAATTGCATTGATATTATTCTACAAAATATATATATAAATAAGAGAAAAAACAAAATTCCAAGTAAATTATTAAAATAATGAAGAAAATTTTAAAATGCAAGATAATTAACAACATTTAAAAAAGAGATGTTTATAAATGAAGCATACAATGAAGATTTTTATCTTTATCACTGAAAGGAATTTTCAATTATATCAAATTAAAATTACTGAGAATTAAAGCTAACTGCTGAATATTTTTAACAGACCACAAAATACACAAGATAGAAATAATAACCCACAAAAAACACAAGATAACAATTTGCCATAAAGAAAAACAGAGAGAATTTGTAAGAGGAATTAAAAAAAAAAAAAAAAAATGATACTAAAGTTTCTAATTCAGCAACATTCAAAAGTCTACTTTGCTATTCTTCATCACTTAGTATTTGCTTAAACAAATTAAAAATTGGAATAGCATAAAACTTAAACATTGAATTCTATTTAGTCATAAATTATAGTTGGAGAATTAAAGATAGCATTTTAGCATATGCTCTCTTGAACAAAATTAGTTTTAAACATTAAAATTTGTATAAAATACTTACCATCCACGTGTTTGGTCTACCCCTTCAGCAATGAAATCTGCAGGAAATGACTCATCAAATTCTTTAGCATTTTCAAATGGATAATGAGCCTGGGCATATGGCATGCTTCCACTTTCAAACCAACAATCAAAAACTTCCGAGACTCTCCTTAATACACCTTTTCCCTTCTGAGATGGAATTGTTAATTTGTCGACACTTCAGTAGAGAAATAATACTTATATACTACTTTGAAATACTCTATTCACAATATAAAAAGTACTAAAACAATAATACAAATTCACATAACTTTAGAAGGAAATGGTATTATTTATCAACATCAGCAACTTTAAACATTAAAATATTAAAAAATTACAAAACAGGGAGATCATAAATTTGGACTATATTATATACAGTTATAAATTAAAACTATACAAATGAAGAATTGCAGTGAAAATGACACTATAAACATATAATCATCGAAAATTTTAAGAAACTTATACATCAATCTAAAGCAGTGGTCTCAACCTTTTTTTGCCCCATGCACCCCTTTCACCATTGCTAGATCAGAATCCCCCTTCTTTTCCAACATTTGAAAAATATATGTATATGTTTATTTAGATTATTTTAAAATCTTGGTATATGCCAAAACTTAAATAAAAGTAGTTTTTTTATATTCGTAAACTTACTTAATTACTTAACAGCTAAATAAAAGGCAGATTACATTTCCCCTTAAAACTAAGAAATTCCCCCTCCCTTGTTGAGAACTGATTTAAAATGAGTAAGGTAGGGGGGAAATGTAGTATTAAACAGCATAATAAAAATAAAGAAATAATGACAAAACAAAATCACAAAATAGCATAATCATAAATTATAATAACTACATATATGTTAATTACATAATCCATACACAGTTTGTAATAAGTATTAAAAAAACTGACATCTCAAAAATAGGCATGAGTTTTTCCTACATATGCTGTAAGATCTATCTGATATATTTATGTATAACTAATTATTTAGTTCTAAATAATCATTTCTTAACTAAGTAAAAGGCACTGTTCTGTTATCAGGACCAGATTCAGAAATGTATCTATGTATGCAGATGTATGTGTACATATATATATATATATATATATATATATATATATATATATGCATGCAATACATATGCATGCAATTCTGAATCTAATACCAATAACAGAAGAGTACCAAGTAAATATATCTAAAAAAGATAATCATCCTGTAAGGCAATTACAATAAAATCTACTGCTTTTCATATTTCTATCATAATATATGATAAATTTTACTATATGTACACAAAAGTAAATATCAGTACATTAATATAGAATTTGAAATTTTATTACACTCATGTCCATAAATTAAGGATAATTCGGAGTCATGCGGAAATCGAACTCTAAAATAAATGTATCACCTGTAAAATCACTACACACATCTTCAAGAATCATATGCAAATTTCAGGAAGTAACCAGCTGACACCGATGGTACATCACAATGACGAGAGTGTAAGAGAGTGATATATAAGGAATACAGGCAAAGAAGTAAAATTGTTTGCAGGAGCTTAAAAGGCATTACAGTGTTATAACCGAATAGTTATGACACAAAGGTCGCATTTGGATGATTTTTTACATGGTAGAAATATCGGTCATCTGGAATGTGGACGTATCCAACTGGAAGTATCAGACAAACTTGGAATTGCCCAGAGTGTCATCTCCAGGCTTTGGCAATGATTCCAAGATGATGGTAATGTGAGTAGATGTTACAGCACAGGTCGCCCCAGAGTTACAATGCCGAATGAGGAACGGTATTTGGCAGTTACTGCCAAAAGAAACAGGCGAAGCACAGCCTCAGACCTGTCTCGTCAGCTCTCTTCAGCCACTGGTACAACAATTTCAAGGCAGACCGTGTACAGACGCTTAGGGCAGATTGGTCTATATGCTCGTAGACCTGTTAGATGCGTTCCACTTACTGCAACTCACTGTAGCCTTCGGTTACCCTGGAATAGAGAGCATGCATTGTGGACACCGCAACAGTGGGCTTGTGTGATGTTTTCCGACGAGTCCAGGTTTAGCTTGCAGTCTGATTCTCGCCGGTCTTTCATGTGGAGAGCTCCAGGTACCCGTTACCACCAAGAAAACATCATTGAATGACACCATTACGGTGGTGCAGGAGTGCTCGTTTAGGGTGGAATTATTCTGGGTTCCAGAACTGACCTGGATGTTCAAATCGGAACCATGACAAGCCAAACCTATTGGGACGTCATTCTGGAACAACATGTATGTTTGTTTCGGGGCGCCATGAGCGCACAATTTGTGTTTATGGATGACAATGCCCGTCCTCACCGTGCAAACATCGTAGCGAATGCCTTCAATCGGAGGATATCACCCGTAAGGATTGGCCAGCATTCTCACCGGACTTGAATCCAGTAGAGCACATGTGGGACATACTTGGCCGACGAGTTGCAGCCTGTCAACCTCCTCCTACATATCTACCGGAACTTCTGAGAGCACTGCTTTTTGAGTGGTGTAATATCCCCTCCAAGATCAGATCGATAATTTGATACTCAGCATGCCTAGTCGTTGTACGGACTGTATTGCACCATCTGGGAGACATACAATGTATTAACAATCATACCAACCATGTAATATTTGGTTTTTTGTAAATAGGTTTTTTTGTAATTTGCTCCAGGGAGGAAAAAAAATCGCTAAATTTTTAATAATATCAAACATATAGCATCTTTTTTGGCTCTTTACCTTTTGTTTAATAAATTAGCTTTACAAATGAGTCAAATTTGTTTTGCTTCTAACTCTTCCTTTGCCTGATTTTGCATTATCCTTAATTTATGGACATGAATGTAGATAAAATTTGACATATATAAACCTGATTTTAATGCAGTATTCACATAAAACATTTTTTTAAAAAAGGCCAAAATGTCTAAATATTTACAAAATAACCAAAGGATTTTCTTATTGAAAAATCACTGTATCAGACAATTACTATAAAATTTTTAATAAAAAAAAACACAAAAACAAAGTTTAATTTAAAGAAAATAATTATAAATTCTTTTGCATCTCATAAGTTAAATTCTTTTTAAATTTAAAAAAAAAAAATCTTACTGTTCACGGTGAAGATCTGTTACTTTTGTATTAGTTAGTTTTTCAAGCTCTGCAATGGATCCAACACAAACTACCTAGAAGTAAATATATATTTTATTAAAAAAAAGGTAAAGCATCTATGCACAAAGATGCAAAAATCAGTAATGGTAATCAAATGTGAAGCACTTTTGCACATCAATAATCTATACATTATTATAAGTATAGATTATTGATTTCATCTAAACAAAAAAGTCATTTTTCCCCCCTAAGATGCAGTATAACAACATATGTTGCACAACTTTATATCCATAGTTCTCAAATTTTGTATGTCCCAAAGCCCTCTCTCAAATTATATATGCATTTTACAAACACTTAAATATTAACTTCATACTTCTGCTTCTTTAAAAAAAAAAAAAAAAAAAAAAAAAAAAACATATTTTCATGTACAAGCTAACTATATTTTATGATACAAATTATTAGTGTCTTATAAATTTGTTTATAAACACTGGAAAAAATAGAATTTAAAAATTTCACAAATGTTATACACTTAAAAGGCATTTTTTATAAAAAGTAAAATATATTTATTGCTTTTGCTTGTGGAAGATACAGAGTATGAAATACATGTACATAAATCTCGTTCAACATCTAGCTGACTGTGATATTTAAATTTTAAGCACACAAGGCTAAAAATATTTCTTGCACAAATATGATAAAAGGAGTGACAAATAATATTTTTTACCAATTCTGTGTATGTTCACAGAACACATTATAGTGGATATATGTCACATGGAACCATAACAATATAATTCTGCAAGAATATTTTGTTCCAAAGAGTCAAACTTTCAGTTTCTTCAATTTCATACCAATGAAAGGTTTACAAAGAAATAAAATGAACAGATTTCAAAGAAAAATTTATAGGGAAATAAAACAAAAAATAAAGTAATAATACGACAGCAAAAATCTATAGCTAGCTAGCGCATGTGTGTTCATATACAAACACACACACACAAAAATTGTTCTTGACTTTCCCCATATGATTGTGATTATCTGAAGTACATTTCAAAATTGGTTATTTAACACTAGGACTGCGGGAAAATTTTACCTACTGGAACGGCGGTAAGGGGTCATTTTGACCCTTCGATGAAAGTACTAAAATAACAACGGTAAAACAATTTTAAATGCCATACATTGGCACAAACTTTATATGTATTTCATAATTTATATTTAATATCACATGATAATTTATAGACTTTTTAAAATACTGTAAATGTATTGCGCACATGGTGATCAATTGGATCATACTTACAATTACTCAAATAACTCATTAATTTGATATAAGAATTGATTTCAAATAAAAGATTTCACAAATTAAAACTAATGTTAACTAAAATAAAACACAATTTATAAAATAATATTTTTTTATGTACTTACTCGGAGGATGATTCACTCTCTAAATCCAAAAATGAGAAGTGTTCTCTGATGTTTCAGTTATATCATTATGAACTCGTATATGTGTAGCTCAATGGAATATGTTAAACATTTCATTTCAATTCTATTTAATGTCTAAAATTTTAGAGATTACATATACGAATTAAGAATTAATGCAGTTGATACAAAAATAATTTTTAATAATTTTTCCAGTGCATTTTCCACAAACTACTTTGGAACAACATGCAGAACATTCTTGATGTTTGTTTCCATTGCATACTTGACACTTTTTTCTTTTTATATCCATTTTCTTTTCATGCTTGCTTTTTTTTCTTTTTTTTTTTTTTTTTTCTGAAGATTGAGGAAGGATCTTTGGAACTTTTGAAGTGTACTCTTAGCTTCTCTTCTAATTTCAGTAGAAAATCTCTCCTGTTAATGGCCTTTCCTGTTACACTTTTATAAATTATCCAGCCGTTCGAAGCTGCGTAATACAAAATATTGAAAAAGATATATACAGGCCATTATCTAGAAGCCGATTTAACTGAATATTTTCGGCACATCTGGTCACGAATATACACACCATATTTTGTTGCATTCTAAAATGCTATTGAATCAGGCAACTTCTTGAGACTGTGTTTAGTTTTTACAGTAGAATGTAATGAGCTCAGTAGAAAAGCGCTTTTGTTTCTTTTTGCCTTGATAGAGGGTAAGTGTGATATCATCATGTTCCATTATTGTCAATGAATAATGATTACATCTATTGTCGATGAAACGCATATTTTCCAGAGATATCAGAATTTCTCTTCTGTTCTTTTTCATTGGGCTGAACATAGTTGTATTTTTTGATTTTAGCATTTCTGCTAATTTATAGTTACTAGTAAAATAGTTATCTGTGGTAATATTCCTCCCTTTGTTTAGATGTGGCTCCGTTAATTTTATGACAACATTTTCAGACAAACGTAACTGAGGATTTGCTGTTTCATCTTTTTCTAGATAAGGAAATCCATTCAAGAGGTATTTAGTATCAACTTTAACAGATAAACAAAATTTTATTCCAAATTTTTCAGGTTTATTAGACATATATTGTGTAAATCTACACCTAGCTTTAGATGGGAATAATTGCTCATCAATTGTAATATTTTGTCCTGGCCGGTAGCACGTTTTGCAGTTTTTGATAAATTTGTTCCATACGTCTCATGCAAAAGCAAATTTATTAATCTGGTAATTGAGTAGATCTTGTTGTCTTTTTATCAAATGTAAAAAATCGTTTTATTTTTTTGAATCTATCTCTTGATATAGATTCTTAGCAAAATGGTATTTCCCATGCTTCGGACCACAAGGAATAACAATCTAAGCCCTTTGCTCATGTTACTCCTCTAACATACAATACAGCGACAAAAGCATCTAACTCAGCCACAGATAACTTCCAGTCTTTATTTCCAAGTTGCCGATGAGCTTCGGATTCTGTACATTTCTTTATATGCAGGAAGATAGCATCATCAATAAAAAGCTTGAAAGCACTAGACACTTTGTCCTCAGAAACAGGACTCTTTGCAAAAGATGTTGGTCCTGCTGTTTCTTTTAGAACATTATAAGCAGGAACACGGCCGCAGACTGAATTTTTGGAATTTATTTCATTCTATACAGTGTTATCAAGAGCTATAAAAATAGTTTTGCAAATACCCTGATCCGTTTTTTGCTCGTTTACTTCTGCTGAGTTCTTCATTTACTTTGCTGTCCTCGGATTCATTAATAGGTTGTGTCTGGAATTCATCTTCAGTTTCTTCAGAAAAATTATCTACTTCACCTCCGTCAGACTCATTTTCATATAGCTCCTGCAACAATATTTTAATTTCTTTTTCCGTAAGATTTTCCACTTATTAGACATATTTTGTAAAAGTTGAAAAAAAGTAGAAAAATATCAGACTATCAGGAAACGATAGGGAATATATTTTATCATATGAATCTCACAGCGTAAAGAAAGGTGATAATGAACTGCAGTAAGTAAGCTGAACTAACAAACGGGAAAATACATCTGTAAAAATAAAGTATTTCTGAAAAGAAATGTAAGTATGAAAAATCCTGCTTCTACCTTCCTTGCAGTATTTTCTTCAACCGAATAGATAATTGCAAACAAAGGAACAACAACTTATCTAGACATTGCAAAAGAGCGATACCACCCAGGTTTTTATCCCTCTGGGAGATAGTATGATTGCAATCTAAAAATCCTTATCAGTGAATGTATTTCATGGATTATTTGACAATGCCTCGAGCAGAAAGAGGGATAAAAGTAAAGGGATCAAAATGACTCTTGTCCACCGTTCTAGGAATACATGCCAATATTTCAAAAACTAACAAACCTAGAATGCTGAACTTTTTTTTTACAAATAGTTGTTATCTATTTAGAAAAAGTCAAAAAATTCCAAACGATTTCTTCCAATAAAACAAAAGTATACAACAGTCAAAATACCCCTACCACCGTTCTAGTGTTAAGAACTATTAATTATTAATAACAAATGATGTAAATATGAGATAGCATGAAAGCGAAATGCAACAAGGCAACTAATAAATTATTAAAACATATTACTGAAAACCCAACTGATGTGGAAACTGGAAATTTCCTGCCTCTTAGAAATGTAGTACAATTCATGAATTAATTCATTTTAATAAAAAAAAAAAAAAAAAATTTTTTTTTTTTTTTTTTTTTTTTTTTTTTTTGATTCTGAGTCTAATGAATGATTATTCAATTGAATATATGATCCTACCATGCAAACTAAATTAAATCTATGATCTCAACAAGTTTCGACTCCGTTAAAGAACTGGTCTTCCATGCAAGATTTAATTCATGGAAAAAAGTACCGAATCATTTTTTAAGAGCACATTTAAGCCCTGACTATTAACCCCAATAAAATCCAAGTGGTTTTTAAGCTAGCCCTTGGTTTTAAAAAAACTTAAAAAAGCATCCTATAGTTCCCACAAAATTCTGCTTTTACAAATAAGGAATATAATAAAATGGTACATTTCTAGTTCCAGACTATTTTAATCAGAAATGTTTTAAGTCATTTTAAGATTTCTGTTCTTGTAAAAAATGGTTAGTTAAAAATTTAAGAAAGTGCGACCAAAACTAAATATGAAAGTGCTACCAAATGATATAATAAACGAATTTTTGCAAAATGTTGTGGAAGTCTCTAAAAGAGTCCCAAGTTTTGCAACAATCAGTTTCAGTGCCACTGATCTATAGTAATTACATGAACAATAAAACTGATAAAGACATTATAGATGTGAAGAAAGCTACTATGCATCTTTAAACTTCCTAACATAAAGTCATTTTCAAGTTTCATTCAGAAGTATTTCTTGCACTTTTATTCAAGTTTTCAATACGAATGTAAATTTAGCATAGAGTAAACAAGCATTTCAACTCACTTTTGTGCTCACATGAATGAAATGTATAAAGCAGATCCTTATTAGTATATACAGTAGGTGCCTACAATCCAAATGTATCAAACTAATAGAAACATATCTCAGTTGGTAACATACTACTTGGACTTAAATAAGTCCTATTAATTGTTTGAGTCCGGCGAAGCGCTTTCGCGCTTCACTTGTCATATGCGAAAAATACGGCGCAGCGCGATAGTGCTTCTCTTGTTTCGTATCGAGAATGCGAAGACGCTGCTGTTGGTTAGTATACTTGAAAAAAAAATTATTGAAATATTCAACAGGTTTCGCATCAGGAGGAGGGGTATGCTTTGGTCCAGGTACTTCAGAAAAAGTATTCGATTCGTTCGAAAAAATTTTATCCACAGGTAAAAACTCATCAATAATATCGTCATCAGAGGTACATGCATTTACTTCATCATCATCACTGCTATCACTAATAACTCGTAATCTCTTAGAATGAATGATGATGTCACTTCCACTATCACTTTCAAGGTCATTACTATACTCTTCATTATCACTTCTCATAACATAGTCACTTTCAAATGAATCAGAACTTGACATGGGTTATTTCGTAATTATCAGTATAACACTCAGTAAAAAAAATTAAAATTTCCAATTCCTATAAAACAACTGCTACTGATATCACTAAAACTGCTCTCAATAATTGCGTAAAGTATATTAACCAACAGCAGCGTCTTCGCATTCTCGATACAAAACAAGACAAGCGCTATCGCACTGCGCTGTATCTTTGGCATACGACAACTGAAGCGCAATAGTGCTTTGCCGGACTCAAACGGTTAATGCTGGTACAGAATGTGCATTCAGCAGCACAAATATACTGATGCTTATTAAGTAATAATAATACTTAACTATTAAGAGATGAAATTTTACTGGCCCTTCAACAAACTCAAATCTACCAGTTCTACTCAAATCTACCAAGGTGAGAGCAAACACCTCGGCAATGTGCTGATAGCTGCAGTCTTACAACCACCCCTCTCATTCATTTCCCATGCATACAATCTTAGTTTGCGATTCTGGTAATGGTTCATAACTTGCAACATCCTCCATGGCATCAGCACCGATAGATGAGCCTTAGTAGGCATCAAAAGGCTTTACTGTGTGGAACACAGATGCAAAAAACTCGTACTTCAATATTTACTACATGAGCCATTGCTGTGATATGAAGTCTTCAATTCAGGAAACAAGCAAACTAAAGTGCACAGTCCACAGTTATATAACACACTTCACTACCATGAAAGAACTTCATGACAGAGTGTGCATGAAACCAATCAAATATGCATCCTAGCCAGCAGTGCTAGCCATATCTCAACCACTGGCTCGGAACACTGCTGCTGATTTCAGACATACAGATTGTAATTACACGTATGTTACACACATCATACATATGTTTTTACGAAGTATATGTAATTTTCAGACAAACACATAATTTGCAAATAATGGCCAGATGAAAAGGAAGTATAATTTTTTTTTTTTTTTTTTTTTTTTCCTCCTTTATTAGCGTGAAGATCAAATATTCAAAATTTCCTCCACTGAAGAATATTGTGTGCTATAACCATAGCATCATAACATAATGATCTCATTCAATTGTTCTATATACAGGAACTACTCTTTATTGCATACAATATATTTTCTATTTTCCATCCTACCACCACAAATAATAGTAATAAAGCTAAAAAATATATTTTCTACGCATCAGAAAAGTTATGTAAAATTTTTTAACAAGCAATTATGTTTAAGCTTCTCACTCATTTTTAACATTAAATCCAGAACTATACAATATTTTAGCAATAATTCTTATCTTCTATTTTTTATACATAAAAGTGATGCAACGTTTAATTTCATAATAATTTTTAAAAATGAATAAATGTTGAATTTTGTGTCACTACACCTTAACCACTATCACTCAAGATTTACAAAATTGCATGGGTTCAAGGAGACAGATTTTATAACATGTATTAATTTAATCTTAAACATCTGTAGTGATTATTGTATAATACACATAGACATAATACTGATATAAAGTGATTTAACAGATTTTGCATATTAACTTAAAACTATTATTACACTATAAAACATCAATGCATTTTCTGTCTATCAAAAACAATTTTATTTTTTAATAATAGTACGAATAGTTTTGAGTTTTGTCTATTCAAAAATTAATTTATAAACTATAGTCTGCACGAAACTCATGTTACTGAAAACAATAAAACAGCAGATTAAAAAAGATAAAGACATTAGAATGACATATAAGCATCAAATGTATCTCTTGTTACAACTGTTAAGTTTTAAAAATTCATTTTACATACTTTTTCTAAACTATCTATTAGGGAATACTATTACTAATTTATTAAAATTCCTCTTAATCTACAACAAAACAGATGGAAAAGAATAAAAATTTCATATTTTTAAATTCTTTCAGGGAAAGAAGGAAAAAAATATTTTTGAAAAATAACTACAATTACAGCTAATACCTTAATCTTCTTACAGTAACACTTTTCACAAAAATCTGCATTTTAACTCTTTTTCATTTAAAACCTAAATGCGTACAACAGACATGCAGTCCATTCTTTGACATTACATTATGTTTTATTTTTTAAAGGCTTTTATTAATTCATTTTTAGTTACATATGGAATCCATTTATTAATTTTTGCAATTGTTATGGTGTACATTCTCCACTCTTCTGCTAGGAAAACAAAACGGCAGAATTAAAAAAAAAAAAAAGTTCTAGAATGTTTTTGCTGCTGCAAGACACTATTGAGAAGCATAAAATTTTTAAGCCCGGGATATGCTCAAAAAATAAATTATATATTCTGAAAAATGACATTTTAACCTGCCAAACTACCAAATGATGCAAAATTCATTTGGAGAATACCAAATTTTCTTCATGAAATATCAAATTAAGCCCATAAAAATTTTCTTAATTAAATGGTCAGAAAAGCAAACCAAAAGTATATTTTTCTGAATTGAAAGAAATACATATTTTACCTCTTCTCCATCATCACTTATCCACAATGGAATGGGTGTGCCCCAGTACCTATTTCGAGAAATAGCCCAATCACGAGCATCTCGCAACCAATTTGCAAATCTCTTTTCTTTCACAAAATCAGGAACCCTAAATATATACATAAGAAATATTTTAAAATAAATAACAAGCAAAATCCCAAACAAGTACTTTATGCAAACAGAAAAGCTACAAACATATATGCAACTTATTACTACTGTAAATTCCAAAATAAGAGCCAAGAAAATTACTTTACAGATATACCAAAGACACAGTAATGCTATTTGATACCTGACATTTTTCTGTAAGATAATGCAAAGCAAAAAGGCAGCAGATCTCATTCATTAGCATGAGAATGTTGCATATTATAATAATATGAAATAGACCTGTTTCAAAAGAATTCACACTTATCATGTATCCATTTTCAGCAATTTTTATCCTCATCAGTTAGAAAATTAGCATACTACTATACTAATGCACAAAAAGCATGTATATCAGCTGAGATGATTATTAGCTGGATGAACAGCAAACTTGATGTAAAAAAGTTACAGCAGAATTAAAAAAAAAAAAAAAAAAAAAAAAAAAGTAATTTACATTAAAAATATAACTAATTTTGGCAGCCTTAAACATCAGATTCAATACCTGGGGGGGGGGGATTGACTGAACAGATAATGTTTAATTTACATGTATTTTTACTACTTTACAATTATAATGATTTTGTTAAATAAACAGAAAATGTAAGTAAAATTCTAGGAGGGTTTTTTTTTTTTTAAATGCAAAAAGATATTTTTCAAATTTATAAAACTCAAGCCCTGGTTTCAAAGATGCAATAATGCTATCTTACTCATGGTATTTTTTTTCAAGATCATTATTATAGCAGAAAGGCAGTAAACTAAAGTTAACTATCTATCATCTCCCCCAAAAAATACAAACAGTCATGCACCTTAGTTAGTCAACCTATTTTAAAGATTCTTCTTTTAAAAAAGAAAATTTCAAACAGAAGCAAAATATACCAATATGTGTCTTGATTAGCTTTTAATAATGTTTCAGTCATATGTTCTACACGAACAAACCAAGATGGTACTGCTCGATAAATGAGAGGTGTCTCAGATCGCCAGCAAAAGGGATAACTGTGTTTGGTTGTCCCTTGATGAACAAGCCTTCCAATGGATTTTAAATATTTTACAATATTCTTATCGGCATCCTGAAAACAAGATAAAAAATTAATGTGATGTGCAATTGTTATACTACTGCATAACATATATGCCTCTACCCAGCAGTAATAAAAGAACATACACAATATACATGGTAAAACTAATGCATATTAAAAATATACAATTTCAAAAATATTAACGCTCATAAATGTAAATTTAATGACACTTTTTCACAGTTGAAAGTAAATGCTGCTGTTCTCATCTGTATTACAAAATAAAATTCTGTCTGTTTTCTTTTACACCATTTTAAAGACAAAAATAAACATTACAAACATTTAACCTCTGTGACTAACAAATTTTGAACTAGCTTCTGTACTGAAGTCATCCAGCAACACATAAACAGATTTCGCTAACAGAAAAGTACAAGGAAATTAAATCTGGATAACTTCACATTTTCTACTTTGAAAAATTGTTAATAATTATTTGGAAGCAATTTCATATAGAGTAACATTTCATGAAAAGTATCACGTTCCAGATTTATTTTAGATAACCATTATTTGTTTAGGTATATATGCACATTACCCAACAATGCTTCTAATATTATGACAGCACTTCAGTAGCAGTTTCATGTCTTTTCAGTGTCAATATAACTGCTTCGGCTACACATTTAGGTCTACAGAGGAATAGTAAATGTGACAATACTGATAGAGAGAATCAAGATTTTTAATGAAACTGAACTCTTTAAATAACAGAAATTAACATCAGTGACCAATTTAGGAAATACTCTTGACAGCAGACATAAAAAAATGTAACAAAATACTGTCATCTGATAGAATGTCTAAACACAGAAAACCCTGCTGAATAAAATTTATTAATCTATCAATTAACATAAACTAAATTAAATCATGTTAATATTGAATGCAGTAAATAAAATAATTCTAACTCATCCAACGATTACCACAAATATATAAATGTATTACAGATTAAAATCAACATAGTTAATAATAACCAATTGCTTAATTTTTATTTAATGTCAAAACAACCAATTCAGCTGCATTTTTACAAAAATTAGGTAAATATGGTCAAAATTGTTTGTCTTTTTCACTTCACTATCCAATTTGTGATAGTTAGTGATTATTTTATCAAGATTTTTACACATTTTGAAGTTTTATTTCTCATATCAGGAACTATATATAAAATTTGCTTGATGTAATTAAAAAATCAGCTAAAGTTCTTCCGCAATTAAATTCTCACTCCTGATCTATTTTAATTTTAAAATAAAATCACAGAATCTTTGAGAATACTCATTCTTATATGATTTTTCAATCTTTTTCCCAAAGAGAAGAAATCCAGCATTTCATAATATACTAAATCTTATTTTTATTGAATTTATTGCAAAAGTAATTTTTACCATTTATTAAAAATTGATAAAATTTAATATGAAGTTTAACAAATATTCAAATATATTAACCCCTGATGCTAATGACCACTCTCAAAAAATGAAATTAATTATGCCACTTAAATTATGTATGTTAATACCAATGTTTTTTTTTTTTTTTTTTTTTTTTAATGCAACTATTACTTTTTAACAACATTGCCAAATTAAAAAAAAAAATATCCCTGCAGATTGGTGAGAAAAAAGTTTGCATAAGGATAATTAATGTGGAAATAAATTAATCATTTACATGAAGTTGGAATAAGCATGATTTCATTCAGTAGTACTAGCTGGTTATCATCAGGGCTGTGGAGTTGGAGCTGGAGTCATGGAATCGGAATCAGAGTCGGCCAGATTTTGGGGTAAAAGGAGTCAGAGATGGAGTCGCTAAAAACATATTGACTCCGACTCTCATTCCAGTTTTTGTTGGACAGTTTGAATTTGAAATGAAATTAAAGTGAATTTTAAAAAATTAATGACAAACCGAGTTTTTATTTTTATTTATGGACAATATACATTAATAAATAGTTGTTTTCTATTTTATTGACCATATTAATAAATAAATATAAGGGAGGGGGATGGATATGATATTTGCCATTAGTAATTAAACTGATTCATTCAGTTACAAATTTCAATGGTAAATTTAGGTAAGCAGCAATAGCAGCACAAACACCAAAATTGATGCCATTCTTAGGAAGCGAGCAGGAAAAGGAGCAATTATTGATCAAGCAATGCGATAAGAACTACATATTTGATGATCAAGAGGTTGTTAGAATTAAGAACTTTTTTAAAAGATGTAGATAACCCTAACGTTTCAGTAGCAGAAAGACTGTGGAATGATCTTGCAGAATTGGAAACTCTTCTTTCTACACTGTATATAGCCACAAAAAAGGCTTCAATCTGAAGAATTGACAGGAGGTGAGAATGGAAGAATGGGATGTCTGTTCTTTCTGAAATGGAGGGTTTATTGCAGAAGGAATCATTTCTTCAATGAAGAAAAAAGAAACTAGTTTGCTAGACAATGAGATCTTGCTGGGTTCAATATATGTGGATCCGAAACACTGAATTTTTTTGGATGACAAACAAATTAAAAAGGCAAAGAAAGCCATCTATGAACTTTCATTAAGAATGAAATCACTCTCAGAACAACTGGAGTATTCAAATCAGGACAGTCAAACTGACTGAGTCTCTATCATCTTCTTACTGATGAATTAGATTTTGAGAAATATTTGGATAATATTGAAAAGGCTAAGGCAAAGCGAATGAAAATAAAGAACCAAGAGCCTTTAGATGTAAAAATGAAAAATACAAACAAGATTTCTACACGACCTTTGAAGAAATAGAGAAATATGATCGTGCTTTTAGAACTTATAAAAATCTATCCTGAAACGTTAAAAGAAGTAGCCCTTACAGTAACAGCTCTTCCTCCTACTCAAATTAGTGTGGAAAGACTCTTCTCAGCTCTGAAGTTTATCAAATAGGATCTGCGGCCCTCCAACAGAGAAGATCTTGCCGAAGCTATACCATTTCTTCGAAATAACTAATGCCAGTTTTTCCATTTCATAATAAATGTTAATTAATATAAATATTTTGCTATGCCATCAATTTTTTTTCTGTAGCAACTATTACTTCTTTTATATTAAAAAAATAAGCTGAAAATCCCGTGTATATGTTTACATATATATGAGGGAGATGGAGTCGGTAAAATTCCAGGAGTCAGAGTCGGTCATTTTCCCTACCAACTCCACAATCCTGGTTATCACGCACATCAAACTTTATTAAGTCAGATTCTTTCATAAATTTGTAACAGAATAAAAGAAGAGATTAAATCTTGTCAGTTTTTACCTAAACAGAAAGATGCTATACACTTACAAGTGCCAACAAATGGTGAGATACATTGCAATGCTATTTGATAAATAAGGATAAAATTTTAAATAAAATTAAATAAATCTGAAAGGGTTCAGATTTAAACAATCTCCCAAAAGAGCTCTTTCAAAATTTAATATCATTTATCAGTAAGGATTATCAACAGAGTTGGCCCAGGTGGAACAGTGAAACATTTTATAGAATATCGGATGTATAGGTAATTAGAACAATATGGGAATGTTGCATATCATTTGAACATTTAAAAAATGAAAAATATGTTATGCAATTCTATAAAAATATTTAATGTTTTAAATTAGATACATGAAATAAATGCATTTTTATTCAAATCAATCAGATTATAAAAAGTAAAAAAATAAAATTTTAAAGATATACATCCATTGAATTTAAATAGTTTAGTTTGTTAACAAACAGATTAAATATGCAAGAATGATATCTTATGATTTTCTGAATGGCAACAGACTCGAATGAAAAGTGAAACAATGCAAAATCATGTTTCAAGACAAATAGCCCTTTTGGGCAATAGGTTTAGATCAATATATGGCCTTACAATTAATTAATTAACAGTAATTCATTAATAAAAGCAATGTAAAAGATATAGGAAAAGGCTAAAAATACTGATAAATTTCAATACTCTAGCACAGCGTTTCTCAACCTTTTGACTAATGCGTACCATCTAAACAAAAATTGAAAACCTTTAGTACCACCACAATAAAGTACTACTACCACCACCACTGTTGAACAAAGCTCAGATCACATAAATTTACGAGTGTTAAGAAAAAAACTCAATCAGGATGTTGGGGTTTTAATTTCTGAATTTAATAGTTAAAAATATCTTGCTTCTTTGTGTAATCTATTTTTCTCTTGTGTACCACCAGTGGCACGCATACCACCGGTTGAGAACCCCTGCTCTAGCATATGAATTAACAGTGAATATAATAAGAGCAATTTAAGGAAAAAATAAAATCATCACACATTTTTTTTTAAAAAAATATATTATTCTAGTAAAACAGTATCAAAATATTTTCACCTTTACATACTGATTCTTGAAATCTGTTACAGGATCAGTGAACTTTCCAGAGAAATCAAGAGGGCAAACCATTTCTTGATCCTTAGTTATCACACCATTGGCTAAGCAAACTCTGTAATCATCCTGTTTCAAAGTTTTTATATTATATAATATGTTTTAGAAAATATATATAATGTATTACATCACATCTTGATAAGAAGTAAAATTCAAAACATGCAGTTCAGTGGAATAAAAAATTAAACACAATTAAACCCTTATGCTGTTCTCTCAATACTCTTACCTTTACTAGAAACATAAAAGACAATAATTTGAACTAAAATCGAAAAAGAAAATATTCACGTAGAGCAAGTTTTATTGTAAAAAAAATTCAAAATACTTAAAATGGCTTAATTATACATTGTTTACCTTGATTGACTTTAGGGGCTTGATGTCAAGAACTATGGTAGCCCCCCCCCAACATTTTAAATACTAACACTTTTAATGTTTTAGCAAACATTCATAAGCATTAGAATAATCATTTTTAGCTCCTTTGAAACCCCACTTCATTTGAGCATAGTCAGGTTTTTACATGAATGAAAGAAACTCAGGTTGTGCTGGCTCTACACAAGAAAGGACTAGCTGGCTTTCACCTGTTCACACAGCTAGCTACCTTGGAACTACAATCAGTACTGTAACATCTTTAGCTACTTTCTAATGACCTTCGCAAAATTTTCAGAAAAGTTATTTTTAAATAATCACTTGGCAATTCTGATTAAAGCTGAATGTAACCTGTAATCACGTACCAATTGTTATATATCGACTTCCTGTCACCGAAAACCTAGATGCAGATGAATCCTGGTTCACATTCTAAGCTGGAGCTTGAGAATTCTCAGAGAAAATTTCTCAGGCCTGTTTGCATTTTCCCCACAGTTGCAAAAGACATTAAAAATTTTGGGTACATGAGAATTCAGAAAAGTGTTTCCAAAATACATACGAAATCTTGAACAAAAACAGTGAACACACTTCCAGAAAAGGGAGTTAATTATTTTAATGAAAAAAAATGAGAAATCTTCTCTCTTGTGTTCTCATCTCTGCCAAGAGCAAAATTTTCTGTTGATTCTGTCAAGAGCATTCTTACTCTCCGCAGAGAAATCCAGTAACCAGTAGCTTGATTTTCCACTACCTTATTTTAGGGCAGCCTGCTTGGAACGACCAGCGGCGGCCAGGAGAGGCAACAGAGCTTATACGAGAACATCACCCTGCACTAAGAAAACCTCCAAGAACTTTAATGTCTAACTAATGGACAGGAACTTTTGCAGACTTTGTACATCATGCTCCTTTTTTCTCTTTTGTTTTATCCCTCCTTTTTTTCCTTTTTTGCCGAGAACCAATGAACACTATCTTATAAATTATTTGCATGTAGCCCAGATTTTTTAAATAAATTAAATACACTACCTCTTTGCTTTGTGTCAAATCACTGCAGAAGATCTTAAAAAATTTTAACTCGTACTTTATAAGCTAAATTAATTTAACTTCTAGTGCTTATTTAAGTTTGTCTGCTTGAAAGCTTCCACATGATATGCAGAAGAATTTCAAAGCAAAATATACTGATGCGGTTATTTCTAGTTTTAATGATGGAGAGGAAAACAATACGAAAATTTAATCCTCACACAACAGAGGATAATACAGCATGCACGAGCAACCTCTAAAGTCATTTTTGGACAATGCACTGAGCAGTTACAATCACAATCATGAGATGATGATCGCCTGTCTATCATGCTTTCTGGGATATTTTCATAAAAAAGAAACAAAAAATTTTAAAAAAATACAAAAGATGGATCTACTTCATATGCTTTCATTTGTATGAAAGCCACACGAAAAATGAGAGATTTGCAATGCCATTCTAGAGCACATAATACTGTTAACACATTTTCACCAAACAGTGTGAATTAGCATCAGTAACGGATAAGAACAATGCCACAACACAGTAATGGATAACCACAATGTCACAACACATTTACAAGTTTTTTTTGGGTTTAACACAAACTTGATTAATTCTCAATAGGATAATTTAATATTTGTAAAGAATAAGTTCTGTTTTCCAACCGAGTTTTGAAAAAATGATTAGTATTGAGGGCAGCATGCAGTGGATTATATTCAAAACCACAGGATACAGACATGAAAATAAGCCATAATACAAAACTTTGAAAACAGATAAACAATGGCAATAAAACATGAAACATCATTGTAAGGGATTTAAATCTTTCATATGTTACATCCATGATTTGTATCTGTTTATTACCTAACTCAATATAGAATGATCCATTCACACAAACTTTTACCAGAATGACCAATGATATATCCACCAGGATTTTACAATGGGATCATATGTTTTATTTTCATATATAAAGGCCTCTGAAATATGTCAAGTATCTCAAATGTACATTTTTTTCTTCGAAATCTTACATAATTTTAAATGCAGGCTTTTGATATTCATTTTAGGGAAAAAAAGTGATTGGTTTGAAAATTTTAGAGCAGACGTTTTCCCCACTCATTTGGCTTTTCTAATGTGGATTCCATTTTCCCCCCCCCCTGAATTTTCATGTATTCAGATCCAGAGTTTGGCATTTCCTGAGATTTCTGTGTAGTTCAGCTTTTACTTTGAATGATACACATACTGTTGTGCAGACAAACTTTGTAACATACAATTTGTTAATGTAATATAGAGTTAATATAATATTAATTAAGCAAACATTGGTTCAAACTTCATAAAAAGTTCTACAAATGTGTACAGCAGATTAAAAAAAATCAAGTCAAATAAAATTTAATAAGAACAATTATGCTGAAGTGAAATCATTGGGATAGGAAAACGGAATTTGCACAATTTAAGATTCATTAATTTAATGAATTTCATTTTTGAGAAACATTTTTCTTAATAAAGGTTAAAAACTAAAAAGCTAGAGATTTGGCCATCCAAGAGACAAGGAGATGTGATGAAAAACTCAGATTCTACCAGTAAAACTGAAAGACATGCACAGCTCTTTCCTCTGTGGTAACATGCACAGCTCTTTCCTCTGTGTCATCCAATGCCTAAAGATATGCTAAGATATATACAATTGTGAGGTGCTTGTCACACTTATGATGATGTATGAAGAAGAATTTTTGCGTCAAGAATTAGCTGCCCAGCAATAAATTATGCCTTGCTTTCAGCCACATTTATCTACAAATGTCATCTTTGTATTTACCCATAAAAATCTTCATCAAGTTGTTGCAAACTTTTGCTGAATCCACAAAAAATTACAGATTATATTATATGTATGTGTAATTCAAAATGCGATAAGTGATCTCTATAAAGCATGCATAAAACATGATAACTACTTCTAATGTTAAATGCTAAAAAGTCTCTTCAGAACTATTAAAAACAAACACCACATTTACAAAAGTTTATTATATTTCTAAAGGAAATATGCTAAATTAAATAAGTAGTGTTATTGGAAAAACAATTTATCAATGTAGTTAGCAAAGCCACAACACTTACTTCTCCAAAGTAAGGTGCTTGATGAACAATACCAGTTCCACTTTCCTCTGTTACGTATCCATCACATAAAACTCTAAAGGCTCCTTTAGATTTCAGCTAATAGAAGAAATGATACATTAAAAACAAAATATATGTAACTGTGAAACTGACAGTTATAGTAACAAAATATATACTTACATGTTTAAAATAAGGGAAAAGTGGTTCATACGTCAGATCTTTCAGCACTTTGCCTTTAAATCTATTAAAAGTAAATAACTTTATTTTGGAACAACAAATAAATAAATGGTGAAATTCTTGAAACTGAGAAAAAAGATACAAGTGGTTAATGCTTCAAGAAAATTATGTTAAAAATTTCAAGAATTTAAAAGTAAAATCTATATTCAAAGCACATATTTACTTTACTAAAGCTATTGATAAATAATTGAAGTTTTTCCATGGCTTATTACTGAAGTAACTCAAGTTTTATTAAGATTATGAATTTACATAACTTTAATAAAATCTATATAATTAATAATAAGGAAAAATCTTTCTCTAATTAAACAGTTTACATGTAAACAAAAATAAATGAAAATTAAACCACTTATTTTTTATTTCATGTCTGGTAACTTCTTTTTATCAGTTATTATTTTCATAATTATTTTATTATTTTTGCTTAGATGCATGCCTTCTCACATTTTTACTAGCTGAATGCATTGAATAAATATTTTAAATTAAACCTAAGTTACTTATATTATTGCTTCTGTTTGAAAACATCAATACACTGTACTTATATTCATTAACACTGCAAAAAGGAAAACTAAACCTGAAATCCCCCCTCTACAAATTCCAGTACAAGCATCAGAAAGATAAATTCCAGATATTTCTGTATATAACATAAAAAGTTTTGGACCTTTTTCTTAAGCTAAATTACAGTGGTCAGATTATACATGAATCTGCTATACTCGCAAAAAACATCAGTAACTTCTGTTAGTCGAACACAAGTGATTAATCACCAGATATCACCAGCACTCTTTTTTATTTCTTTAGTTTATAAAAAAAATTAAATAAAATTTGTTATTCCTTTTAAGAAAATTATTTGCTTTATTTTTGAAATTGTTGGTTTGTTGCATCATTGCCAAAATAAAAATAACACTAGTACAAATACCACAGATTTTATACGAGACGAAGAATGTACAAAAAAATGTCCGAGCTTCAAATAGGATTACACTTTTTCTCTGGCGTTACATTTTGCAATGATTTCATTGGAAAATATTCAGTCCATTTTACCTGCTAAGCAACATTTTCACCCTTATGACAACATGCTTGAACGGTACAGGAAATTTTTTTCTAAAGCAGGTTTAAATGCTGCTCTTGAATTTTGAGTAAATTTTTGAAGAAAAAACACACATTGGACTTATACAACACACACGGGGTTATACACAGGACTTATACAACTACATATTTCCAAATATAAGCTGATACTACATGTATCAGCTTATATTTGGAAATATATGTAGTTAAATTTTAATTTTTTAATATGGTCCTGTCAGAGATAACATAATAAACAGGAACCTGATTTTGGTATACAGTTTAATCAGTTTAACCTGTAAAACCTAATCTAAAAACACAGTTTCATATGTGTTAGATATTGCTATAAGATTACAAATGAATAAACATTAAAGAGATGCAACAACATAATTTACATTTCAGCATACAAATTACTGGATAATTTGTTTAAATCCAAATTAAGCTTTCTAATATGTGTCTAGCCTAATAACCATCTATTAGGTTGGACTCTGTTAGTTAAACATTTAAAATCAGAAGTAACTTTCAAGTAATAGCTATATTTTAAATTTATTTGCCAATTTCTTATGATATATTATTACAACTCATGGTGACCAAATTATGTGACTAGTTAAGCTCATTTTCTTTCATGAGAAGAGCATAATGTATGATCAGAATAAAATAAATAAATAAAATGTCGTAAGAAGGTAAACTTGATCATTTTCCTGTTTCATTTCTTGAAATTATTTCTTTCTTTTATTTACTTTGATAATGGAAGCTATTTCTCACTCTTTTGTGCTTCAGAGATACTGGCAATTTAAGATTTTATGTACACTAAAATTTTTTTTGTTTAATTGCTTGAAAACACGTAAAATCTTTTAAAATAAAGTTGTCAATTAAAACTTATGCAATTAAAAAAAATTACACTGAAACACACTACAATCATTTTACTGGAAACCAATAATACCATTAGGTGTAAATATAACAGCAAAATGGTATAAATTAAGAAGTTCTGCAATAAGTTTCTTATTGGTCAAGCATTTTTTTTAATAGATTTTGTACAAAATAAAACAGTAATTCACAGATTTCTTCAAAAAAGCCTTCATATATTGAATTAATGCATTAGAAAATTATTTTCTTCCCAACATTTTAGAAAGTTAATAAGGATATGCAACACTTAATATGGTCCTATTTTGTAATAAAAGAAAATACTTATAAAATAATGATACATTCTTATAAAATAATAATGCAGGCCATAAGTATGAGTTCATTATATTCCTACTCATGGCAACATAAAATTCAACAAAATATTTTAAAACAAAGAAACATTGTCTTTAATAATGAAAGCATTCCATTTATGTTCAAAATTAGCTTAACTAGTAATTCTTCTCCAAGTATCTAGCTATTTGCTCATAAACTCTACCTTTTCACTCAAGATCTGAAGCATTCAATAAAACATATAGATTATTTTTTAAGGCTAATTTATAAGCACCATTTGAAATTTTGTACATGTGTGCATGCACAAGCTCCCAGCATTCTTTGCACAGAATCCGACACCACTTGCATTCATGGCAACAGCTAGTTACAACAACAACATTTAGTAATATGAGGCTGAAATGTTTGAGAAAATCAAATACCCATCAACTGTGAAATAGTTGGTCATCCCATTCTTAACAGGAAAAAAACATGAAACTGTTTTCTTGCTCATAACCAGATATTATTACTAGAAAAGTTAAGTATACAGTAACAATGTACTGAATGACAGTAAAGAACGAAAACGAGTGAGATTGTGCGAGGAAGGTCAAAAAACATCCATGATATATCGATTGCACTTTGGTCGGCTATCTGTAAGCATTAATAATTTGCGCAAGCATTTGACAACTTCATGCAAACAGGAGAAAAAATGGCGCACAGATATGAAAACCATTAATGAAGAAATTAAAACAACTATGGTTATCATCACCAGCATAAGAGTGACACGAAAAGGATATCCAAAAATTCATTGTTTGTTACAATAAATGTTGAATGCAAATTCAGGAAAAAAATTATTTTTTGAAAAATTTTATGCTGTTTTTATGGGAAACAGTTTATTAAAAAAAATTACAGTTTTCTGTTTGATTAACAACATACTCTATACAATCAACATGCATAAACTTCTCAGGATAGACAGTCATTTCTTAGATCAGGGAATCAACCAATGGGCTATTTCTCCCAGAGGGAATTCCATAGTTTCAATGGATGAATGCACTCAGCCTTTTATTTATATGTTAAGTATTTGGTTTTAGCTTATGAAAATAAAGTATTGGTATTGTTCTATTATTAGGACTGGGTGCAGAAATGCATGCATGTATGTATGGATGGGTGGATGCATTTGTGTATGTAAAAAAAATTACAGTTTTCTGTTTGATTAACAACATACTCTACATAATTAACATGCATTACTTCTTGAGATGGACAGTCATTTCTTAGATCAGGGAATCATCCAATGGGCTATTCCTCCCAGGGGTAATTCCATAGTTTCAATGGATGAATGCACTCAGCCTTTTATTTATATGTCAAATATTTGGTTTTAGTTTATGAAAATAAAACAATACCTTTATTGCTATTGTTCTGTTATTAGGACTGGGTGCAGAAATGTATGTATGGATGGATGGATGCATTCATGTATGCATGCACACACAGGCATATATGTACATACATATGTGCCTGTGTGTGTACATACTTACATATGCACATACATACATTTCTGAATCTGGTCCTGATATCAGAAGAGTATTCTTTATTCAAGTGTTGCTATTTATCAGCATACTAAATACTTTATCTTGTGTAATTTATATAATGTAATAAAAAATAATATAAATTTAAATAAATGTATTTTTCAACTTTCAGAAATAGGAGGGGAGGAATGATAATCAGCAATTATGAAAGAAGTGCATGGGGTATAAAAGGTTAAGATCCACTGTACTAAATGTTACCATTATCATCACAGTGCAAACCTGACAGGTGTGAAAAGAGACAAGTAAATTTATAAGCAAAAAAGAAGGGAGGAACTTCACTAAATGGCTTTAGATGCAGTAAAATGATTTGATATTAGCAATGCAGAAAATCTGTACATAATATTTATGTGATGTTACACATTATCCATTCCATCATAAATGAAATCATAATGCAGCAGAAACATATAAGAGCTATAACTATACAACTATAATCTGGATCATACCATAGGACAGTCAGACAGTAACCAGAATGTCAGTATACTATACAACTATAAGTAAGAGCTATAACTATACAACTATAATCTGGGTCATACCATAGGACAGTCAGACAGTAACCAGAATGTCAGTATAAGTTTTGTACAGAATCAGCAGAAAACGTTCTTACTAAAAGCCCAGATGCTTCTGAATATTATACTAAAATAACGACAATTTACTAAGAGCTCTAAACTTTAGTTTTCCTGACTTTAACACTACATATAAATCAAAATTATCACAACTAATACCAAAGAATGCTAACAGTGGTAAAAATATTGAAAATTCCAGTAATGGTAACACGCACTTCTGGAAACATGTAAATGGTAATATGCACTTCTGGAATGAAAAATCTCATTACACAGCCTGATAATGTTAGTTATGAAAAAGTATGCAGAATATAAACTGAACATTATTTGTCCAACTCTATTACGTCTAAAATTAACTTTGATGAAAGAAGTAAAGTGGTTTGAGGCTGTTTCTAACAGTTTAGACTGAGTTTTCAAATTCCAGTGAAGGAAACTATGAATACAGAAGTAGTATGAAATTGTCATATTTTAGGTAATTTCATGTTGCCCAAACAGTACACATATTTCAATATTGGTTTACACCTATTTCAACAAAATCATACTACCATCCCTATGATGCATGTAATATAAAGTGTGGATGTTGAAGAATTGAACTGATTAACTGAAAGCCCTGACCTCCGTCCTGTACAGTACTCATACAACGAGTGCAAACATTTGCTATCAGCCATGCCATGTTACCTCATATCAATGATAGAAATTATTACTGTTCAAGAATGGCATTAAGTTTTAATTGTTTTTACCAAAAATGAATGGAGATTCTGAGGTATTTTTAATTAACTTAAGACACTTTTCCATTAAATCCATATAATTTGGCACTTCACTTTCTTTTTGTTTCAGCATATTTCATGCACACTAGATGTTACCAGTTTGGTGTGATCTCTTTCCTTGTGATAAATGTCTTTATATCCATCGCTCCTGCAACTCCATTTTCATCTAATCGGTTTTTCTTTCCAGCAATGGATTTCACAAACTGAGATTTATCGAGAAATGAGCAATTGGCTATCCTGTTTTTCAGGAAAGAGAAATTCTTTGCAGATAAAAATTATGTTCAAATAACCACTTCATGAAATTAAAATGCAAGTTAAAAAGGCTATGCAGTCTTCATACCTGATAGGAATAAAAATATGTCCATATACATAAAAGTCATTTCATGAGTCCCATTCTTTTTGCTACTGCCATTTACTTACAGGATCAGAAGTTGATGGGCTATTGAATTTTGCAAACCAGAGCTTGCTTCTAATGAATCACAACACAATATTGGTTGGAATAATTGCATGAGGGTATATGCAAATTTCTTGATCGTCCTACCATTAAAACTGACAGATGCTATAAAATTGTGAAAACTGATTCAACAAAGGAAAAAAGGGGAAAAAAGTATTCCTCCCTCACAGTGGATTTTTATTGTGAAATTAAAGAATGCCCCTTGTTAGTGTTCTCAATAATTCCATTGCATGCAACATAAAGCCAAGGGTGCAAAGAAAGAAATAAGCCTAAATTTTTCGATGTAGTGATAAAAATTCGGACTATAACATTAAAGAAAAAGTACCTGATTGAAATAAATAATTATTTGAAATATATGGCTATTTTGTGCAACTGTGCTAAGCATAATGTATCAATCTATTAAATGTCATATTTTCTTAACAATTTAACTTCTTCACAGAGAAGCAATTGATCATTGTTTTATGGGTTTACAGCTGATCTCACTGCATCTTACATAATGCAAAATTTTCTTTTGGGGATTTACTAAAGATGTCATGTTTCTGTCATATTATACCCATAAGCCTACACAGTTTTAAAACATGTTACTGTAGCAGAGACAATGGAAATTGATGAGTTCAAACAAGTACAGAAATAATTTGATTATTATTTTGCCATTGCTCCTTTAACTAAAAATCAGACAGAAACATTTGTCAAACATGGAAATTTATCCTTTCATTCCATGTATTATTTTTGTCATTTTATTTTTAGAAATTTCAAAAATAAAATTCCCTCAAACTACAATGCTTTAAATAATAATAAAAGTGTTATGACATGAATAAGCTACAAAATATATTATAACAAAATCACAAGTGCAGTGTGAATTTTAAAAAGGTACTAGAATCTCTATACCTAAGTATATAATACAATGAATTTAAAACTCAAAAAGTTTGACAATAGAATTCAGTTTCACAACAGTGATTCCAAATGTTAAAAAAATAATAATATTTCTAGTATTACTTTTGACAGAAATTTCAAAATAATATCTGAAATTACTGCATACCTTTCCAAAACAGTATACTCAGTAGGTTTCTTGAACAATGCCTCAAGTCTGGCTTCCATCATTATGTACACATTTCCAGTGGAATTATCTTAAAAGAGTGTTGAACATATCATTTCCATCTCCAAAATAAGATAAAGGAAATATAAAATATATAAATACATTAAAATGTAGCACAAAAATAATTACAAGAAATTTTATAAAGATTGATATCTTTATGATCTTTTTAAAAATTTTATGCATATTTATATCACATACAATAAAATCTTTATTTATAGGATAGACACATACATAAAATTTCCTTCTCTCCCAATCCAAAAAATGGAGAAAATTAACTTTTTGTATTACAATAAGAAAGATCCTTTTCCACTAATTAAATTATCTTAATTTTTATTTGTTTATTTATGTACAGAATTATTTGATTAAAAAATTTCAAGAATTTTAATATTTTCAATTGAAGTTTGTTTTCATTTCTCTGCTGTAACTTATTAATTAGTTTTTATCAACTTTCATCTTAATTTGGATATATATGGTTATTTTTTCCCATCAAGTTTTTACTTCTATTTCTTATCAGTTTTGTAATAATGGGTGTATTAAGCTTTTAATTTTTGTTATAAAATATGCATCTACCGTATATACCCGTGTATAAGTCGAGATATTTTGGACAAAAAAAAGACTTCAAAGTGGGGGGTCGACTTATATGTGGGGCCATAAAAAATTAAAAGAATCGGAAGTTCAAAAATTTCTTTATATAATGCAGTTGTTTTCTTCCCGCACTCAATTGGACGACTTATCAAATAAGCCACTTACTTGAAGTAATTTCATGACTTAAATTATATGACAAACTAATCACAGAGTTTCATACTTTAACTAGAGTACGTTTCAATTAAACCAAAGAATTTTCGGCCCCCGAACAACCGATCAATATCGAGCAATAAAAAAGTTTCGCCAACACACCAAGAAAAGAGAAATGCAGATAGTCAATTTTAAAGATCATCCGTTGATCATTTTTAAAAGAAAAACTTTACCGAAAAACGTTGTGTTTCCATCAGGTGTGCTGGTTTGCGCGCATAAAAAGGGATGGATGGATGCTGACGGAACAGTCGATTGGCTTAAAAATGTGTGGGATAAAAGACCGAGAGCAGCTTTCAAAAAACCTTCGCCTTTAGTATACGATTCTTTTCATGGACACTTTTCTGAAGAAGTGACAAAACACCTAAAACCGACTGCGGCCGTAATTCCGGGAGGATTAACATCCGTCATTCAACCCCTAGATATATACCTCAATAAGCCCTTCAAAGTAAATGTTAGAAAATATTGGGCAGAGTGGATTAGTTCCGATCGACCAACATTTACAAAGGGAGGCAACATTAAAAAGCCCGATATTACATTAATTGCTCAGTGGGTTAAAGATGATTGGAACGAAATACCCTCTGAAATGATTATAAATCATTTAAAAAATGTTGTATTAGCAACGAACTAGATGTCACGGCAAGATGATAATGCTGTTTTTGAAAGTGAAAATGACGACAAGGCTCTAGTAGTGATTGTAACAATACAGAGTTCGAGACTGAAAATATGTATGATGACGAGCCAATGACGACAGAAGAGTTCTATGAAATGTTTGGCGAATCTGACCATGAATCGGACGTTGAAGTATTTTGATTTTGTTTATTTACCATAGTATTTTTTATCGTATATTTACTTTTTTTCCTCAGATGATTTTGAATAAATGTAGTACTCAAAAAAAAAAATTTTCGAAGTTTCTCGATCGATTTCGGAAGTGGGGGGTCGACTTATACGCGGGTTTCTTATTTTCTACGAATTTTTTATGTCAAAGTGGGGGGGGGGTCGACTTATACGCGAGTATATACGGTATTTAAAATTTCTTAATTTATAGTTCTGCAAGTCCTATTATTAGCATATAAGAACCTTGCTTTCAAGTGTCATAATAGTATTTTGGCTGAAAATTCTTTTTCTTGCACATTATTATTTGTTTACATATGAATATAAGCATGAGTGTGAGTATAAGAGCACCCACAAACAGGAAAATGAAAATGAAGGGGGAAAAGGGCATCTAAATTAAAAACATATTAAAAATACATTTAATGATTAATTATACATAAGCAAAAATAAAAAATGTTAAATACCTTTTACTTTCACATAATCCAGATCAGGATTTACACAAACAGATAAATTACTTGGCAGTGTCCACGGTGTAGTTGTCCAAGCAATCACAGAAACATATGGGCTTTTATCAAGTGGGAAACTGACAATAACTAGACAAAACAAATATTACTTTATTAAGAGTAATAAAGGGGGAATTATGAATTTGTGTATAAGTAATAACATGTTAATTATTTTGGATAATCAGACTTTTTTTTAAATGGTGCAGGTTATGACATGTAATTTTCCTAAACAAAAACAAAATTCATGCTTTACATTTGAAAATATGAAGAAATAAGGGCTAAGAAACGGTGAAGCTTTTAAAAAATATGTGCTAAAGCAAATTAAAAGACAAATTTTAAATATCTGCCATTAATTAATTCAGTACTTTCTGATTATTCATACTCCCCTTCCTTTCTGAATAATCACCAACCATTGGTGACTAATTTTTCGCTGAGCCAAGTCATGAAAGACAAGAACCATTTTCCAATTTTTTGCTGAGCCAAGTCAAGAAAGACATGAGCCATTTTCCAAAATGGAAATGCATTAAAAATTACATAAAACAGCAACCAATTAACAAAATTAAAACTGCAAGAAACATATTCATTAAAAACACCTGTATTTTGTACAGTCAAAAGTCGTTAATACGGACTCGTCGGGACTTCGGCGATTCCGGATTATCGATTTTTCCGGATTATAGATCATCAGTTTAAATCTGGTAAGATGGCATGTAGAAATTATAAAATTAAAAATATGAAACCGTAATTTATGAAATAAAGAGCAATTATGATCTAAAGGGTATCAAAATTTACAAAAAAAAAAAAAAAAAAAAGGCTTAATATTTATTTGTTTACTTTATTAAACATTTCTTTCATATTAAGTTGCTTAAGTTGCTTCTTTTTTTTATGTGATAATACATTCTCTTTAATTCTTTAAACAGACATAATTTCTTGTTCAGTTACAAAGTTCCACTGTTCAAGTCCTATACTTGCTGTGTCGAGAATACCGACTAATTTGTCAATCGAAATTTTTTCGTTTTCAATAACCTCTGTCACTTTCTTTGCTATCGGAAGCGAATTATAATGACGAGGAATTTGATTTAAATCATATCAAAGATGGAGTACATCGAGATGAAATATGACATTTAGTAAGGAATTATAAGCCAAATAAAATAAAAACATCTGCCCTAAAGATAAGGATAGTGCTGACAGATCAACTTCCAATTCATCGTGCGCCACGGCGTTAATAATAAACAAAGTTTAGATAAACAAAGGATATGCCTTTATTCATTTTTTGCAGCAATTCCATTTTTTGTTTAATTGACTTCGAAACATACTTTCGCTTTATAGATATCCTTTACATATTAGTAAATATATATCAGAAATTCTATTTGACATAATCGAAAGTTCAAGCTTACTTTCATAAAATTGCTCTAACAGTCTGCAAAAAATAATAAGCCGAATCCAATTCGAAGATTAAGGAACAACGCAATCTGCAACATTAACTGAATTAGATAATTTTAAGCTCAGCTTATACCGTCCATTATACTGTAAACGCGCATTCGTAAACGTATTTTGCGCTCGCGCACACACATATTCGCAGCCGTAAAGGTCTTCTGCACATGCGTCAAAGCGACGTATGCGCAGAATGTTTGTAGCTTTGAGGTCCAGATTATAGATCATTCCGAATTATGGGTGTCCGAATTAACGACTTTTGACTGTACTGTTCTCCCCAGTACAAAATCTGTTTTAGCTTCGAACACACACACACACACAGCAATCTATTTCAGCTTAAAAAATCCAGAAAACTGCACAAATTTGGAATATGCACAGATTTTGATCCATAAAATTCACCTATTCAGAAAGGACAACTTCATGAAATGTGAATTTTTGCATTCTCTACTGTAGAACAAAACATCACATTTCTGAAGCAATGCAATGTTTTCCTTCTCAGCAATCAGCAAACTCCGTATTAACTCCCATTACAATTCCTAACAAAAAAAAAAAAAAAAAAAAATTACTCAAATGCAACAGACCATCGAATTTAAAGAGAGAAATCAGCTGTAGTGTGGTGTGTACATATGCATACCTGGATTCCACATAAATATATTTTGGCAACATGGTGCAACTGCCTAGTGAATACTTTTGAGGAAGCTGGAGATAATCAGGAAGTATCATTAATTCTCCGGAAAGATTTACTAAAATCTAGCAAAACAATGCTTACATACTCAAATGATGAACAGACATCAAATAAAAAAATACCAGCTTCAATGACTCAGTATTCGAAATACCATCAAAACCTCAGGTTTTGATGGCAGGCTCATCAGCATGTCAGGTTTTGAAACCTGCCAAATAACTCTGACAAATCCTTAAGCGACATATCTTTAATTCTATCACTGCTTTGATTCTAACAGTAGCTGTGATATTCAGGGTATCATTTTATACAATAATGAGTGCACATTGCCAAAAAAGGGGATAGTTCTGCATCTCCTGTTCTACAGGGCTCATTGACAAAATTCAACTTGCATTCTTCATCTTTGAAAAGGCAACTTAGGATATATATTAGATTTATATAATAGCATTGTTTTAACATAGGCATTTTGACACAAAATCGGACCTTTCTGAACTGATATATGGACTCCCCCCCCCAATATTTTGATTATATGACTTAGATCATGCCTTAATACTTCAATTTGTCCTAAGAATAATTCACTTGTCAAAATTCTTAATTTATAGTAACCTGTTTTCTTTTCCATTTCATTGTGCTTGAGCCAAGAAAAGGTGCATCTTCCATTCTTTCAAATTACTTTAACAAAGTACATAAACCATATTTGGGATTATTATCGCTTACAACAAATATGCCAAATTTTAAAATCTGCCAATACATAAATTCACATACATATTGAGAAATTTTGTATTAAAAACTCTAATTTTTTGCAGGTATGCTTAGAAACTTTAAGTTGATGGTAAAAATTTTATAGGTTATAATTCAAATTTTTTTCAAAAGATTTATAAAAATAATTTAACAATACAAATTTTAAAAATCAATCATAAAAATTGTGTGAATTTTACTTGGACTGAACCTTAATTTTGAACTGTGAAAGAAAGAATAGAATAAGTTTAATAAAAAGAAAGAGACATTAATTAATAAATAGTATATACCAAACTCAGTTTACACTGTGGAGCTAAAATTTTGAAAGCTATTTTTTTAAAAACTACTCATGTGATTTTTACAAAACTTGACACTTTAGCATAATTTAAGTTAGAATCGAAATATGGAAAAACAAGTTGGACTTTATGTGAAAATACCTATGTTAGAAGAATGCTATAAATCTAATACATATCCTAAGTCAAGCTTTCGAGATATAAGAAATGCAAGTTAAATTTTGCCAATCAGTCCTATAGAATAAGAGATATAGAATCCCATTTTTTGTGCAGAACATACATTTGTATTTTTTGTCACACAATGAGAACGCTTGGAGTATTAAAGGCAGGGCCCTACAACAAGCTCTGGATTTTGCTGATCTAAGCTCTGAATTTTGCCAATATCCCGCAGGAAACATCTGCCAACTCCATCCATCAATGCCAAGCCGAATAATTGCTTGCATAAAAGCCAGAAGTGGACCAACACATTATTGATTCACTCCCTTTTTAAAGCTCTTGAATAAATCATCCAATTTTTCTTAACTGAAATTTGCTCTGCGATAATTTGAGCATGACTATTGCTCAGCGAAATATGTTTTTTTTTGTAATTAATACAATTTTGAAAAATAGGACAGCTACAAAACACATTTCAAATGCAATGGGCTGTTTGTGTAACAATCTGAATTCATTATCATATTATTCAAAACATTTATTACCATATTAATCATACACATTTGAAAGAATAAAATTTTCAGCTACTCAATTGTTCATTTATTTGTAATGAATTGCTTAGAATAAAGAAAAGAAACACTTTCTCAGTACTTGTAATACTAATACATCAGTTTATTTCTTAAAAAGTTTAATAAAATGTCAAAAGAATTTTTACTAATTTTCAAGTCAAGATTGGCATTAGATTCAATAAATGCAATCACAGGGCATCTGTATTTACTAGCCAATTCTTGCATCCAATTCTAATATTTAAAAAATTTATTTTGAATTGCTCTGTGCTTTGCAACAAAATAGAAGACATATATCCAAGCAATCTAATGTTAAGACACAATAACACGCTGAATAAATACTAATTTAGAAGTCAAACAACAAAAATCAGCATTATATTTTCAATAAATTAGTAATCTAATGTTATTAAACTTTAATTTGCAATTTTGCAAAACATCATGTGCTTTGAAAAATATACAATCATAGATTTTTAGTGTAATAGACTCACCAGCTGGATCAACTACTTCTTTATAGTTTTGTCCAGATTCGAAATTTGACAATGGAGTACTACATGCAGTGGAAAATGGCATCACCTAAGAACAAGCATAAAAATTCAATTTTCTCTTACACATTTTCTCTCTATAAAAGCTTCTCACTCATGAAATAATCAGAGAATTTTCAATGAAATTTTTCATGAGTACTTTTAAATGAATGATTTCATATCTATTTTTATATATATGACAGTTATTAATTTAATACTTTCTTTTCTTGTTCTAAAATCTATCCCAAACTGAACATTTTAAATTGTCAGATTCTGCAAACTGTGATATTACATTCGGACAGGGATTCAGAGTTTTTTCTTGCATCAATCCCTTTTAAAAGAATGGTTTTCTTCATCGACCCCCCTCTGTTTTCCTCCATACACAGCATAAAACATAATCATAATACAAATAACTGCATATAAATAACTAAGATAACACTAAGAATATGAATAAAAATTTTATTCATAATTCTTAGTGTTGATAATGTTTTATAATAAAAATGGTTTATCAGATTTATATTTTATTATTTTTTGCTACATTAATTCCTTTATTAATACATATCTACTGAAATTCTAGATACAACATCTAAAAAATATTAACAGTTTTGAGACATTAACTCAGTTTAAAACAGTTCTCACAATTTCTAATATATTTGCTAAATGTACTAAAACCCACTGAAAAAGTATGTTTCAGTCAAAAGATTCTGAGCCCAAATGAAAAGCATTCTAAAACTGATAAAACTAATTAAACAATCTATAAAAAATTATATCTACCTGGACATCAAAACTCGAAATCACTCTGATTTACTTAAGAAAAAAAGGAAAATCTTATAGCAAATAAAGCAGACATTGCCCCAAATTACTTTAAAAATTTAACACATAAAAAAATGAAAACATAATTACATTATTTATATATTAATTATTTAACTACTTATTTAATATGTAAGCATATTTATTACAATTATTTTCTATTCACAAGAACACATGACTAATTTTCAAAAGGAGATAAGAAGTTCATGTTAAAAATTTTGGTCCTACTATAGATTTTCACGGCCTTCGTTACCCAAATGGCATCAATATCATCACCAAGTTTAAACTACTTGCATATAGTTTGCGACTGCTATTTTTGTTGGTATGCAAATAGTGATGGACTGTCATCAATAGCGCGATAAACATTATGAACTAAAAACCCTGCAAAGGAGTTAATCGTGTAACTCGCTTATTCTTTACTCTTACGTTTCTCACTCCTTCAGAAAAGGACAGTGATATAACACTCTCTTTTATATAACTCCCTTTTTCAATATGTATTTGTGATACTAACCAATCTTAATTTATTTATTTTCATCTAATAATAAAGTATGTGTTTCACTTACAATTTCCATCTACAATTGCATTACAAGTTAATTAGCTATCATCTCACTTGAAACAGCGCTGGATACAAGGTAAGAGGAATCATTTTGCTCTCTACTTTTATTAATTTGTTGTGAAATTTCAAGGCTATAAAACTGTTTTACAACAATTTTAATATGGCATGTCTTTCACAAGGGATTTCTGCCACATGAATTCTAAAAAATATGAATCTAGATGATGTCAGCTATACTCCTTTGCCTTTTGTTTTGTCATTTGACAAAGCTCCACAATCTTTCCAAGGTTTGGGTATGAGTATGCATTGTTCGATCAGCAAAACTAAATGTGCAATTCACAGTTGTTGATATCTATGTACTTGCTTCCTGAACAAGAAAGCACTCGCCATTTTCATGGCATAACCCACTGAATATCCACTGTTGTGGAAGTATCCTGTCAGTGTTATTATTTTCACCGTATTGAACACTCTCCTCAATTTCGACTATTCTTTCGAAAGAAATCTAACTACTACCTAATCATCCTAAAAGTTGTTGAAGTAAATCTAGCGGACAAACCTCTCTCATGAAATTGTTCCAGTCAATCATGGTATTTTGACATAATGCTGAGTTGTTTAATGCACCACATAAGCAAAACTAAAGCCTCTTCCTAACAGCAGATAAAACACAGTGCTATTAGGAATAGTATTCTGAAACCATTAAACCAGTCGTCAGATCAAATGCTTTACAACTTTTTATGTTGCACCTCCACATACTTTTGTTTACATATAGTTTAATTTCCCACCCATTCACGCATGTTTATTTGCGAGGTAATGTATCTTTTTTCCTGGAAAACAATATGGCATCTTCTTCATTCCTCAGTAGTTCAAAAACTGTCAACTTTTTTTTTTTTTTTTTTTTTTTTTTTTTTTTTTTTTTTTTTTTTTTTTTTTTTTTTTTTTTGTTTTTTTTTTTTTTTTTTTTTTTGTTTTTTTTTTTTTTTTTTTTTTTTTTTTTTTTTTTTACAATGCTTAAAATTGAAAAAAGACTATTACAATATCATGCGGTTTGTCAAGTAGAGGTCAAAAGTGAAAGAACCTTTTTTACATAATTTGGCGGTTTATCACAGGGCTGTGGAAATCAAACAGTACTGAAATTTTTAACAAATTACAGTTATTACAAACCCTATTTCCTAACATATTTTTTCTTCAGTTGTTTTACTGCCAGGTTATAAAATTAAAAAAATATTCACATAATTTTCCCCTTCCTTAATGTATGTAGAGAATGAGCTCCCCTAAATTTTAAAATGGTACTAATGAAGACAACCTTCACAAACTACATGCAAAAGGTACAACCCAGTCTTTCCCTACTAAATGAACATTATGCCAGAATGATAATCAGTCTATAATTATTTATGGATGATTTGAGGCCTAAGGAATAGCAGAGATAACAATAAAAATAGGAAGGATTCAAGTTACAAGGAAGTAGAAATGAAGATATCTTATTAGATAACGTACTGTTATAATTACTATGTATTCTTATTGAAATGCAGGTTTCTTTTTAAAAAAAAATAATATTAGAATAAATACCTATAGTTTATCCATGACTACTTTTCATTTGCTATGTTCTTACTATAACCAAATCCTTCAGAAATTAAATTATTCAGATAATTCTCCCCCCTCTCGATTTTTTGACACTAAAATTACTAAAAGATGGTGGTAGTGGTGGTGGTGGCAGATTTATGGCGCAAAACTCTAAAGGCCATAATGCGCCAAACACAGGATTTATTGTACATATGCAAGATAGAGAAAATGGTTTAAAAAACAACAGCACTTATAAAATCGAGGTAAGTAGTAAGATCGCTCTAGTGTGACCAATTCTAAGGCGAGTCAAAAGAACTTCCTCCTTACGATTTCTAGTAGTATCCCAATGCTCTATTTTAGCCTTCACCCTTCTCAACTTGTTATGAAGCTGAATGTCCCAAAGTTGCTGCCATTTATTTCTGATCTTCTCTTTGATGACACAACAGATATCTCTAAAAGGGATGAGGTGAACAGATATTTTAACAGCAGATTTCGCTGTGATGTCTGCGAGCTCATTGCATTTTATTCCTGTATGTCTGTGAAGCCAGCAGTACAGAATTTCATATCCATGACTTGTTAATTTAATACTCAACTTGAGTACATCCACTATAACAGGATTATCGGTGCTGGAAAAAGATTTAAAGCTTTCAATGCAATGTAGGAGTCTGTATATATAATGAATTTTCTATGGCGTACCATTAAGATGTACAAAAGTGCATAATATATAGCAGTCAGTTTGGAGGTTAAGACCGAGGAGGCGTCATGTAAACGTCTGCCCTCCAAGTGGTCACCAATTATAAATGACATCCCAGCATGACAAGTTGACTTGGATCCATCCGTATATATGGAAAGATAACTGCTGTAACTATGCCTGTACTCAGCAAAAATTTGTCTGAGGAAAATGTCAAGTTGCTGGATTTGTGCATTTTCCCAAGGTGGGATCTCAAAATGCTATACTGCTTGCGGGGACATATCAGACACGGAGAATTCTTCAATGAGAGGACGAACTCTGACAGGAAAAGAAGGCACACAGGATGGACATGCTTCAAATAAAAGGTCACAGCTATTATCAAGTAAACACAGTTTATAAGGATGGTCAGGTTGAGTCAATATACAGTCAAAAGTCGTTAATCCGGACTCGTCAGGACTTCGGCAATTCCGGATTATCGATTTTTCTGGATTATAGATCATCAGTTTAAATCTGGTAAGATGGCATGCAGAAATTACAAAATTAAAAATATGAAACCGTAATTTATGAAATAAAGAACAATTATGATCTAAAGGGTATCAAAATTTACAAAAACAAAAAGCTTAACATTTATTTGTTTACTTTATTAAACATTTCTTTCAATGTAAGTTGCTTCGTTTCATGTGATAATACTTTCTCTTTAATTCTATTAAACAGACATAATTTCTTGTTTGGTTACAAAGTTCCGCTGTTCAAGTCCTATACTTGCTGTGTCGAGAATACCGACTAATTTGTCAATCGAAATGTTTTCGTTTTCAGTAACCTCTGGGTCACTTTCTTCACTATCCGAAGCGAATTATAATGAGGAGGAACTTGATTTAAATCATATCAAACACGGAGTACATCGACATGAAATACTACACTTAGTAAGGAATTATAAGCCAAATAAAATAAAAACATCTGCTCTGAAGATAAGGATAGTGCTGACAGATCAACTTCCAATTCCGGGCGTGAAATTGATAAACAGATTTCGGATTTCAAAACATACTTTCGCTTTGTAGATACAAATTACATATTAGTAAATATATATCGGAAATTCTATTTGACATAATCGAAAGTTCAAGCTTACTTTTATAAAATTGCTCTAAGCCGTAAAGGTCTTACGCGCACTCTTAAATGCCTGTGCGCATGCGTGAACGCGACGCATGCGCAGAAAGTTTGTAGCTTTGAGGTCCGGATTATAGATCATTCCGGATTATGGGTGTCCGAATTAACGACTTTTGACTGTATTAAAATACTGTACAAGAGACAACTCCTCACGCCTCAAACGGAGTGATGGTTTGTAACAGTCAACATAAAGGCTCTGGACAAGAGACATCCTGAAGGCTCCAGAACAAATTCGCAGAGCCTGATGATGAACAGGATCTAGTTTTAACAACACTGAAGACTGAGTGGATCCGTAAACAACTGAACCGTAGTCAAGTCTAGAGCGAACAAGAGCTCTGTAAATGCAAAGCATAGAGCAACGCTCTGCACTCCAGGAGGTGTTCGCCATGACTTTTAAAATATTTAAAATTTTTGTAAACTTTTTTCTCAAGTTTAGGACATGAGAAAGCAAAGTCATTTTCCAGTCAAACAAAAATCACCCCTAAAAATTTTACTTCAGGTGTAACTGGAATCACTGACACTTTGAGATATAATTCAGGATCAGGATGAAGACCTCGCTTTCTACAAAAGTGCACACACACAGTCTTCTGTTTTGAAAACGTAAATCCTTGTTTGTTTGCCCATTCCTGGATCCTGTACAAAGTGATTTGGAGCTACCTCTCTACATGTCTCATATCTGCACCTCGACAGCCAATTTGCAGATCATTAACATATAAAGATCCTGAAATGGTGGGAGGAAGTTGTTTTAATACAGAATTTATTTTTAGGCTGAACAGGGTTACACTAAGCACACAGCCTTGAGGCACACACTCTTCCTGTTTGAAAACTTCTGACAAAACAAAGCCAATCCTTACTTGAAAAGTTCTAGCTTAAAAAAAATTCTGAATGAAAGATGGTAGGTTGCCACGCAAGCCACTATCATGAAGTATACCGTATCTCCATGCCTTATCATAAGCTTTCTGTAAATCAAAGAAAATTGAGAGGTGATTTCTTCTTACAAAACTTTACGAATAGATGTCTCCAAAAGGAGCATGTTATCTATGGTTGTTCTTTCCTTTCGAAAACCGCTTTGATAATAAGAAATTATATTGTTCTTCTCCAAGAAATAGACTAAGTGGCTGTTTACGATTTTTTTAAACAGTTTGCATGTGCAACTAGTAAGGGCAATTGGCAGATAGATTCCTCAGGTCTTTCCCTGGTTTAGCAATGGGAATCACAACAGCTCTCCTCCATGCACTGGGAAAAGTTTGCTCCTTCCATACCCTATTTGCTTGAGTAGCAACAACTTGGAGGGATGTCGTCAAAGAAAGTGCATTTGATGGATAGTCTAGTGAGGTGAGGGGACCTACACCTCCACTGGCATGCTCACCTGCAAGGTTATCTTTCCTGACGAAAGAAAACCTCTGAAGTTTTGCTTGTTGTTCTGGTTTCAGATTTGTTTCCTTTATTGCTAAGCACACAGGATGATAAGCATTGATTATAGCTTTGATGTCAAGTAAATTTCGGTGGAAACCACAACAGTTCCACGAGACGCAGGTGGCCATTATGACTGGTTTTTGTTCTTTCAGCGCTGTTTCTTAGTTTTTCGTGGAAATAGATGTCTGGGAACTTCTACATCCTCTTCTACTTCCATACTATCTGAATCCGCAGATTCAGAAATCATCTCATCAAGAGAGCTATTGCTGGGACTTCTATTTTTATTAATTATTTTCTGAGTGGCATTTTTGCGTTTATTTTGAATGACTGTTTCTTTTTTTGGGGAAGGGGGGCTAAATGAGTTAGGTTTTCTTTTTTCTTGTTGTTTGTAATTGGTTGGGGTTTTATTTGGTAGAGCCTGTGTACCAATTGAAGTTTGGGTGGCAACTGTACGAGATGTTTTCAGGGCATTGGCATAAGATGTATTTGGTCGAACCTGTGCACTTGACTAATTTCCTGGCTTCAGCATATTGATGTTTCTAGTTACTTTTGCAGTCTGCACTTCTTTTTCTGATTTCCATTTTGGACACAAGCAAGAAAAATGCTGGGTGGTCACCCTTGCAATTTATACACAAAGGCGCAGCGGTACAATTATCCCAATCCTGAACAATCTGTTTGCATGGAGCACATGTGAGGCTACAAGGTGTCTCAGAATGGCCGAAACGCTGGCATTGGAAGCATCGCATAGGGTTTGGAATATAAGATCTTACAGGACAATTTAAGTATCCGGCCTTAATATTCTTAGGCAGATCACGTGTGTTGAAGGTCAGGATCACATGTTTTGTATCGATCAACTGACTTTCCTTACACATCTTGATCCGCTTAACACCACAGACAGTTTGGTCAGACAGCTCGGATGCCACCTCTTCTTCGGAAACACAGAGAAGGTCGACTTGCGAGATTACACCGCAACAATTATTCAATGTCTTATGTGCTGTTACAGTGACATTAACTTGCCCAAGTTTGGTTATTTGAAGTAAGGAAACAGACTGGGTACCCAAAGTTGTGTCAATAAGCAAGTCTCCAGAGAGGAGATGCTTTATATTTCTGGGCTCACCAATACAGGAATGGATGTATTTATTCATCAGAAAAAGAGACATCTTTTGCAGCTCTCCAGAAGTACTAGAGACAACAAGGAAACGGGGACTATTGCTAAGATTATTTGCATCTGTACGTACCTTTTTAGTAGATTTTTCGGAACTAGTAACGCTTTGAGCGACAGGACAGACTTCAAAGTCTAGCCCCACCCACTATGGAGTCCAACAAGGGGACACAGAAAACTGCGCCAGGGTTAACTGGGTCTATATGAAATCTGAAGCCCCCCACAGTCAGCTCTCCCAAAAGCTTATCCCCAAGCCACTGTTCTTAAAAACACGTGACCAGTCGATTAACACTAGCAGGGACAACTAAGTGCCTCCTGTTTTAATCTGAAGCAGAGGCCAAAGCATTGTGTTGGAGACAGTACCTCGCTCTCAACTACCAGAACCCTCCTTTCCAGCCTTACGAGTCACAACGCATGGCAAACATGTATGCGGTTTTCTCTCTGTGAGAAACTACAAACAAAGAGATGTATAAGAATTTTACTTTGAGCCCGAACCTCCGAAAAAGAAAACCACAAGGGCAGAAGAAAAGAAATAAACACATATAAGGAGAGATGAAAAAGAAAAGAGGAAAGATCACCAGGGCTCCAGGATCGTGACCCCCATCTCACCAAGAAGATGATCCCCTGGGCTAGGGTACCTCGGCATTGCCACACTCGTACTCACAAAAGTGAGCCCCGAGGGTCTAAAATTACTAAGAAAAAGGGAGAAAATATACAAGGAAATACAGTATTTCTATTTAATTTTTCTCTATATAGACATAATTTTGCAAATTAAAATTTTTAGAAAATCATATTTTAGTGAATAAAAATAGAAAATATTCTGAATTTTGACAAGAGCATTTTTAAAAATTGAAAAGGAAGTTATAATTTTTTAATCAAAAATTTTTATAAACTTCCTTTTTTTTCACATAAATAACATTTACCCTACATACAGCAGATAAAGCAACAACTTAGTGTTAGACTTTAACAAAGACTTTTGATGTCAAGGGTGAATAAGTACAAGTCCCTCTTCATTGAAAGCAAACAGTTCTGCCAAATTGGCAGAATTTCTTTGCTCCTTATGAATGAGGGACCTACACCCGTTCACCATCAAAATCAATAGTAAGTTAAAATCTGCACCACACACAGTGTTGTTGCTACACCTAACACTATATTTTACTTTGACATATTTCTCTTCCCACATCTATTTATTTGCTATGTTTGCTAATAGTTCTTTGGAAAAGCAAAATAAAGAACAGAGTTTTAAATAAATTAAAGAAAAATAATATGTTTATACCATACCTTGACACCTCTGTAAACAAATCCTTTGTTGTATAACTGCTTGAAAACAAACCATACACTTTCCATAAAAGATGGATAAAGCGTTTTATAGTCATTTTCAAAATCAATCCACCTTCCCATTCGACCAACAATTTCCTATAATGCAATATCATTTATAGGTGCCAAAACTTTTTTAACATTTAAAAGTAATTGAATTAAAAAATAAAACTAGTAATGTAACATTAATAAATATATTTAATGATATAAAAAATCAATTTAAGAAATTTTAAATTAATTGCATAAAATGCAAGAATGACTGCTTAAAAGGACTGAATTATAAAATAATATCTCAACTGTAAAGTGAATAAAAGAGACTAGTTAATGCTATATTAATTTTTAAAAATCAAATTTTTAAAAAAAAGAAGAAGGAGAAAAATCTAGGAGGAATTTTTTTAAGAACTTCATATTGAAGCATGATAATAGTTATTCATCACAGAATTAAAGTTATATTTCTAATGAGGAAAATATGCTAATATATGTTGTCTACATCTGAGATTCAAATGAGAAATTACTTTCTAATGATTAATTGTTTACTAATTTTTGAAAATGCTACTGAAGCTGGACAATGCATTCAAGCAATGTTTGTTCAGTAATTAGTTTAATGAAGGTCATATAATTGGACTTCTGTCAAGTAGGATACTCTTTTCATCTTCAGAAAACCAGGCTGAACTTGAAGAACAGCATTGGGAGTAATACACAGGTAGGGTTATACAGAATGGCATTCCTACCTTTGAAGATATGGTTCCAGATAATGGAATGTTATAAATGCCTGGGATGATTGTTACATTACAGAAGGCAGCATAGACAAAAATGTAGGATCATGACATTGCAAATTCAAATATCCACCACGCTACCTGGGTGTCTGTGACTTAAGGGCAGCTCTACAGGCAATCCTAAATGGGAGCTTCCTGATCACCAATGGGAATCACTTTCACCTAAACGAGCTTCAAAAGGATAAGGTCTGCATTCTTCAATGATTGCCAGCACATATTAATATCACAGGTAATGAGAAAGCAAAAAAACTGGCAAAATAGGTATGAAATCTCAATAATAATAACAACGTAAATGTCACCCTCTAAGAAACGAATGCCATGACCAAACACAGATTGAAGGAACTTTCAATTCCGATAAAGAACCAGCTCCATAACATCGATGGAGATCGATTTTAACTAAAACCATAGTCAGATTTAGAACTGGCCATCACAGAGGATTCAAAATTGACAGAGAGAGTAGGAAAACCTATAAAAGCTACGATAACTGCCAGAACACAGAACTGACAACTGCAGACATTTTTGATTGTCCAACCATCCTTGCTTGAATTGCTAAAAAATGGGCTCTTGTTACAGAGACTGAACCTCTATGATGATAACATTTTGCATATTACCCAGCTGTTGTTTCTGCCCATGGCATTATTTTAGGCTTTATCATAGACATAACAGCAATAGCACATACATGGGCTAGAAGAACGCTATGCTTAACCATCTTTTGGATTCAGCATTCGAGCTCCTATAACACTAGTACAGTTACACTGATTCATTGTCTCCATCGAAAACCTTGAAGCAATGTCAATCACAAGCTCGCCACATGAAAGAACTGCAGTGCAGTCTCCAGCAATGAAAATTCATGTTTAAAAGTCTTTAATTGTGGTTTACGCTTTTTTAAATGATTAAGTAAAAAGTTGCAGATATATGCAACAGCGATAATGTAGAGATGAAATGAAAACCAAAGGGAATTATACAATTATTGTTTGTAAAGTAAATTACATTACAGTGTAAAAGAAAATAAGAGAGAGATGTAAACAATAAATAAATAAATAAAATACACATTTAATAATGATTTACAAACATTAAGATATTATTCAAAGTAGTCACCTAGCACATTAAAGCATTTATCATTTCAAGAAACAAGGTTTTGCATGCCAGCATCACAGAAGGTGGCTGCCTATGAGATTGGCCAGCATGTTATGGCATATTTCATTTCTTCATCGTAATGACAGGGCCACTTTCATTACGATGAAGAATCGCTTCAAGTAAGTGCAAGAACAAATGAAAGTCAGCTGGCACCAGGTCAAGGCTATGTGATGGATAATTTATTTGTTTCCAATTGAATGCCTCAATATGATCTACAGTCACACAGGCAAAATGTGTCTTGGCATTGTCATGCAATAAAATGACACTATCATTAAAAGCTATCATTAAACAGAAATAATTACAGAAATATTTTACCTAAAATTTTTATGTTTTAAATATTTTATTTGATAACCCTCATTCCTCACTATCTTTACATACTGTAATTTAAGAGGCACAGTAGTATCGAAAGAAAATTTTTTAGCCCATTTCTCTTGAACAGTTTTCCAAAGAACAACCCGCTTTTTAAAAGTCCAAAAGTGCATAAATACATTGGTGATAAATCAGATTTAGTAGGAATAAAAGTGAAGAGTATGGCCTTGATGCCCGCTTTGTGTTTCAGTGTTTCCAGGAAATCAACTGTGGATTTTGACATGCGGCTACTTGCCTTCTCTTGATGCAGCTCTACTGGTTCATTCCACTGTGTGTACAGAAAATGTATTTCATATTTGAAAATTGGGTATAAAATATGTTTTTGACAATATGCAGAGTTGATCTTAACATTTTTCTCCACTCTCTTTATTTTTAATTTTCAGCCATGTTTTAAGATTTTTTTCCTACTTTTTGATGATAATAAATGAATCTCTTTACTGCAGTCATTTAAGTACACAAAAGATTCGTCTATTGTGACAACATTTTTCCATTCTTGTCTGGATAAATGTTTCTCATAAGGAATTCTGCAGCGTGTTCTGCGTTCGGCAATAGGTTGTGGCAAAAGATGATGCACCTTTTAAGCTTCAAATCAGCATCAATCACTTTTTTTACAGATGATATTGAGACTTTTAATGATGTTGTAACTGTCCTTTGACTTGGCATGTTTTTCTTTTAATATTGAAGATCTTACCTTTGCAACATTCGAAACATTCCCTTTTTTTCCCTCGGATACATAATTGGAACAATTTTACCATTTGAAGCTAAATTTTGAAGCTTTTTTTTTCCCCCCTTTGTTGTTGACAACATTACTTATCGTAGCTTTAGATATCGAAAAACCACACCTTACACAATGTTTTTTAATAACTAGATACGAATAATTTTCTTTGGAAAGAACACAAGCATAGCCTTCAATCCATTGCATCTTTAAAAGCAACAGTTTGCATGAAAACAAAAGCGTCAAGAAGCAGACGATAATTTATACTTTCAAAGATATAGTTGCATTTAAAAATAAAATTCTAAGCAAAAGATTTTATTGTTTATTTATTTATTTATTTATTTACAGCAAAGCAAAATTGTCTAAAAAATGTGCAAACAGCCTCTGTAGATTGAGCCTGCTTTCCTTGGTTTGCTGATGATCCATTGGATTTTCAGCCCCGAATACACGATAACCAAAGCTTATAAGGCAAATTCTCTATTGCCTACCCTGTGGAAACAATTTGAAACTGGCTATTATCATTTTCAACACTAGAATTTACCCATTCATTATCTCATATTCACAAATGACTATTTGAAGAAATAGGAGTGAATGAACTTAACTGCCTGACCCAAAGTCCTAACCCAACGCAAATCGAATGTCACTGGGTTAAGGAATGACACTGGCTGATAACCAAACCAAACTGTTATGCAACTGTTCTCCATACTATTAACTCTTTGAAGACCATAATGCCCCAGACGGTCTTTCATTCAAACAACCACAACCGTCCCAAATGACTGAAATTCCGATGTTTTCTTTCCTCCCTTAAGGTATGCAGTAGCAGGTGCAGTTTCCCAAATGCATTGTATCAGTTCTCGCGAACAGCTTGCCCCAAAAGGATTTATTTGTGATTTATTATCTTTATTTGTTAGAAGTAGAAAGGATATCATTTGAAATCTTCACTCTTCTTCGTGCATTAATGGATGGGCGGGGAGGAAATTGCTGCGACTCTCGAAAATCATTTTGGACGGTTCAATATTTTAACATGCAGGTTAGCGAAGGCTTCGGTTTTCAAAAAGTTAAAGTAACAGATGAAGACACCTACAAGAACCTCTATTGAAAGACAAACGCTAGAATAGCTGCAAATTATAAATCTACATCTGCCAGCTACACTTCAGCAATTTCTTATATGAATCTAGTGATTAATATTAATGGCAACATAGTGCATAAGATCTAGCTCTCAAAGACTGTACTTTCTAAATTAGCAACATACAAGCAAATTCCATATACAAAGAACAAGTATGTAAAATTAGAAGCAAAATTTAATAAACTTCTCTTATGGAAAACATTAAACCTATTAACAGTTTAATATTCTTTTTAAACTTACCTCCCATTGTTTTGCATATCTCATAACAATTTTCCTGCATTCATTGTTATACTGTTCAATACCAATTTTCTCTACATCACTGGGACCTTTTATTCCCAAAGTTTTATCAATTTCATATTCCTAAAGAGAAAATATACATATTTATGAAAAATTCATAAAACACATTGTTTTAAATTCACATACATATAAAATTGCAGAAATCAAATAAAATTCATAGAAAATAAAACTAAAGCTACTAATATAAAAATCTTTAAAATGTACTGTATTAACGGATATAATTTCACATTTGTCCCATACTTAAAAAAACACAGCCTCTGTGGATACTTTTTGATTAGCTGCGACACCCCACCCATCAAAAAGTCACAAAAAGGAAAGGGGGAAAAAAAAACCTTTCTAGTAATTTTGTTCTCCTGATGAGGAGGGACCTTTTGCTGCCCTCGAAATCGATTGAGTGTTTTAATATATGTACGCTAAATGCAAGGTTGTTATTGCGATTTTGATTTCACATTGGCGTATTTCTCTTCTATTCTATTAAGAAACCAGTCTAGTAATGATGTCCAACATCAGACAGTAATTTTAACTGATGATGAGGTTACGAGCACAATGAAAGATGGCAATATGGAAGTGCAAGTGGGTCATTCAAGTAAAGTTTTAGAGGTAATAACTGTTGCAGATTTAGTTCAAAACAGAAATGAGAGTTTTTGCAGAATTCAATGAGAACAACATGATACTGAAAAAGAAAATACAGATGATGGAAAGAAAATATTGTAATGGAAGATTGCAAAGACAACATGGAAAACTCTTCTCTTACACTTTTTTTGCATAAGATCTAGCTCTCAAAGACCGTACTTTCTAAATTAGCAACATACAAATTAAATCTAAATTAGCAACATATGGAGATACAGAGAATATTCAAGAAGCTTGACTCTCTGCTAAGCAACCACTAAATAAACAAGTGAAAAAAATGTTGCATATTTCAAAGTTAAAATTTCGGACAGCGAATGTAGGAGAAAACATACAGATAAAAATACCAAAGATAAACAAGGTAAGGGTGATAGCCAGAATGTTATAGCTGTCATAATTTCTAAGGAAAATGAAAACTTATATAAACTTGATACAAAATATGGAATTTTAAAACAGCTGTATCAGGGTTCGTAGCCACATTTTAGTTAAAAAAATAAGCACCTATAAGCACTTTTCAGGCACATTTTAAGGAAAAATATAAGCACCTGTCTAATTACATTATACACAACTACATAACCTTAAAAGAAAAATTACACTTGTAATTTAAAATATGAGCAATGCCATATTTATTAAGAAAATGAGCATTACCTCAACCATGGAAAACAATTATCTTTTTTTTTTTAATTTTAAATGACAGTTCAGTTTACAGAATTAGTTTAAAATGAGAGGGAAAAAAACTATGCAGAACTAAACTATATTACAAGATTTAATGATGAAATTTCAATTCAAAATATAGAAAATAAATAATAATAAGCCATATTAATTGTATTCATATGGCACCTAATAATAAATACAATTTATTTTTCCACTCATATCAATAGTTAAATAATTTAACTTAAATCAAAATTCTGAACATTTTCTAAATTTTCATTGCATAACAGTTTTCTCTTAACATATATTCCAAGTAAAGTAATTTAAGTAAAAAAGAGGAACATTTCTGAAATCAGGAGACAGGAAATTGCTTCTTGCACTCATCCTTTAACAGTAAAAGCGAAAAAGAGGAGGGGGGAGATTGTAGCAGTTCTTTAGATTCCTCGGCTAAATAAATGATTTTGACATTGCGATATGTGCATCATATAAAAATAGACCAACAGAACTGAGAAATATTCTGCTTAGAAAGCACAGTAAAACTCTTAAGTGTTCATAAATAAATCTCCTACTGAACATCAAAATTAATTATCTCTGCAAAATACCGCAAACGTTATTGCGCAATACGTGCGGCGTAATTCTTCCACACGTGATATTATGCAATCGAAATCAACAGCTGCTGGTATTCGGAGAATAAAGAACCAAATAAAGGAAAAGAAAGAGACTTACTAATCTGGGGTGTTTTTGATTCTAATTTTGAACAGATTGTGTTAAATTTCCGCAATTTTCATTCTTTGCTTGGGTTGGGTAGACCGCAAAACTTTTAGTCCTATTCAATCCAAATTGGACAGTGACAAAAAAAAAAAAAAAAAAAAAAAGTCCGCTGCTTCAATATTAGAGATTTTGCGGAGAAAGGGGAGAACCTCCCAACCTCCGTACTGTATAATGTATTGGGGGGGGGGGGAATATTCTGACTATTCAATTACTTTCCTTTTATTTAAGCCATTCCGAATATTATTCCTTAGAAAGCTAATCTGTGTAAAAATACACCCATTTTTGGAAGTTTATCTACACTTCAGCAGCTAATGCAATTATATTACTATAAATATTCACACATATGCTCATAATATAAGCATAACGATCATAATAAACACAAATATGAACTGACCACGCGGAACGAGAATGCAAATTATTAAAATCTTGATAGAAATTCAAACGTGTGTAGTATTTGGTTGGGCGGAAAAGAATACCGAACATACCGGAATTTTCTACGTTTTCGCAATTCTTTGGCCAATAGAATGACGTGCACCTGTCTGTACTCTCGCGCGCACCATAGGTTACGTTAATGCAGAGGAAGGAAGGGAAAGCAATTTTCGGGAGTATGATTCACCATCTGACGTTGCATATAAGAAAGAATTGTTGTTGTTTATTTAGTTTCGGCTTTGGTACGGGGAAAAAATGTGCGTTCATTAAAAACAAAGGATTAAAAAAAAAGCACTAAAAGCAAAAAATAAGCACTAAAAACAAAAAAAATAAGGGCTTTAAAGAAAAAGTAAGCACCTATAAGGGGCCTTTATATTTTATTTTCAAATATAAGGACTTATAAGCACTTGTAAGGACCGCTACGAACCCTGTGTATGCAAGAAATGATTTTACTGTCTGCCAGGAAGCATTTATTTCAGTGAATAAAATAAGTCTCAGAGAGTGTGCTCGTCAGCATTCCCACTCAGGCAGTCAAGGATTGAAGAGCTGCAACTGTAGAAGTAAATGAACTGCAAATGTAGAAAATTAAAAATTCTTTATAACTCAAAATGTTACAGTAGCTCATCCAGCCAAAATTAATAATTCATTACTGCGGCATTCCATATGGAGTGAAACAAATTCTGATTGAAAAGAAAAAAATTTTGAATGTGGTGAAAAACACTGTAGTATGGATGCTTAATTTCATATCATGTGAAGCTTTGCTATAATATATTCTACTAAAGTAAATACATTGAATCAATCCATGAGCTGTTTCAAATTTTATACAGTTTATTAAATTCGTATTTGTGGAAAGGATATTAAAATTTATGAACTTAAGATTTAAAAACCAGTTAATGCAATTTATGTGCATTATTTATTACTTACCAAAACTGCGGTTATTATTATTAATAGCCAGATTTATAACCATAACATATAAATTGGTTTTCTGTAAGTATACACAATTTGGGTAAAATAAAACATCCTCAACAGCACATAGATAATTGCTATTTTAAAGCTCCAAAAATATATTGTTGTCTAGATATTAATTTGTACATTAACATAAAATTTTCCCTTCATTACAAAATATATGAATGCAATTTGTCCTACATATATCTACACAAATAGTTTAAATAAATAGACTTACAACTGGTAACCCATGACAATCCCATCCAAAACGTCTTTCTACGTGATAGCCAGACTGATGAGCAAAACGAGTCACTATGTCTTTTATGGTTCCAGCAAGTATGTGGCCATAATGAGGCAAGCCAGTGGCAAACGGTGGCCCATCATAAAATGAATACCTAAAAATATGAAAACAATTTAAAACAAAATCAAGAAATATTATATAATATCTAGATACAAAAAAAAATCATATCTCGATAAAAACAAATTATTGAAAGCAATTATAAAAGGTTGATCTCCATATCTGAATATCTTTTAGAAAAGGTATAATGACCAATGTGAATTTAGTTTATTATTATTATCAACGTATTACTACTAATGGTACGACTCTGATATACGCCTTAATTTCACCAAATGTGGCGATATGTGTTCTGCGCTGGTTTTCGGCGCAATTGCGTGTTGTATGGCAACCCTGTTGCCATTGAAAAATCTTTCGCTGGAGTTCATTGGTTCCCGTCATGCTTTGTGTCTGAGAAGCTAGGGGGGAAAGATTTAATGGTGAAAGTTGTTGAATTGAAGTTCAGCATAAGGAAATATCGTCATGGCCATCCTGTTGAGGGGCAATGGGTATTTGGAGGTGTGGAAAGAAGGTATGGGAGATTATTTTTAGTGGTTGTGCGTGATAGAAGTAGGGATTTGTGCTTATTTGTTATTTTATTTATTTGTGAACCATAGTATGAATTTTCTGGATAGTGTGTCTGGCTGTCATATAAATACGATAGTGATTACGTGGCGGCATGTTAAAGGCAGTATGAAATTGGTATTTCAGCTGTTCGAAAAGCATTAATGGTAAGTGCATTTTATTTTATTCTTGATCTTATTTTGTAGAATGTTATGTTCATTGTTTTTTTAGTATGAATTTCTGTCGTTATTGTTGTTTTTTTTTGAATTGTTTGAAATTTATTTTAGTTATTTTGTTGATTAGTGCGTACCGTCTAAATTGTGCAATTCGTAGATGTTTTTTAAAGTTGAAACAGAACGGTGTGTACATGGTATTCTTTGAAATTTATTGTTGTTATGTTAATTTATTAAAGCGAGGTGTGCATAGTTTGTAGATTTGTTCGTTGCCTACATTCTGCCATTCGTAGATGTTTTTTTAAGTTAAAACATGTCGCTGTGTACATGGATTCTTGTCAAATATTTTTGGTTAGAAACTTTACGTTTTTGTTACCTAAATTTTTTGTTTTTGTTTTTGGATTTTTAGCTTAAATCGTGTATTCAAAACGTAGTTTTTGCATGTGCGAAAACCGCATTTTTGGAGACATTTTAGGCTTAAAGTTTGAACTGTAGACAAAAAATTTAGATGGCTGCGTGAAGTTTCTCGCCAAAAATGTTTGGCGAGAAATTTGGCGACTTGAGGGCACATATCAGAGTAGTTCCCTACTAATAATATAGTTTCAGCAAATTGCACAGAATATATTAGTACTGTTAAGGACACAATATGCATTTATGTTTCAATCAGTATTGTATTTATCATTTTGCAATAAACAGCTGTACATTTTTCAGTAAAAAATCAGTCTTTGATATTTTTTACTTATTTTGCTTGTATTCAACACTCAACATATTTTCAAATATTCTGTTATATAATTTAAAGTTTCTATTTCCAATGAAACCCAGAAAATGTGAAAACAAAATATAAGTTAGATAATCTCACATTACATATAAAATTCAGAAATTCACAATTAATATACATAATAATATGAAATTTCAACAATTATTACTCATACATTCAACACAAAATAAAATTTTTAGCTGAAGATAGGATAATCAAAATGTTTACCTATCAGTGAGAATTTTTAGAACTTTAAAACTAATTTCATATTACTGTTAACCCCCCCTTAACACGAACTCAAGATAAACACTTGGTCAACATGAACAAAATTTCAGTTCTGGCAATGATGTATATGATCTTACAGTATAGAATGATAGCACGTAATTGTGTAGAAATAATGAACCATAATAACAATTCCAAAAATAAAATTTGAGTCCCCAGTTAAGACAAATTGGTAAAAGTATATTTACGGGTACCCCTTGGTGAAAATTGGCGATTTTGGGAAGTGCATGGATACCGGGTTTGCGCAATTTTTTTACTTGTTATTTTGGCTAGACAAAATAACAAGTCAAAGAATTGCACAAACACAGTATCCATGTACACATTCACCTATTTTCACTTTAAAAAAAAATCAGAGAATTGCACAAACTTGGCAATGTGCACTCCCTTGACTTTGTATATGTACACATCGATATATTTTCAATTAAAAAGTCATACAAGCACCCAATTCTAGGTAAAAGTTCAACTACTCAGGTTACCACAAATGAAAAAACAACTTTGCAATAATACAAGAGGTACCCTTTGGTCTACTCTAACCAACAATTTTTTTTAACACGAACTCTTTTTTTCTGTCCCTTGAGATTTATATTAACGAGCACTTACTGCACTAGATTTCAAATGCAACAGTAAATTTTAGCAATATATTAATTCCTTAAAAATGATACAAAATAAGCATGTGATATAAGTAGAAAATAAGCATGTAAGCATATATTTATATTATTTTAGGGTTTATTACTCAAAAAGAAAAAATTCAATATTAAAAGGAGTTTTATCACCATTCACATATCATTATAAACATTAAATAATGCAGTTGTGATTAAATAATAAATAATACAATTATAATTAAATAAATTTTAATCATATTTTTAAATCTTATCAGAGTACTTATCAGGTTCAATGTTTCTTCTAACCTTCTTCGGAAACATACAATGACCTGACTAGGAACAGAGAGCTTACTAAAGCTATGTTCACTAATTGTAGTAAGTAGACAGGATACAGACGAAGGGTATACAAAACCCTTTATTTTTCTTTATATACAATGACTTCCGTACTTCGGAATACAATGACCCTCCACTTGGGGTCTAACGTAAAAGGTATAAAAATAAAACTAAACTCTAATTTAACTTTAGAATAATACAACGTGGAAGATTGGCCTTATAATAACAGGAAGCGTATGTAGCACAGAGACTGTGAACACTACAATACGTTTAATTTATCAAGAGGATTAAAACCTCTGGCCTGGAAGGCAAACAGCAACTGCGTAACTTCTAAGGTAAGCGGCCTGCTTCGAACTCACTGCTTCCTCTCTTCTGCTTGGCAAAAAGCCACACTTAAGTACTTGGCGTTCGCCAGACAAACTTTGCATAAAATCCTTCAACGCTTATAATTCTGGCCGGAAGTAGAAAATAAGAAGTGATAGTAAAGATTTAAAATAAAATAAACGTTAGTAAAACTTAAGATCCTTACATACTTCCCGCCAGAGTTAATTAGTTTGAAACTGAGGTCTAAAACGACCTTGTTGAAAACTTTTAGCTCTAGAATCTAACGCGAGGCCAATCTTTTACAAACATTTCTTCGCTAGAAACTAGAAAATTTAAAAAGAAATTTGTTTACAATAGCAGCTCCCAGGATATACAACAATCTTTTTTTTTTTTTTTTTCATCTGTACTGCATCTAAACAGGAGCTTTTATTCAATTCTGGTTCCTTCCAGAGATCTGGAAGGAAAACTAGTTTAATGAAATGTTACACAATGAATTGGCAAGTAACATATAGAATTATACTTTCTCTTAACATTCTTATTTCATTCATGACTATTTTAATTATCTCTCCCCGTGCTCTCTGACATGTGTTGTAAAAGAACACCAAACACGAATGTGTTTTCTGTCTACGTGTTCAACACTTCCTCCTACAATCAAAACACTAACGTGTTAAAATTCAACATAACAGACCTCTTAACACACCCTAATTTCAACTCTAAACCCTGAGGTACTATTCTGAAAAGTGGCTAACTCTGAAGTGTAGCGTCAGAGAGCCTAACTACATCATTCAACCTTTAACACATATTCACCATGATTTGCTCTTTTTACAGTCACACGAATAACAAATTTTTAACATTACTTTCACTTTTACCATATCACGGTATTTCTTAACATTTAAAATAACAGTTCACATTGTATATAAGAACATATCAACATGCCGTTAATTTTACACATTTGAAAACATACATTAGTAGTACATTGTTAACTTCTATTCTTTTCAAAGCAAGTGCCAATTCTTTCTACATTGAAATAATACTACATTTCAAAAAGTCTTTCAGACTAAAACTTCTTTCTTGCCAGAATGTTTTAAATAAAATTTATACAATAACTTTTTACAATATTTAAGTCTTTACACAACGCTATTATACATCAACTTTAGTTTTACGCGCGAGTAATTGAAAAACATAATACCAGAAAATCGGTCAACAACTCATTTCTCGCCCTTTTGGCGATAAAGGTAGACCTCGCATGAGGTAAAACTTCTTGAAATTCTGCCACTTGCAGTAAGAATGAAAGATTAACTTAAGTTTGTAAAGTAACATAAAATTTTACTTATCTTTGTGATATTCGGACATCCTTTTTTCTGGGCCCAGTCTTTAAAGGTAGCGCAGACCGTAGCTTGGTTTATCCTCCTTCTTGTGCGGGCTCGCCCTTCAGTGCTTTCCTCTGGAAGCTTCCGTTTTTCACCAGTTCGGCCACCCTTGAACACCTTCCTTTTCCCTCTGCTTGTGGTCTTGGCCGTTTGATGGCAGCTGGTCTTGGCGGAACCGGGAAACTTCTGTCGTGATCCTGCTTGGACCTCGTTGCTGGCCGTTCAAATTTTTCTTGTACTTTTTCCTCCGCCGCTGATGGCCCTTCCGCAGTTCGGCGACTTTTGCTGCGGAGAGTTCCTGTCGGATGAGTAGATCTTCCGTTTTGGAGCCGGGTTATAGTTGCCGTCATTTCTCCTGGTCCTCTTCACATTACGTCGTCCTTCTCCCTTCTTCATTCTGGGGGTGTTCGTGAACTCTCTTTTCTGGACGGTGGAACGGCTTCTTTTTCTTGTTACCTTCAATTTTTCCGCGGGGCAATTTTCTTTTCACTTGCTCCTGTCTCTCATTGGCTTGCCCTTGTACTTGTCGTTTTCCCACCTCTGGAGCTTGTACCTGCGGTGTCTGCCGTGCCGGATCCTGCAAAAGATCTGAAAAGATTTGCATTTTATTACGATCGATAGTAATGGTTTTATCTGGTCAATGTTTGCGGAACAGGTTTCACCATTT